CTTTCTATGTGTCCTCCAGGTTTGTATCTCATTTTTAAGCTTTTTTTTTGCATTGATAAAAAAAACCTTTTTTTTTTTTTTTCAGAAAGTGAACTGTAACATTCCTAGTCTTAATTCTTTGCAGCAAAGTCCTTTTTATAAGGTCTCTGTGTTGTGTCCCCAACATTTAAAGCACACAAAACTACACAAACACAACTAGATCCTCTTCTCCTATCTGCCCAAATCCAGGAACAACAGAGTAATGTTGATTTATCCTGATCAGGCACCTGGCCTTTATTCTGTTTGATGGCATGCAGCATCTCTTTGAAAAATTTAACCTTTTCATTCCATTTTAATTAAATAACAGTAATGACCAGTAGTGGTTGTGTGGTGTCTGTTTCGAATTAAATTTGTGCTGAGCATGTATGTCATGTTGATTCGTTTCATCTTTTATGACAAATGCAATATACATAGATTAAGGGATCAAATGTCCTCTTAAGTGGCTCTGCTTTGGGAACATTACCTTCCTTTAACATGCCAATATCAAGTTGTCCTCCAGGCTTGTATCTCATTTTTAAGCTTTTTTTTGCATTGATAAAAAAAACCTTATTTTTTTTTTCACAGAAAGTGAACTGTAACATTCCTAGTCTTAATTCTTTGCAGCAAAGTCCTTTTTATAAGGTCTCTGTGTTGTGTCCCCAACATTTAAAGCACACAAAACTACACAAACACAACTAGATCCTCTTCTCCTATCTGCCCAAATCCAGGAACAACAGAGTAATGTTGATTTATCCTGATCAGGCACCTGGCCTTTATTCTGTTTGATGGCATGCAGCATCTCTTTGAAAAATTTAACCTTTTCATTCCATTTTAATTAAATAACAGTAATGACCAGTAGTGGTTGTGTGGTGTCTGTTTCGAATTAAATTTGTGCTGAGCATGTATGTCATGTTGATTCGTTTCATCTTTTATGACAAATGCAATATACATAGATTAAGGGATCAAATGTCCTCTTAAGTGGCTCTGCTTTGGGAACATTACCTTCCTTTAACATGCCAATATCAAGTTACAAGAATCTGACTAAATACAATGATCAGCCAGAAATTTGGTACTACTCTTCTGCATGCCAGAATAATTAAATTGCTGAAGGAGTTTTCTTTCCTTTTGGCCTGGTAAAGGCATAGTGGGATGACTGCAGTTACTTTTGATTTTGAGCAGCACAGAAAACAGCTGAGCCAGTGAGGTCTTTGGCATCCAGGTGGAATGGCTCGCAGCAGGCATTCTGAGACCTCCTCCCAGCATTGCCTTCACCACTGACACTCCTCGGGGAGCACGGTTTATCTGCCTGGTGTCCTTGCTTCCACTCTTCTTGCTGATGCAAATACCCTTTGTGTTTGTGTAAAGTTTCCATTTATGTATATTTGCATTAGGTGGATTATCTTAGGTTTTATGGAGACTGTGTCCTGCCCTTTATTACATAACAAACAGATTTAATCTGCAGTAACAATTCTCTATAAACCTTGGCAATATTTTAGAATACATTTTTTATAAACAGTAGGTAAGATTTACTTCATGTTTTAATAAGGTGTTATGAACCAAAGTCCTGTGAACTGGTTCAATCTTTCCACTAAGCCACTGAACTTTGGATTATGCCTATGTGTTTCCCTGGAGAATTGCTCAGTGTGTTTTTAGCTTCTTTACTGCTTAGGTTAATGGCCCTGGGGACACATCATTACCTTTGATTTAAATGAGTGCAGAAAAGGGAAAGTTAGAAATTTACTACTGATCTGACACCTTGTTCTCAGGTAAATTTTATGAGCTGAAGCCCTTGACCTCACCACAGGAGTCAAGGGCATATGTAAGGGCATATTACTGGGCATATACCTGGGCATATTACTGGTTGTCTAGGTTTGCAGTATCAGGACAGTAATTCTGATCAGAAAGTAATCAGGATCTAGAATTAAAATTTATGGTAGGTGCTGTTACCAAACTATACAGATCCTCTATTATGTAATATGCCAGATTTCAGCTTATTATACTAATAATTAACCTCGTTAATTATAACTGTATCAGCAAGAGTTGGCTGGACACAAAATAATTTATTTCTCTATCCTTTAAAATATTTTTTTTTGTTATGTCTTCATGCATCAAAAAAACCCCAATCTGAACAATCCTTTCCAGATGAAAATTCTAACAGTTCCTTTCCATATTGCCTTACTTTTGGCCAGGACAGAGTTAATTTTTTGCAGTAGCTGAGGGAGCATGGCTGAAAGGACATGGCAGGAAGTTACTCCATACCACCTCATGTCATTGCCAGGAGCAGGGGTAAGGGACTCTGGCTTTTGTGGGTGAGAACAGGGTTTCTGGTTTAAAACAACATGGCAGCATTGTCTGCCATAGTTCATTGTCTTGGGGGTGCCTGGTGAGCATCTTTGCACATGAATCACCCTCTCTTTGTATTATTTGAATAATACTGTCATTATTCATATTGTTACTATTACGTTCATTTTCTTATCTCATCTCATTGCTGTTTCCAGTAAATTGTTCTTTTCTCAACCTGTGATCTTTACCTTTTGTGCCCTAATTCTCAATTTCCTCTGCCAGACCAGAAAGGGGCAGGGGAAATGAAGAGTGGGCAAGTGTCAGCGTGGTTTGGGAGAATCTCAGTGGGTGCACTGAACTGTGAAGCACCATTCCTAAACTGTGATACATATTATTTTACAAATTACTGACACAACTATAAATGTAATTATTCATTCTTACCGGTGGGTAGTCCTCCTGTGACAAAAATCTTAGACACAGGCTCCCACACAATGGAGAAATCTGTTGTTGCTCCCAGTTTAAATATAACTGAACAGAGACAAAAGGCCATGATTCCAACTATCTTTCTTTTTATTCTGTTTGACAATGCAGCAGTGTTCCATCTTTCTCAAGGAGTGAGTGACACCTCAACAAAGAAACTTTCTCATGGAACATTTCACACATGCTTCACATTTGGAGCAACCTGTATGAAACATAGTAACTGAGGTGTAAAGTAAAGATAGGAGTGTGTTTAAAAAACATCTTATGCTGTCAGCTGCAAAGCAGGAGACACAGTACAGTATGACCAACAGGTCACAGTTTGGTTTTATTGCTACAGAGGATCCCCTAAACTGACAGAACATAAAAACTCATTGGTTATTTTGCTTGCAATTCTTTATACTCAGAGGGTGCTTCATTGCAGCTCAGGCAATGACCAGCCTCTTGCAACTCTAAGATGTCTGGACCAGCTGCACAAAGGATGTTTATGTTTCTGCCTTGCAGCCATAATGTCTCCAGTGAAGCTATAATATTGTATTATAGCACCACCCCCTTTAACATCCCTTTTGCCAGGGATGGCCACTTAATGTATTTTTAGAAAATGTAGATAGATTTACAGAAGGTTGTGTCCTAAATTTGCTTACATCATTCGAGAAAGATGCAGGAGGTTTTTGGGTTTTTTTAAATGAGGAAACCGCAAAGAGAATGGTAAGAGGCAAAAAGCATGGGAAGAGTCCATTACAAAACCATGACACATTTATAGTGTTTTCACTATGACTGCATTTTCAAGGCTATTTTCTGAAGGGCAGAAAAGAAGGAGAAAGGAGAAAATACTCCAAATAAAAAAAAAAAAAAAAAAGAAAAATACCCATGGAGGACTTATGAAGAGGCAAAGAGGATGGAAAGCTAAAATGACTTGGCTCACAGGTGACTCAAAGAAGTGGTTACAAAATCACAAAGTTAGCTTGTGCAATTCATGTTGCTGGTGACAGTGTAAAAGATCAATGGCTCTGTGTTTTAAATGAAAGTTCCACAGAAACAAAAGCACACACCCTTAGCTCAAGCACAGAAAGAATGTTAAAAGTTTTAGTTGGAAGCTTCTGTTATTAGAAGCTTAAGTCACAGTCATTCATAAGCAGTGAAAAGCCAGTATGTTTTCCTTTTTTGTATATTAGTGTATATATACTTTTTCTACAATGAATGTGTATTTCCTTCTACAGTACCCTGTGATCTATTTAATTTTATTTCTCTCAGTTCTCAGTGTTAGGCTTTCTGTCTTTCAGCTGCCAACAATCTGGCTGTGGTTTGTAGTTATAATAAATGGAAACTCACAGACCTTGGTGTCATCCACCTCAAATAACATGATCCTATTAAATCTAATCCAAATTAACTGGATGAGAACCCTTTGCCCTTGATACTTATATGGACAAGAGAGAGATTTGATGCTAACAATACCAATGTGGTTTAGTGTAGAGTGGAAATCTGCTCTCCTTCTGTAATTGATTTGGGATTCAGAAGAACTCTAACATGCTGTTAGAGAGTGTGGCATCTTTTAGCCATGTGCTTTCATTGTACAGAACATGGTATTTGATTAGTAAAATGACTATAGAATAAAATGTTCCAGGGAAAGCCTCTCATATTTTATTTTAACATGGGAATTGCTAGTTTTGGGGGCACACCTGAAATGCTACAGCCAAAAGAGGCAAATAATTAATGCAAGTTATTGCCAACACTGATGATGAAAGTCTTGGAACCACTACTTCCAACAATTAAAAAATCCCATAACACAGTGTCCATGTGGATTTCTTCAATAATAACAATTCTTCATCGATTGAAACAGGACAACAACTTTCCTTGATTTAAGATTATCCACTGACTTGATGATCCTTGAGTGTTCCTTCCAACTCAAAATATTCTGTGAAAAAGCTTTTTATTAACTGTTCCTCAGCCTGATATAGATTTGCCTATGTGAAAGCACAGAACCTGAAACTCTATTTGGGCTTTTATTCATTGTCCCAACAATGTATGACAGCCTGACTCTGTGGAAGCAATACAACTGAAAAAATTGTGGGGAAAAAAACCTCAAACCACCACAAAGAACCTTAAAACCAAAGAGACATTTTTTTGTTTTTGTTGTGCAAAAGTAGTATTGTATTGGAACTAATACTTACAGATCAATATATCTTACCTTTACTCAAGTCTATATACGTTTTCATTTCTTTTTGTCAGCATTAAAAATACTTATGATAAAATCAAATCAAATGGAAGGGAATTGGAATCCAGGACTGGCTCCAGGCTGTGATGCAAAAAACTTTGCCATGGTTTTTGTCTTTGTTTTACTGAGTGGGGTAAGAGAAGAATGAAAAAGTGCTTTTTTTGTGATTTGGGAAAATCTGCCTCGCAGATTTGTCTGATGAGCATAAGATAGGGAAGGTTACTAGAGAATTGCATGATAAAATTTGATTATTCTTCCTTTCTCCTTCTGGAAACTATTAGTGTCAATTCAGGCCAGTAAATGAATAGAGTATTTTCACAGATTTGGTCAACTGGGTATTTGAGCTTTTCTAAATAGGAAGGATTCAGTTGTTGCTATCACAAGAGATTATTCCTGAACCCATCACCTCCAGTCTGATGGATGTTGCTGTCCCATATGGCAGACTGCTGTACAGGAGAATATGTGTAATATAAGGAGGGTGCTCTGCCATTACATTTCAATCCTTCTCCCCCTGAGCCCTGGCATGCATCCCATGCCCACCAAAACTGGCTTTACATGTCTGAAACCTCTGCTTGGACACAGATTCGCCAGTGAAAAAGTTGCCATACAAGAGAAAGCAACACAAGATTTGGTGTGAACAGCTTCCTGACACTTTTGCTACCCTGCAAAGCTGCAAAGGGATTAATGACCAAAGCCATAAGGGCTATTGATGGGGCATCTGCTTCTATTAGTCCAGCTTGCCCTTCATTTCAAACACATCGAGGACAGGCTGCTGTACATTGAGAAGAAGCCAGTGGAAAGTAGGAGCATTAGGAGTGAAGGAGAATTTGTCTGCTTGCCTTCCTACATTGAGGACCAGCCTTAGAAAATGTTTTCTTTTTTTTATTTTTTCATTTTGCAAAAGAGGGTTAGAATCAGGGATTGGGGATAAAAAAACATTATCAAAATGCTGATTCTGAATGACAGTGGAAAAAGAAGCCATGTCAACTCTATACAGTCCAGCATTCTTCTCAGAAGAATAAAACAAACTGAGTTCCCTGCTCTCCACTGTGGGTCACAGTCAGGTACAAAACAAAGATTTGAATGTTGAAGAAAGCAGTTTTGCTGGGTTAGTCCAGTAGTTTGTGCTACATAATTGTAGCAGATGCTGCTGCTATTCTTGATAAAACTTTTATTCATTTCATTAGGAAAAAATTGCCTATGGAAGAGACTCTCTGTCTCTGAAGATTGCAAAAAAATTACCCTCTTTTTGAGATTTTTAGATAATCAAATTGTGATGAGCAGAGATGCAGAAATGATGGATACCTGCTTATTCAGGCAAATCAACATCTTAAACCTGCAGAAATATTTGCACAAAGCAAGCAGGATTTAGCAGCTTCTAAAAAGAACATTAAAAACCTACTGGGTTAAAACAACCAAACAAGAAAATGAAAGGTTTTAAGAACATACTGCATTTATTTGGTCCCGCAATTCCTAACTTTGTAACAAACCCCCAGAGTTTCACTCCTTAAAGTGCTTTAAACTCCATTTATATTATTATTATTACTTTTAACATCAATGTACATTTCTGTATAAGCAACAATCCAAAGAGATTTATATTCTTTATAAAATTCTTTATATTAATGGATCAAATTTGCTCTCAAGATGGCCAACAATAAGGAAAATTACCAAAATTAAGACACTGGAGTTGCTCAAGTCTCTGCTGTTGTGGATGAGAGCAGAATTTGGCCCAGTAGGGTATATGCAATTACATTTTCTGCATATATCTCCAAAGGCACAACCTTGGAAATCAATAACATTTAAAAAGGAGTTTATCAAAGCAAATACATTTTGTTTGCTTTGGCACAGTCCACATCCAGAGGATGCATTTGCTCACCAGCTGTTCAGAAGAAGCAGCCTGATGCTGATCAGCAAAGGGGAATCCACACAGCTCTTCAGCAGACCCAGCCTGGTGTGTGTACAATGACTGTAACAGCACAGTTACTTCTCTGTGCATCCGTGCAAGTTCACTGCACCATGAACCTCTGAAATTCTCCTGATGGAGACATGTTTGTCATTGATGGTAATACTCCGAAGACAGCCAAAAAATGGGTCTTCTACTGGAAGCCATGAGGTGTCCAAATTTGCTACAATACCAAGGGGGAAAGACCAAGTTAATAAGAATTATTTTATAGAATATCAATTATGGCAGGGCTTTCAAAAGAGGGGAAATGATATAGGAGAACATGAATGGATGGGACCTTTGTTTTGGAAAGGAAAAAACATGAAAAAATAAGAAGCAATAGCATTACCTGGAATTTTGCCGAAGTAGAGTGGCTGATAGATGCGTCTAGGAGGAGAGGGTTGAAGTACGGTGGTATAGTTACTCTGTGTGCCCACCTCTAGCTGCACTGTGTTCTCCTTCTGAGAGACTGCAAAGAAGCAAGTAAATAAGAACTCTTTCTCAACCATATTAAAGAATCAGCTAGATATGGCACTATTTTTAAATAACATATTTCTTGAAATTTAAGGCACAAAACCCCCCCAGATTTTATTTTACTTCAAAGTCAGACTGACAAGCTTAGGTCATCTTGGACTTAACAGAACCTATCAAAAAAATCTTACGTAAAGCCTTTAATTAACACAAGACACATTGTTCTAAAGAGTATTCTCAGACTAAACAGAAGTGAAATTATTAATAAAAATTTGGAGCTGCAGTGCTCTGTGCCCACCATCCCTTCAAAGCTTCAGAAGAAATGGTATGTACAATGTACCTGCAATGGTATGCCACTGCCCATCAGACAGAGGTTTCTTAGGTGTGACTGATGCGTGGAATTCTCCAGCATCACTATTTCCAGCAGCAATCACCTGTAAAGATGTTACCTGTTAAGTTACTCTGACAAAGGACAGGAGCAACAGGGGGAGGTCAGAATTGCCCCTGCTGAATGAGGGCAATACAGCTGGAATGGACACAGTCTGTACCCACCTTCCCTCCCTTCATGTAAACAGTCAAGTAGCTGTCTTGCTTGCTTCCAGCATGGAGGAGTACACCTGTGGAACTCCTTGGTCGAATGGTAAATACAATCCTGAAATCCAAATTCATCAGCAAATTACCTGTGGAGAATTAAACAGTGGGGAGAGGGATGATCATAGCTGGAGAAAATTGGAAAACCAGGTAAAAACAAGTAACCCATACACCAACATGCTTCAGACAATTCCATATACCATAATCTCCACACAGCTTACCAATGGTGATATGTCCTCCTTCATTAAAGAAGTAAATCCCTGTGTCCATGGGAACATCAAGACATGGAAGTACGCCATTTTTCTGTTGAGGTGCATTCATGGTTTTTCCATTAATCTTAAAATTCCTTAGGCAGCCCTTGAAACTCTTCATTGGCATAGTCTGAAAGCATATTTCAAAACATGACCATTGAAGCATTATGGGGTTTTTTTTAGCAATAATACTAAACTATTCTTTTGGACTGTTGGGCTATAAAAAGCCAACTGGAACTAAAGGCACATAACACATCTTTGATGTAGTGAAAAGGTATTCCAAAAGTCTAAAAAAAGTAAGAGTTGATTTTGCATTAATGTGACTCCTGCTTGTAAACCAGATACTTCCCAATGCTGTATCAAAAAGACAATGCAAGAGGAATTGTGAAATTCCGAGCAGCCCTTCCCTTCCTAAATATATTTATTTAAATCTGATTTTATAAAATACCCTGGATCATTAACTGTCCCCTTTTTAAAATAGAAACCATGTGTATTTCAGATTAAAATCCAGTTCTACATCCATAATTCCTTAATGAGAACAGTTCTTTTGCTTTTCTACTGATAATTGCTTAGTCCACTGAGGTAAATGTTCTACAGAAAGATGGTATTTCTGGAATTAAAAATGTAACTTTGGTATTCTCTATTTTTAAGGAATAAAAATAAAAAGAGTACATGGTTGTTATCAGTGTCTCAGCAACATACTGAAAACACGGGTCCAGGTGAAGGCTGTGTGAACAGGTGAGGAAAAAGATCTGTAATGAACCACTGCAAACACCAGTCACAGATGGTGCTCACATGGTCCTTAGAAATCCTCCTCAAAGCTTTTCAGCATGGAAATCCTGTGTATTAAAGACTTTCCCATATAATTAGTGTAGCATGGGGAGTGTGTGTGGGTGGATTTGTCAATTATTTACCTGTCTCTTCAGTGGTGGCAGCCCTCCCACATAGACTGGTGGTTTAATGCTGATGGCAGAATTTGTTGCCAATTTTCTGTGCTGGGCCCTTAGACCATCAACGACAAGGCGGGCGTTCTTCCCATCTGTGCTGAAGACCACCTTTCCAGGAGGCAAGGAAAACAGAATAAAAAACTCAAAAGCCAATAAAAGCTACTGCAGATTTTCTCTGTCTTTAAATTAAACATCAGGTTGTTAAAATATTTAAACTGAAAATAACATCTTGGGGCCATCAGTCTCAATAAGGTCTCTCAGAGACCTTTCAACCACATGAACTTTCAGGCATAGGAATTAATTTGCAATGACCAAAACTGAGTTTCTGTTCTCTTAAAAAGGCAATAAGCTATGCCTGCTGAATGCTAGTTATCACTGAATGCTGTCACTGTGGTTCCATACTACTTACAGTGTGCCATTGGCCATCATTGTATTTAATACTGGTTTTGACTTTGATTTGTTTTTCTCCAGAGCCAAATGAAAAGACAAAACGCCCTTTTGAAATGTGGAGAGCCACGTAAGAGTCCTCAGAGCTTTCCTCCATGAAAACTATTAATCCTCTCGATGATCGAGTCCGTACATCTACAGAGAAATGTAACCTGTAATGGAAAGGAAGCATATTCCAGTATAGGTCTGTTTTGTTGGTTTTTGTATCTTTTCTGTTCTCCAGTGAAACTCCATTTGGGAAATGCAGAATAGCATTTTGGTGGAATCATGGCATTATACACTGCATTTCTGAATGTGAATGAAACTTTACACATTCAGGCTTAGGAACTGGCATTAACATGCACTGTAATTGTTCACCACATCCCATTCAATCGACTCAGTTTAGGTAAATGTTTGCACAAGAAAAAAAAAGCCTGAACTTTTAGAACCACCTTTTGCTATGGCCCAAGATATAAACAAGAAGAAAATCCTTACAATCAGCACCCTAAGTGTCAAGAATCTTTGACAACTCAAGTACTAGGAGGAGAACAGAGAATGTTTTTATTACCTGTCTGTAGATAACAATGGAGAAAACATGTAGGATATGAAACTGTTGGGGGTGCTTCCAAGGAGATATGCTTCACTGCTGTCATGTAATGGAGCTGGTAAAGTGTGGTTTTGCACGTTAGCAGCTTTCAAATAATCAAGGTATTTTTCATTCTGTGCACATAAGATAGAATTGAAACATTTATTATATGTGCACATAAATAGAAACATTTTAATTGACACATTTAAGAGCTCCCAGCCATGGCAGTCAACAGCCTTCCCTAAAAGAAAAGCTGTTGTCATTCTAGACAGGTGTGGGTTTAGCATGAAACTCCAACACGGTGAGAACTTGCTTCAGATGTGAGATGGAAGAAAAGAAAGAACATGTGAATCTCAGTTCCAGAAATGATGGAAAGCCTGGGCATCAATATGGAGCAAAGATGACAGTAACAATAAGCATACCTTGAGCATCTTAAGCCTAAGAGGATTTTTAAATTCCTGCAGCAGCATTGGTTCAAGGTTTTCATATTTCTGGCAAGCTCCAAGAGATACACCAGTCTTCCCAGTATTAGCAACAAGATTTTGAACCTCGGGGAGCTGACCTGCCCTGTTGTGATGAAAGCAGTAAGTGTTGTGACTCAGTATTCCTTTTATTTAGTGTAATCAACAACAGACATATTGTAAAAATGTGTACTGCACAAAGTATATTTCCCAGTGACATGATAGTAAAGTATCAATTTTTATTTTTCAACAAAAAATGTACATTCAATGCTGTAAAGCATTTTCCATGGCTCTGCTCTTTCTTTTGGGCTATAGAAAAACTGATGTTCTGTTCTCATCTTTTCTGAACAAAGTAATTTTTGATGAAAGCTATTTAAAAAACACAAACATATATGGCCCTTGAAAAAAGAGAAAAAAATGACAGCAGCCTTGATTAAGATTTCTGCATCAGATTACAAAACTTTGATTGGTAATTACACATAACCAGTTTCAAATCAAGAAAATATATCATCATCAGGTTCTGCTTCACTCTCTCCTTAAATAAGATGTTCTAATGAGGTTTTTCAAGGAACAAAGCCCATCACAACTCCACATGTACCTCTAGTAGTATAACCAAATTATCAGAAAGACTGTCAAAGCCAATTTAAATTCCTGTGTATAAAGAATAATATTAAACAATACTACAATTTTCTAAGTTGTACAAAGAATCTGTAATCAGTAAATTACAAAAAAACTTTACAACTACAAAAAAGGTACAAAGCTCCTTGCTTGTGGTTTTCTATGAGAAGAGTGGTAGATTTGTGAGCAGAACCTGAACTTCTTTAATGCTGGTCATTCTCCATTCACTCCATCAGACCAGCTACAGTATTTATTCATCATCTAGTTAGGCACAAAAGCTTTCCAAATTTGTTTTCTGATGGGAAGTTTAATATATAGGTTACTTCCGATGCCTTTTCCTGGTCTTAAAAAAATTGAGAGCCAGACAAGGTTAAGGGAACAAGTGGTGTTTACCTCAGTATTTTAATAAGGATCCTTATGGTCCACCACTTTGCCAAGGTGGGATGCACCGCAATGCACACACGTTAACATCACACATACAATCCACTGACCTTACAAATTGGGATATCTAACAAGGATGTAAGGGACAAGTGGTGTTTACCTCAGTATTTTAATAAGGATCCTTATGATCCACCACTTCGCCAAGGTGGGACGCACCGCAATGCACACACATGATAAAATCACATATACAATTTACAGACCTTACAAATTGGGATATCTAACAAGGATGTCCCAGTATGATATTCCCCCATCTGAGGAATTCCCCCCTGGTTGGGTAGAATCTTAGTTGACAGGGTATGTTCTAGAGGGGGCCTTTGGTTTTTCAAGACAGCATTGGGCTTTTCAGCCTCCTACTACGAGGCATTTAGGATGTTTGGTCTCCTGGCTTAACAGACTACTAGGGCTAAGCCGAGTTATCAGACTTAAGGAATTACAAGTATGCATGCTAGGAGTACTGAGGATACATAAAAGGTATATAAAAGAAAAGGGGGAAAAATCATCTTGGCATCACTTGAATGCCTTGTAGTGCTTTAAATGAAGACATAATTTCAGCAGCCTGGTCTAGTGGAAGTTGTCCCTGCCCATTGCAGGGGGCTAAAACTAGGGGACCTTTAAAGGTGCCTTCCAGCCCTTCCCATTCTGTGGTGGTACAACAAATGGATCAAAATAAACTATTTTTGAAAACTCTACACATATATAAATGCTCATCAAAACTTAGCTAACACAAAGTCCCACTGGGACAAGATTTATGACTCATGGAATGCTTGTTTTCTAGAAACATTTATGCATATTTTTCCTCCTAAATTTTGCCTGTAAGGCAAATCCTCTAATAAAGTCCCACTGGGACAAGATTTATGGCTCATGGAATGCTTGTTTTCTAGAAACATATTTATGCATATTTTTCCTCCTAAATTTTGCCTGTAAGGCAAATCCTCTAATAGTTCTCTAATGACAAACATGTGAAAAGAAGAGACAGCCTAAATAAGGCAGATGATTTCTACACATATGGTCTCACTTGTTTGTGTAACTGTTTTGATTCTGTCAGCTTTGCTCCGTTCACCACCTGGCACCCTGGGGAGCTATAACAAGACAATTTAGCAAATCTTTTTGGATGTCTTGTTGGGACATATCCAATTCACTCTGCAGAGCTCATTCTTTGGCTAACAGACTGCTAAACAGGTATGATTGAAACTAAAATTCCTTTACATCTGAACAGCAGGTTTAATTATAACTGGATCCCATGTATACTATACCTGAATGAAAGAGAATTTGAAGCCAGCAAAGCTACGCATTCATGAAGGCTTCACACATGCAGAACAAAAGCATTTTAGCAAAATGTAATTTTAATATGATTTAAGAAGGAGAACAGGCCAAAACACATGAAACATAATTCTTTTTGCAACTGTTTTGATTCTGTCAGTAGCTTTGCTCCTTTCACCACCTGGCTCCCTGGGGAGCTATAACAAGACAATTTAGCAAATCTTTTTGGATGTCTTGTTGGGACATATCCAATTCACTCTGCAGAGCTCATTCTTTGGCTAACAGACTGCTAAACAGGTATGATTGAAACTAAAATTCCTTTACATCTGAACAGCAGGTTTAATTATAACTGGATCCCATGTATACTATACCTGAATGAAAGAGAATTTGAAGCCAGCAAAGTTACGCATTCATGAAGGTTTCACACATGCAGAACAAAAGCATTTTAGCAAAATGTAATTTTAATATGATTTAAGAAGGAGAACAGGCCAAAACACATGAAACATAATTCTTTCTAGGCCAAATACCTTTCAATAAAGATGTTTGAGATGCAACCTTCGAAATTATCTCCACCAAACTTTATAGGTCTGTTTGATTGCCGTGAGTTTGAGGACATGGGAGAGTCAACTGCTCTTGACTCATCATCAACCATCAGGTGTACTCTGAAAAAAGTAAATTAAAATAAGCATGATATATAAAGAAGCAGTCAGGAAACTAAACACTATATATATATATAAAAGAACCATTTGACAGATGTGTTTCCATGTACATTGTGATTATGCTAGAACTTCATTAGCTTAGTTCTGGGACTTTTTCAGTATGTGCTTATTGACTGCTGTGAAATTGCTCTGCTTTTCCATATTAGATAATGAGCAAGAGTTGAAGTTCCTACTCCAGTCCTACAGTGAAATCCTGGTGCAATTGAAATTCATTAAAAAGATCTCATTGTCAACTATGGGACAGGATTTAAGTCTTCGTGTAAAAATGAAACTGACATTATTAAGTTATAATAACCCAAAGTTATGGCCAACCATTCAAAATTTTTCACTTCAACTAACTCTTATGTAATTTCATGCATTACACAGCAATCAGTATGATTTAAGGAGCTTTTCAGTAAATGGTCTCTTCTAATATCTAATATCTGCATAACAGATCACTACTGAGAAAACAGACACGGGATTTGCTTCTTCCCTTGTCCTTTACAGGGGACACACATGAAGGTTATGTGAAGGGGAAGAGCTCCAAAGACTCCAAAGCTCCAGCTAGACAAGCATTCAAAACTCACACAACCTATCAAAGAAATGCATAGTAGGGTACAGCTGAAACATCACAGGTACCAGCATGCACATTCATAGAATAAAAATCTCCTTTCCCTTCATTATTTAGGTATCCTCTGCTAGAAGAGACCATTTTAAGCTGTTTATCCAAAGAATTAGTCCCACAAAATCGGAATTTGCTATCTCCAGCCACAACATATAATAACTAGATGAAGAACTGAACTCACCTGTTGCCTGTTTTTATTACTGTCACATAATGTATTGACCCATCTTCATATTTCTTTTCCAGTTTAATTTCTTTATCTCGTATCTTTGCAGTTACAGAGCCAGGACTCAGAAAGATGGAAAGAACATCAGGCTACAAAAGAATCCCACAAAATTATCAGCTAAATAAATGCAAAAGCCTTTAGTTCTTGCTACTGCCATTAATAGAGCTCTCAGTGGGTACCAGTAGGCAACAAATTTTCTTACATTAGAGCTGCATTTTTCAGTCATCTAGCACCAGATGTGTAACCAACTTCTGCATGATGAGCCTAGCTTCCATTTCAAAATACCTCTGTACTCTGAATAGCAAACATTTATTTAAAATACTTGCCTATTTTTACAAAAAGCAGAGGAGCCAGTCCTCCACTTCTCAAATACCTGGTGTGCACCCACTTCTTAGCTCCTCCAGCCAGCCAGAATGGGGTTCTACTTAAACTTCCCTGCTTTTTGAGGGATCATAGCCAAAACCAATTCCTTTCCTCTGCCTATTCAGACATGGTAACATTTCTGTGTGGGCAGAGTGCCATTTTTCCTTGAGAAAATTTCCAGCCAATTAAGCAACAGTTTTCTTGCTGGGATGTTGTCAGGTGTGTGAGCTACTCTGCAGAAGGCTTGAATTCAAAGCTCAGGTATTCATCAAACTACTTGTTGGCTATGTGAAGAAATTTCCAGAATGCATTTCTCTGACCTATGACATGAATGATGCCACACTCAAGAAAGGCATTTCTTACCTTAAAATACAGGAATCTAGATGAGACTTATGACACAAATTGAAATGACTGATTCAGAGATAAAACCCATCACATATGCTAAGTTGAATGTTTCATACCCGTAGATTGTAATTTAAGAGTGTTCCAGTAGAAGCTGTTGTCTGAAAGCCAAAGCCAACTTGGAAATCCTTTGGAAATGGGAAATCTGCTGAACTCAGGCTCAGTGTCCCATCCTTGGAGAAAGCTGCAGACCTGACAAGCTGAAAGAGAGAAAATTATTTCAGTGACTTTCCTTTTAATCAGAAGAGATGCCAATATGAGACAACAGCTGCCCTACTCAACATAATTGTGATCAGCTCCAGTCAAAACTGAGCACAAGGCAAACCTCAAAAACCATTATTTCAGTATAGAACAGACTGTCAGAATTGGCTTTGCCAGCATTAACTATGGTCTGAGAAACTCTAAAAGGAGAGAGGAGGCTTGCTGAGAATAATGAGCTGCTCATCTCTAGCTATTGTGGCTTTGAACGTTTTCACATTTGAGGACACAATTGAGTAGCTGGAGGAACAGATAGTAACTATGAAGCTGTGCAGATGAGCTACATAATTGAAACTGTGTGAGTCACAGGTCAATTTTTAATCATGAGAAGTTACACAGATCCACAGAATGAAGATTAGATACTCTACAAAGATAGTCTGTGAAGAAATTGGTCAGTGAAAGGTTTAGATGCCACCAGTAAAAGAAAATAAACACAAACTTTCAGTGCAATACTGTAGTAAAAAGGGAAAATTAGATCATGTACCATGTAAGCAGCAGTAAGTAGAAGCAGAAAGATAGTTTTCATCTCTCCATAAAGCACTAGTTAAGCCAGCACTGAAATGTCATGTTGTCCTATTTTAAAAAGAACATGGCAAAACTCAAGGATGCACAGAAAATAATTACAAAACAATTAGATGAGTGGAGCCTTAGAATAAGAGACTTTGATGGAAGGAGTCTGTTAAGATCTCCTACGAAAAAAGGCTGAGAGGTCATTTAATTAGGAAGCATAAACACCTTGCTAAGAGGAAAGATAGAAAGTAGTATTATCTATTCCAGCCTAATCAATAATAGCAACTGGAAGCCAACAAGATTACATGGTGAATATGAATACTTAATTGTAAACAGTATTAAATAAGAGGGTGGACTATGTGCTGTAACAAGCTACCACAACAGGGCTGGTTTCTCTTTTATTTCTGCATCTTCACACCCAATCCAGGTTCTTTTACTGCCATCACATGTTAACCAAATATAATTTTTGACCTAAGCAAAACATAATGGTCCAGGACTTATAGACAAACCGGAGTCTGTGAACTTCAGCAGAAGTTTTTGAGGAAATGTATTAGTTACCTTCCAGTCATCTGAACATTTCTTGCTGACACCAAAAGTCTTATCAAAAACAACAGATGCAGTGCTTGGGTTTTTCACATTCTTCATGCAGCCCCGGAATGCAGGTGTGGATATATTAAAGCTGGTTTCAGGGAGGGGAAGGAAAAAAGAGTTCAGTAGCCCAGCATTTCAAAGCACACCCCACTATATTAACCTATAAATGCTGACAATATATGAAATAGAAAAACAGAACAAGAGCAATCTTTCTTGTGTACACACACTCATGCTAATCAAACCGAATCTTTAGGATGAGCTACAACAAAGATCTCACCATTAGCCAAAAGTCACAGCTACGGTCACGTATTATACACTTGGTTTATGTCACATGAGATAGTTAATACACAGCATGATAGAAATTATGTAAGGAAAAAGTTTAGATGGAGTTTCCCTACAAAACCTGTATATTACAGTCCTTTTATAGTTACTCACCGTTCCCGTAGAAAAGATGGAACTCCACCTAGGTAGTACTCAGTGAACTTGAAGACTTGTATGTTGGCTCTAATACCAGGACTGACATACACAACTTTGTTTCTTCGGTCAAACACCAAATTAATCTGAAATACACAAATAATGAGAACCACTTCACTTGGCAGAAACAGAAATCATTTACTGATTAGAAATACCCCACAGAGGAGGACACAGTGCCAGTCCCCCCCCCACTTCCTTGTTTACTAGTGACTTAAATCAAGGATAACTGCAGTAGTTCAAATGGTACTTGGCAAGATTTGGGCATTTAGTCAAAAAAAGGAAAATGTTCAATTCTCCAAATACAAGGTAAGGTTTTATTTTCACCTGAAATTTACTGATTAGAAGTACCCCACAGAGGAGGACACAGTGCCGGTTTCCTCCCCCCTCCTCTTGTTTACTAGTGACTTAAATCAAGGATAACTGCAGTAGTTCAAATGGTACTTGGCAAGATTTGGGCATTTAGTCAAAAAAAGGAAAATGTTCAATTCTCCAAATACAAGGTAAGGTTTTATTTTCACCTGAAAGATTGCCCTAAAAACACACCTCACCTAAGATTCAGATATTGTCTTGTCTTTGCAGCTAGGTACTTTGCAAGCTTTGGGCATTTAGTCAAAGAAAGGAAAATGTTCAACTCTCCAAATACAAGGTGAGGTTTTATTTTTACCTGAAAGATTGCCCTAAAAAACACACCTCACCTAAGATTCAGATATTGTCTTGTCTTTGCAGCTGAAGATTCAGAAGCTGCTGCCTGATACAAAAACTAAGTCAGCTGGCTGAAGGTAACTTAACCCAGTAGAGCGTAAAGTTTCCTTGCAGCAGACCCTGCAGCTTACACTATTTAGTTGGAAATATATTAAGGGGGAAAAGGGAGAACTAATCAACAAGAAAATCAAAGGTTTTTAACAATGTCTTTATGATTTCACTCTGGTGAAAATAGTGCTACAAAAGAGCTGAAGCTAAGGAGACCAGCAACAACAAAGACTGCAAAAGAGTAATCTCTAAAAAGATCAGCCCACTGCGAAGAAATAAACCCTTAGATGGTGAAAACACTAATCAAAGTATGAAACTAATGCAATTAATTGCAAGTATACAGTTATCTTTATTTAAAGCATTGTTCTGATAAAATTTTTCCTTTGGTGGTTTCACTATTAAAACTTAACTATTCACAGTGAAGCAGGACACCAGAAAGATTAATTTTCACATCTCCAAACTAGTCTCCAGTGACTTGATTTCCTCACACAAAAGGAAAACTCCAGAACTAAATTTTACAAGAGGACAGTTTCAGTTAATATGTATTTTTACAAATAATGATTCCTTGCTTCTTTAAAATTACCTACTTGATATATTCCATCATTTACAATTTTGTCGTCTACTACTTCTTTTGGAGTCTCAGAGTCAAGTTTGTATCTAAGAACTGTACGACCATTTCTAATGAGCACACTGATGAATTGATCCCAAACAAAAAAACAACACCAACACAATTAAATTGCCACAATTTCAGATATATATTTCACTGTCATATGAATAATTTTAATGAAGCTATCGAGTTGCTTCTAGAAAGCTTTTAGGGGAAAGGATAACGCAAGGCCTAAAACTTATACTAATCAATCATAATTACTTTATTATAAACAGATCTGTTGTCAGCTCCAAATTTCTAGAGGAATTTGTGTCATTTCAAATTTCCACTGACTTTTTACAGCATTGAAAAATTATCCAGAATATGTCCCAGTGATTACAAATACACCTACAAGTTTATTAGATATGTAGCAGCACTATCTTTTCAAGTACCTTTACAGGTATAAGTCATCATGTCACTTCCTATATTCCTTCTTACTCTGTTTCCACACATATCCGAGATTTGGAAAGAGTGACTTCCAGTTTTGGAGGATTTCAATATTCCAATGTTGGTTTGATCCCGACCACATTCCTCCCTTCCTGCCCCCAGTTCAGAATTCTCTGCATGGCCTAATGCAGGAGCTTCTTGGAATGATTTTTTACTCAGCCTTGACAAAGTGAGTATTTGGCAACCATGGTAGAATCATGGTGAATATCTCAAGCTGGAAGGGACCCATAAGTCCAACCCCTGTTTCTTGCACAACTACCTAAGACTAAACTATATGACATTAAACATACAGCAATATCTATTAATTTCTCACACAGATGAAAACACTTTTAAGACACTTTGATTAACACTTAACACTTTTATTTCCTTACAGTTGTTACTATATCTAACATATTTTTAAATAATAAACAAGATTAAGTTGTTCTTGCACTACAGAACAGACAGAAGCATTCCACACATTACCCCATTTGCTGCAAAGAACACGATGCCTTCATCTGCAGTGGTCTCAACTGTCTGCTCGTACCGTACTTGTTGGGCGCTTCTTTCTCCTGTTGTGACACTGGCATAACCAGTGCCCTCAAAATAGCTTTGGTCAGTCTCCTCTTTATACCTGTAGTAATTCAATGTCACAGATGTGAATATATGTCAGCAAAAACTTCTACCATGTGGACTGCCATTATAATTTTAAACTTAAGTTAAAGCATTTGGTATCAGGCCAAATTCTGATCTAACCCAAGCAGAGAGAAAACCTTCCACTGGATTCTGTCAGATTCACAAATGGTCTTTAGAGAGGAAATCATTAATGACTGACTTTTTGTAACGTAATGTAATATTTATTTTATAAAGTAGATGAACACATTAGTCTAAAAATTGTGTCTGGATTTTATAACACTTAAATTTAAACAGATTGAGATTTCCATAGATGTGAATCATGTCATTACTGAGGATTTTCTCTAAGAAATGTAATAATGACCAAGAGTTAGGAAAAAATCACCAATTTAGCTACAGTGGTTATTCTTCTGGATGTGAAAGATGAGAATTCATAACGATAAAATCACAGAACTGTGAAACACTTCTATGTTCATATCATACCTTCTGCAGGGTTTCACTTCAGTGGTGTTGAGATTAAAAGTCCTCTTGAAGTTATAGAGGCTGATAATATGCTCATTTAGGCTGTTTAATTCAATGCAGCCTTCATAACGAGGATAGTTGAGATTATCTGGAGGCTGCAAAACAGTGTAATTAAAACCATTTCATCAGCCTCAGCTAACAAAACTTTACATCGCTATCTAACTGCTAAGAGTTACTGCAAATATTATTAAGACACAAAATATGATATTATAAATATGTAAAAAAGGTACTACATGCTTGTATACATAGCCAAACCATCCGATACAACCCTAGGTGTACTGCAGCACAATTTAAAGCAGTCACGTGGATTGGGAACAGTATTTAGCAGGGCTGGACAGGTTTCATGCTTTCCTTGGCAAGTGAAATATCATCATGCTCCCTTTCTTTGAGCTCTAGCATGGTACAAGCCAGGCAGATTCCATAGGAAGTAGCATCTCCTTGCATCTCATCTATTCCTACTGACAGAGGTAAACTCTTACACATACTTTTGAAAGACTGCTAGGTCCAATCTTTACTTGGAAGAAAAATGGGATGATTAACACAAAATGTCTTTAACAGTAAGAAACTCTGTACCCTAAAATCTGGTGGGTATCCTCCAACATAAAAGACAACACTTCTGGGATCAAGATTGAGGAGCATGTCACTGTCTCCACTGCTTGCACTCCTAGGGCTTTCATTAACTGGAGAAATTGATGTTGCTGCTTTGATGTACTTCAGCTTTGCATACTGGTAAATCCTAAAACCAAAACAGGCACAATATCACATCACATGTTATGAGCAGGTTTTCAAGAAGATTGTTGTACACTGTGGGTCTTATACCTTTCAAATGTAACTTGATCCATAACAGCTTCCTCAGTGTTGCTTAGAGTCACCAGTGACTGCACTCTCACCTCTCCCTCACCACCTCCCAGGTTATAGACACAAGTAAGGTAACCATCTTTCACAGCCATACCAATGTAGTCCTTGGAAGCCTAAAAATAGCAAGTAAATAATAATTAATAAATGATTAATTATAATTAAGGTAAAAATACAGCAGCACTTCCTCAGAGACCTCATCATGCTGTGCATGAGTCATAAGAAATCCACCCACCTAATGATGAGAATTAAGTTTATCAGTTCTGGGAAGAAAAAATTGTAATCCTATATGTTGCACTGATTTAATGACTATAGTTATAAATTAACTGAAAATCATTTGTGACTTTTTACTTTTGTAACAATGCTATCTAAAATAGTTTTCTCACTTGTAACATCTCCCAGCTAACACTATGAAAACATGACACCTTTACTAAGAATTAGACTCAACATGCGTGACATAAAAAAGATGTTCAGAACAACACTCAATGAAGGACAATGAGGTGACTGGAAGCAGTCATTTTCCCCAAAAAAATCACATTTTATTTGTTCAAGAGACCTTATTTCAGAAGTAACCATTAAAATGCTTTCAATGGATGTCCTGGCTAGTTATCCAGAGGATAAAAAGATGAAATCCAGTGTAGAACAAATACCTCTAAACAGCTTTCTGTGTAAGCACAAGGCTTACTACAGACACAGCTCCTGTCAAATAGCAAGACTAGACACCACATGCAGGAAAATTTTTTAATGTTTGATAGTGATTGAGCAAACCTGAATGCACAAGCAGGTCTGCATTATTCTGCATATTCAGAAGACAAAAAAATTAAGAGCTGAGAGGCTGAATTTTAAAAGTGGAATAATCACTTTTTTTTTTTAACCAGAGAAACTCAGTTTTCACTTATATTGTGAAAAGAGTCAAAGCTCTGAGGCAGGAGCTGGACTGAGTTTGTGCTGGCTGCTGCAGAAACTGACAGGTCTGATAAGAATGCGTGATGGTATCCATGATGGAGAAGTAACTTCCAAAGGAGCAAAAGAGCAAAGAATCAAAGGACAAGGCTCAGCCACTTGTTAGTTACTTTGCCAGGGAAGGAATGAACATAACACTTCTACCATGACTTATACGCAATTTTAAAGAAATAGGCCAACAATAGCTACAAATTTCAGCCAGAACATGTCACTTCCCATCCTTTTCTCAAAACATGATGTCTTGTCTTAAAATCAGATTAAATATCAAAATTTACCTACATTTTTATTACCCAGGTACAGGACAAACCTATTTGCCCTCTGCTGGGTGTCTGATCTTTGCTTTGGTCTTTGGATAAACAAGGAAAGAGAAGTATAGCCCTTTAGATCTTCAAGGTTGCTTGGAGGTCGAACTTCTACACCAGAGCTGCCATTGAACCTCATGGGAATAGAAACCTGTTAAGAAAACCAGAGTTGAGTATGTTACAATTAACTATTGCTACCACTCCTGTTTCACTGGTGTGTTTAATTGCAAAGTAACCCATTACACATCCTAGCCATGTTTCAGCCATTAATTACCACAGATTTGGACTCTGATCCTACCAAACAAAATAATTAGGAAACAGAGTGGATAATGCAGTAGTCTGTATTATCAATACTTAACACAGCACTTTTTTGTTCCAGACATCAATTAATCAACCCTCTGTCAAGTAACTGTTACCTTCAATACATGGACAGGGAAGGATGTGCCCTGCAGCTCTGAAGAGCAAGTCTATGAATTATTCAGATGTCTACAAACACATCCTGGTGCTTCACTTAGCTGGACTTAACTGTCTGCTGGGGATTACAATGCACCTCTGGTATCATAACAGCTAAATACGCCATGATCACTGATTCCTCTTATTCACTGTAACTCAAGGCTATTCATGATGATCTTAGGAATGCTTCTTAGTACCTGAGACCACACTATCACTTCAGCAGTTCCTTAAATGAGAAAGGGCAGTCTAATAAGGTGTCAGTAGCCAATTTCTAACATTTTGGAGCAGCTGGAGTAACCAGGCTGCACAACTTCTTTGGCAGCATCAGCTTTCAATTGACCACACATGGGTGACTACAGCAGTTCCTTAAATGAGAATGGCTACTGGCACCTTATTAGACTGCCCTATTTCTAACGTTTTGGAGCAGCTGGAGTAACCGGGCTGCACAACTTCTTTGGCAGCATCAGCTTTCAATTGACCACACATGGGTGGAGGGCCCTGTCTCTAAGCAGCAGAACCAACTCTGTCCCTGCTGCCAAAGCCACCACAATGTACCTTGGAAGGCAAGAGGCTGCTGCACAAATAAGTATTATGGTGATGCCCTGGGGCAAACAACTAATGGGAGAAAGATGTAGCAGGATGCTACTGCATCCTGTCATTTTTATGTGTGAATTATTATGCTTCCCATCACCACAGTTACTTCAGTTGCTGGGTAGTGCTGTTGAAAAAAACTTATGTCTGGTCTTTCACACATGTTTAAATAAAATTATTTAGAGGAATGAAAGTACTGTTGTGTATCCAAACCAGTGAGGTCAAGCATGATTTCAATGCTCAGGACAGACCTTATTTGCAGCATCTCTTGCCTGCTGAATCAGCTCTCTTATGCGATTTATGTTCTCAGAGATGTTGCTGATTGGCATCAGCTGTTGGTTGATACTCTTGATCTTGCTGAACAGATCTGGAAGTTGGTTTGTCAGATTTTTTACTGCAATGAAAGAAAGCAAATAATTGATATTAAAAAGGAGGAGGAAAACAAGATGCAAAAATATGGTATCACTACACAAGTATCAGAAAAGCAGTGGACAGGGTAATGACAAAACGGTTTTGACTGGTCCTACAATATTAGGAAGCTTTCACTAAAAGTAGCAGTTTATACAGAGGTTATTGTACTCCTGAAATTTTTGGCCAAAGGTATTTGCAGAAGCAGTCAGAATCAGCACTTCTAAAAATGTTTTAGATAAAGAAAAAAGTATTAAGTAGAACAGCTATGTGGTCTCTGATATTATTTCCCAGCGGCAGTGCATGCTAGGGCAGAATGAGGAGAGCAGATAGGCTTGTAGCATCTTCTACTGCCACTGTCAGAGAGTGAATAATGGCAGTGCATGCTAGGGCAGAATGAGGATAAAGGAGAGCAGATAGGCTTGTAGCATCTTCTACTGCCACTGTCAGAGAGTGAATAATGGGGTAGGCAGACTGCTGGCCTGACTGAGTAAGGCATGAATTATATTCTTGTGTCAAGGTTGCTAATCATTACAGTTGAGCAGTCTCTTATAGTATCTGGCTAGGTTTATTTAAGAGAAAAAGAAATATTATGAGAATTTCAACTTTTGTTATAATAGGAAACAATTTCTCATCTCCAACCCAATGATGCAGACAGCAAACAAAATGAAATCCTGACCTTCTGTATTTCTAAATATGACTTCTAAACCAGTTTTGTAACTGTAGGGATGACTTGCAACCCTGCAACACCATGCAGGACGAGCTCTTCTATTTATATTATTTAAAATGTTTTTCTCTTACTTGACTTTATCAGATAAAGCTGCTGAAAATACATAAAATGAAGTTGATTGGGAATGTGATTGTCCCTTATTTTGTATTCAGCTGGCTCTGTGCAATCCTTTTCACTTAATTTCAGCTAACAGACATGTAGCCTAAGGTAATTGTCTAGGGCCCTTCTTCTAGGTAGCAGAAAATCACATAATAACAGAGCAGCTGAGGTTGGAAGGAACCTCCAGAGGTCACAGTGTCCAACCTCTGTGTTCAAGCAAGGCCACTTAGGTCCAGTAGCCCAGAATTGTGTCTAGGCAGGCTTGTGAATATTCCTGAGGATAAGACTACACTACCTCTTCTCTGGGCAACCTGTGCCAGTACTCAGTCACCCTCACAGCAAAATAACTGTTTTGTCATCTTCAGATGGAATTTCCTGTGCTTAAACCTTTTACCCCAGGGGCACACTGCAGGCTCATCTTCAACTTTGTGCCCACCAAGACCCCTGAGGTCCTTTCCTACAAAGCTTTTTTCCAGCTCCACCACCTGCTCAGCCACCTTTACTGGTACATGGGTTTATTTCTCCTCAAGTGCAGGACTTCCATGTTGGACTTCAAGAGGTTCCTGAGAGTTTATTTCCACAGCCTGTTGAGGTTTGTCTGGATGGCAGCACAACCCTCTGGTGTATCAGCCACTCCTTCCAGTTTAGAGTCAGGAGCAAATGTGCTGAGGAACACTCTGCCTCATCATCCAGATCATTAATAAGGGTGTTGAACAGGATCAGACCCAGTATTGACTCCTGGGTTCCCCATTAGTCACTGGCCTCCAAATCTTCAGAGACCAGTCATGGCACCAGCTTTTAACACATACCACAGGATGGCCTGAGTCACTTTCTGCTGTGCCTGTCCCTTTCTACTGGCCATAAAATAAGTTCAGAATACTAGCTTAGGGTAGGTGCCTAACTCTTGAGTGATCAACGCTTCTGCTGCAAACTGGCCATGTTCACCCCTACAGTGATTTGGCAGGTCCCACACAGCACCTGCAATACCTGAGTTGTTTGCCTCCATCAGTGCTTTATTGAAGCTGGCACTCTGTGTGCTCCCATAGTTACTCTTAATTCTTTCCACTTCTGCTTCGATTGGGACCAGTTCCCCCAACACACTATTGGTGACAGAGTTGGCATTTTCTGCCATGTTCCTTGCACTGCTGATGATGCTGTCGATGTCACCTGAAACACACAGAAGTGAACATGCAGATTCTTACAGTAACAGACAAAAGGGGCAGGCCAGAATTGATCCCTAAGTAACAAACCTCTGTTTATCCCATTGAGATTGTTTTGAGCAGTGACAAGATCAATTTTCAGTGAATTCGTCTTTCCATCAGCGACATCAAGTCTTTGCTTTAGGTCTTCAAGGTTAGGACCAAGAGCTGCAAAACAGTGAAAGGCCCATGAGAATGTTAAAGAAAAATATCAATTTTCTGTTGGGCAGGTGGTGTTGCAGCACTTGTCTACAACCTTACACAGTTCATGATGCCACTGAGCAAAGGCAAAGTACAAGGCAAAGAATTTGCTGGACAGGAGGACTGCAAAGGTGTATAGCATAGGAAGCCAGAAATCTACTTTCTTGCTTTTTTGCTATGGAAAATAACTATGACAAAAAGTCCCACTGTAATAGAACTCGCATTTTTTCATTGAAAAAGTGCTGAAGGACTTTGCTGAGATGTGAAAATTTATGGTTCAAGGAAAGTTACTTGTGCCGTGCCAACATTTCTAGTACCACTTCCTTAGTACCTTGCAAAGTCCTTTTAGTCTCCTGTGCTTGATCCATCAGTGCACTGCTCTCAGTTTTTAACCTTGCAGCTTTTCCTGATAGGTCTTCTCTCTTCACAGTCTGACAATGGAAGCACAGTACTGTAAGATCACTTGATAATTACATTAAAACTTAAAGAGAAAAAGAGAGAGGCCAATCCAATTTAAAGAACCCCCAACTCCACTGAGATCTCATTTGAAGAACATTACCTTTAGCAACAACTACCCAGGTTAATTCAAGCATACTACAACCTTGGTCTTTAGCAATCTTCAGATGGATTTTAGGGCATTTGGAGGAAATTGCTAGCATTCAGCTGTTGGATGTTATATCTCTGCTGAAGAGCTTGTGGGTATTAGTAGTACAGAGTAAAAGAGAATACCTGAAATCACCTGCAGTGATTACCAGGCTTGCCTTGTCAGATCTCTATTTTGCACTGAAAGTAACAGTCAGTATTCATACAGGCAGAGCCATCAGAAGGGCACTAATTGGCCTGGTTAGTGCTGAGCCAAGACTAATTAATCAACATGCAGAACAGCAACTCATATAAAAGGTCACAGAAAAATAAAGCATGCCAAGACACACAGCTGTTTCATTTTGGGGCCTCTGTGAAAAAAAAAAATAGAAGTCTAGTTGTGACAAGTTTACCATGATTTGGCCACTTACTGACACTTACTGATAAAGCTGAGTCAGCTGCTTTCCCAGCTTGGCTGGCTGCCTCCTCTGCTGCCTTGATGGCACCAATGATATTGTCATAGGCAGTAGAAGCTTCCACAGCACAGCCCACCAACTCGTCCTTCCGGGCACTGTTCTTTATTCTGTGGGAAACAGGATGAAAAATGCAGCCTTCTTCCAAGGCTGTGAGATGGATTCCGAACAGATCTGAACTCAGTATTTTCTAAGTAGCGCCAACTAGAAAAAATGTTTTTCAATTAGATCTGTAATTTCAGTCTACAAAAATATCAATTGGAGATAGACTAACATGGAAAGACTCTTCAGAAGACAGGAGAAGTTCAGGCATATGGAAAAGCACAGATGTGAGACTCCAAAGCAGCCTTCAAATGATTAAGACTGAGAGAATTCACCAAAGCATATGGTCAATAATAAGGCACCTCAATCCCAGCCCTCCAAATACAATTCAGTTAGGAGGAATTCAGAGAACTGTAGGTGTCAGATCATCGAGCAACTACAAGACCTTTTGTGTTTTCCCCAAGAACCAGCACAGCAGCTCTGAAATCAGAAATGACAGAAAAAAAATCTCTTCTACCCACTCCCTGTGAACTATACACCTGTCTAGTACTAGATGCTTTTATTTGTGAGAACAGTGCCTTCTTAATTGAAAAAAATCACATTGAAAACAAATTAATTAAAACATGTTTTCTACCCAAGACTTTTCCAGCCACGTTAGCTATTTTGGAATTTAACTTTCTGAGACTGTGCAGTTGGTGCAACGACAAAATGTAATTTGTACAGGGAAAAGTAAATCAGGATTTCACTTTTTTTTTTCATTTTGTTCTGATGTATCACAGAAGGCCTCCAAACCCCGTCTCAGAATTCCAATGCAAAATACAAATAATGGAGAAAGAAACACTTGATTCCTATCAAGTTTATAATATTTCTGCCTTTCTAGAAGATTCCTTGAAGGATGAGAAAACCAGTGGAGGTTTTTTCCTCCATAGTGCTGAAGACTTCCAAGACAGCCATTTATTCAAATTATTTGCCTCAATTCTTTGATACCACATAAGCATCCCTGAGTACGAGTACCTGAAATAACTCTACAAAAAATATGCTAAACATCTTCCCACTCTGTACATGAGGATTTTCTCTTGCTAGTAAGATGCTAATGAAGTGGTTAATACAGTAGTATGAAACAGTATCATGTGAGTTCACACTTCTAAGGGAGGAAAAACCAGTAAAAATACAGGAAGATCTGGTTTTTGGAGAAAAAGAAAACTTGATCAAGAAGCAGAAAGAGACCAACTCAATTTCTCTCTAGGTTTGCAAATGGTTATAAAAGCAAGCAAAATTACAGAGCATTACAACCACTTTTTTTGTTTTGTACAAAAATTACTCATTTATAGGAATGGCAACATACTCTTCCAGTTGCTTTGCCAAATCTTGCAAAGATTTGGCATGTTCCTCGGCCCTCACCACCAGTGGTTCTTTGCTTGCTGATGAGAGATTTGCCACTTTTTCATTCATGTCCTTCCTTGCTCCATCCAGCTGAGCAGCCAGGCTTTCATATTCCTATGATTGTAAGAAGATATAATTTTATTTGTATTTGTACATGTTTCATTACATTATGCTTCCAGACCCATTATATAAAAGCTGAGTCAGAGCAAAGACCCTTCTAGCTTAGTATCTTGCCCCTCTGACAGTGGCTAAAAGCAATTAACCAGAAAGAAATACAAGAATAGCATAATTGTTTATGGTACTTCTCACAGATGTCCTCCCAAATTCGGATATCTGCAGCTCAGTGTCTTTCTCAGACACATCACAACCTTCAACAAGCTTCTCTTACAGAAACCTGTGCAGGCAGGCAGACTCCTTATGTATCCAGGATGGGCTGTGAGATCCTTTCTTTCTTGACAGACTCAGATAAGCCTCATCTCCAACAAGATACTGGGGTTTTTAACTTTCTCTTAAACTTTACCTCTTTGCTCTCTTGCAATAATCCAAGCACACTCTTAGCTTGCATCAGGGAAGATCGGGCTGAGCTCAGAATATTCAAGACACCATTCTGTTGCACAGTTGTCTCCTCAATCCGTTTCTGAGGAAAAATGGGAAGTTGATTAATGTGTGATTGAGTTAAGGTAAGTGGCATGAAAAGCTGTATCTTGAAATCAAAATTAAAAAAAGCTGAAACAAAACAACAAACCCAAACCTAATCTAGTTGGCAGTAGGATTTACCAAGGGCACAGTCACTTTTTTTTTCTTAAATATGGACATGAGTGTGCTAAACCAGTGATACATTTCAACAAGACCACAATTAAGAGAATGTGTCCTGCAGCACACACTTATTCCTGGTACGGTTTTACCAGCTCTAAAATTCAAACACTGCTCAGTAATAACAGCTGTTCCTTGTCCTGAAGCTGTTCTATAGAACACTAAGCCCAAATAATTTAAGTATTGCACCCATTTTTGCTCCCATCTTTCATGGCTATTAAGGCTAAATACATTAAAGAACTTACTATGAAATGCACATCAGCAGCACAAATTTGGTCTAGAAAAGGAAACAAAAGCACTAGTGGCAGCTGGAAAGAAGTGCTGGGAAGAGACTGTCCTTCCCTGCTCTCAGAGCTATGTCTTGGTCTCACTGTTCTGGTCACACAAAGAGGCCATAAGCAGCAGTACACCACATTCACACCTGTTCACACACCCGTCAGAAGATGGAAAGAGACCCTGAAGAAAGTCTAGAAAGAATTAGTGTTTTGTGAGGTCAAAAGCAGCAACCAAAACCACTTATCTTCTGAGGTTTAATTTTTTTTCTCCTGATGCCCAACATTACCTTAACGTCTTCTAACAGAACTGTGTTGTCTCTGTTTAAGCCTTCAGCCTGCTTGATTTGAGCTGTCGCATCATTCAGAGCTTCACGAAGGTCAGCGATTTTGGATTCATACTCATTCAGTGCATCCCTCACAACTTTAATAAGCCCACGATTCTCTTGCTGATACTTCTGTAGTTCATTCTTAATGCGTGCCAGTACTGCAGTATCAGGACCAGAAAGAAAAGTTTTGTTCAGAGAAGGAGGGAGCAAGAACAAACTTTGCTAAAAAGGCCTTGGCATTTAGGATTATAAAGCTGTACTTATGTGAACTGAGCATCTTCTGCAATGCTAATTTCAGTGCTACTACAGCAAAGATACTATTTAGCATCTCTCTGGATCAAATCTGCTCACTAGTTTGCTGCTGCAGACATAGAATACAGATAAATGTTCTCTTAATTAAGTAAGGATGACACTGATCTGAAAACACTAATTTTCTTTTTTATATGGAAATAACAATTTCATCTACAATGTAGACATCTACAACTGTGCTAGCTATCAAAGTCTCCTCTGTAATCAATAGAGATATGAGCACATTTAATTTCAAAGAACATAGAAACATAAAATATGTCATTATCAAAGCCTCCTCTGTAATCAATAGAGAGATATGAGCACATTTAATTTCAAAGAACATCGAAACAAAATATGTCAAATTAATCACACTCTTTAGCATGCCCATTTCACTGCTGACAAAACAGGAGACAGAAGAGTCACTCAGAGGTAGGTATCAATGTTCAAGGTTGGTTGAAATTAACTGTCACACATATGGGTGACATGCACATTTCACATTCCTCCACTATGCCCCTGATTAGGAGATAAGCCTGCAACTTTTCTTGATGTCTCCACTGTCAGGAATCAAGTTTCTGAATGTCCCAGTCAAACACTTGCAGAGAACATGACAGGGAGTACAACTAGTGCAACTAGAATTGAACTTCCTTGTCCTTTTATGACCTGGCCCTTGGACTACTCTAGCAGCTTCTGAAAATCTGTTGTTAAATGGAACACACAATTCCTCTAAAATAACTCTGTGTACCATTGCCTATCTCTTACAATACACAGAAGTGTTGCATAGGTGTGTTAGGATTAGCTACATCTTTATTTTATTGAGATTGATCTAGTTACAAAAGAAGGCTCTACTGGGTTTCTTCCCCAGCTCAATCCATTTTCTTCTGTAACACACTAAAAATGCCTTTAAATCCCCTCCAGAACTATCACTTTCCTGCCGACTAAGAACAACATCAAATCTCAGGGACACCCTGCAAAAGGCCTCTCCCTCTACTCCAACCCAACCAATAATTCTTCAGATTTAAGACTGATCTTTCTAGAAAGCCAGAAGCTGAGAGAACAAGCACTTACACTGCTGAGCTTCCGCCCGCTCCTTCTCTGCCTCAGCTTGCAGCTGGCCGAAGTTGCGGCTCCGCATCTCGGCCATCATGCGCTGAGCTTCAGCCAGCTCCTCAGAGGCATCTCCCAGGGGCAGGTTGTTGCCTTCTGCGTCTGTGCCAGCTACCTGTTCCAAGAGTGCTGGAGAAAAAAAACACTGTCAAAGTTAAAAACAGGATGTGCTTAAGCCTATTCAAAATTCCCAAATGACGGAGCCAACATCTTCCGAGATGGATCTGCTTCGTTAATGAATTCAGGAATAGGCAGGCATGTCTTTTTTTCCTTAATGAAACAGATTCATCTTCCATTGATTCTATTAAGATGAAAAGTATCCTATGACACACAACCAGGGAGAGCAAGATGGCATTGGCCTTGAAATTTGTCCCAAATGATCAAGTTCACTGAAATAATTTTAAGCTAACTTTAAAGAGCCCATGATAACAACCCAGAACAAAATTAGACTTGAGTCAGGATAGTCAAATTTGTTGCTAGAAGTGTCTCTATAGTGAAGCTTCTCTGTCCCTTTTCACTTCATAGAGAAAGTAGGGTCCTAAACTATTATATATTAGCTTTCTAATAGGAAGAGTGAATATTACAGCTGTGACTAAATTCTGATCTACAAAGTTGTTTTCTAAGAAAACTTATTTGTAATTAAGGAGATTGCAAATAAGCTATAAAAAAACTTAAAGATGCTATAAATAAAACATGAGTTAGAAATTTTTTTTTTACCTCGTATATTGTTGACCACCACTTGTATTTGTGAAACCAAATCCTTTCCTTTCTGATGAGTTTGGCCAAAATTGTTAAATAATCTCTCAGCTTCTTTGTAGTTCATTTCAGCCTAGCAAGGAAAAAAACTATTAGATTAAAAGTATCTGGATACAGCATGCTAATACATAGTCAGGAGACATGTACTTTTAAATTGATTTGGTAAATCACCTTTTCCTGGAGAGCATTTACAGCACGATTTAGTTTAATGAATTCTGTCTCCAACTCATCTACCTTCGAACCTTGATTATGAACAGCAGAACGGTAATTATTCAATAAGACCTGAAAAGAAAGGAAAAAATTAATCCAATAAATCACTCACTGCACAGCAGACAAAAAAAAACAAAAAATTCACTGGATTAAATCTTTACCCAAGATAGATACAAGCAGAATTACTGATATGAAAACTGAACAATTCCTTCCCAAAACCTGAGGGTTTTATCTGTAAGTATAGCAACTGCTATTCCAAAGAACATTTTTTAAATGAATTTTGGTAATGACAAGTGGAATGCTGGGGGTTTTCAGTAATGCAGAGACAGGAAGTGCTTTAAAAAGACATAGCTAGAGGGACACCTCAGAGGTATAACTTCCAAGGTGAGCAGGCCTCAGAAAAGCTGCAATACTGATTGTGTTTCAGAGCATGACATGGAAACCAGAGCTACCTTCTACCAAGTGAAGCCCACTGCTGCCAGCATTTGGTATTTGGAATCCAGGGTTGATGTATGTCTTCTTGCAAGTGACAAGCCTATGGCAAAGGTTCCTGGGTTCACTGCCTATCCACTTAATCTGAAATCCACTTTTCTGTATTTCTGTGTGCCTACCTTTAAGTCCTTGATGCGTGTTTCCAGGTCTCTCATCTGCTCCAGAGTGTGGGTACTTGCATGGACATTTTGCAGCTGAGACTTGATGAGCTGAAGCTCATCACCCATTGTGCTCAAATCCTTCAGCAGTGTAATCACACAGCTGTCGCAGGCTGGAGGGAGCAGTGGAAATCAATACATATCATTGATATTTAACACAGAGAACATTTCACTGAACACATCAGTCATGGTGCAAAAGCTTTGAAGCTTGTCACCTGGTGTAGTCAGAAGAACAAAGGCAACAACAAAGCCTGCAGCATTAAGGAAAGTGACTTAAGTCAGAAGTAAGGAGGAGGTTTCATTTACACCTGACTAGATGAGTACACCTCTTTAATAATTTTTCCAAGTATCTGGTTGAATGCTTGCTTTTAAAACATTCATTACAGGATATCTCAGTCCTTTTTAAACTATGTCACCCTTAAAAGAGTCAGCAGTATGTATTCAGAACCAGCTGAAAGTAATGCAAGTGCAGTTCTATTTTATCACTTACAGTCACAATCTTCATTGGGATCCACATCTTTTGGTTCATTATTGAAACATTCTGAAATCACAAGATTAGTCATTAGTAACCAAAGTCTTCTTATGGAAATACTACTGCATTTTTTCCCTCACTTTTCATGTTTGGGAGCCATTAAAACATGATGCTGCCCTTTCATAAATCCACACCCACTGTGAATGAGCTGAAATGCTCAGAAGGCTTGAGCAGACCAGAACATTTAATTCCCACTAATGCCTTGATGAAAGCAACACCTTTTCCATCCCACAAAGGAAACCTGCTGTAATCCCACAATATATGCTACTTGGATAGGAGCAGGAAACCCTCTCACACCAAGTGTGCAAAATGTATTGCTAGAATTTGTCTAGGATTGGAGACAAGATTATATTGTTATAGAACTTCACCCAGGACATAGGTTCAAGCCCCTTTTATCTACTTCAGTATCCAGGTTCAAACCACAGGTTCTGATTCCCCAAAGAACGTCTTACCCACAAGGAACTGAGAAATATTTATGGCCTTCCTTCATGCCTGCCACAGCTCGCAAGATTATGGTATTAATCAAGCTTGAGAGAAATCCACAGTGTGTGTGAATAGATGGAGGCACTGTATGTAAGACAAGGCAAGCAGCTTGGACCACAGATGCAGGTCGTATATAACAAACATTGCCCTCAGACTTTCCAACAAGCCAGTGCAGGTGATTTCCTGTCCAATGCACTCTTTTGTTTGGTTTTTACAAACCCTGTTATAAGAAGCTTAACAGTCTCCAGGTGCACATGGAGTAACATCCTAGGATACTAACTTCTAGGATGCAGGAGAGGAATTGGCTCCTAAAAGTGTCATAATAGGACAGGAGTCTCCCCATCTTGATGCCCGAGTTCCTTTTACAGGCTTCGTCCCACTGCCAAGCTCTCATCTCCTCTTGAAAATGAAAAGAGCTGTGCATCTTGGTCAAAGATTGAACCTGATGATCCTGAAAGTCTTTTCCAACCTTAATGATTCTATGTCATTTACTCTAAGGGAAAAGGATGCACTCAGTATAGAGTCAAGAGTCATCAACAGTTTGCAACTTGTGAGAGGATACAGTGATTAAATTGGACCTGAACTTTACCAGCGGCATGAAACAGCCTGGAACAAATTGCCTAGCTGTGCCATTTCCTTTGGCACTTGCACATTAAGTCATCAGGAAGTTAAATGGGATTGGTGGTGATCACTGCTGCCAAAAGTAGAAAAATCATAAGAATATATTTTTAAGAGGATGAAGGAAATTCCTCTGAAATGCAAACATCCATGCAATTCTGCTGTTGTGTAGTTCAGCTAACAGCAGGCCCATGTCAGCCGTCACCATGAAGTACCAATTAAATAAAACTATTATTACAGCTTGTGCACCAACATCAGCCAAGAAATGGTGACGTGCTGGCAAAGTGCCGAACATCACGCAAAAGGAACCTGCTAGAACGTGCTGTGCCGGTGATCTCAGAGGGGCTTACCCCTTATACAGAGAAAGGGACTAATGCTGATGAGGAGGAAAACAAACTGGCTTGTTGAATATTGCCCTACGGATTAGTTTGTCCTAGCAAACTGTTGCTTCAAAAAAGAAAGGAATGATAAAACATCAAACACTGCTTGGATCTGTTCCATATAATAGAGATGTATTACTTCAATGATGAAATATGAAATGAGAGCAAGCTATTGAAAAATTGCACCAGCTGCCAACAGCAGTTCACATCACCTGCTGTTTCTGATTTCTGTGGCCAAGGAAAGACAATGGGTTCCTTGCAGTTAATAGACTGCAGGATGAACAGCAGTGCAGAGAAATGAAGAGGACAGAAATATTTGGAGTTGTTAGCTGGAAACTTCACTAACATATGAAGAAGAAAATCTGTCTACAGGGAAGAAAGAGTGAAATGTTATTGGTGAAAGAAAATATGGGAGAATCAAGGACATTTCAGGAGCAGTGGCCTCTGAGATTCTGAATATAAAGGAGTATCACAAGGGACTGAGGTGGATTGAGGTAAAGACACTCTGAGAAATGTAAGATCAGGCCCTTTACTTCAGAATTCTAATAGATAAAGCAAACATATGCTCATATCATTATGTAAGAGCTTACTAGTCGTGAAGTACATGTGTGACTGATTCTGGGAAATCATTAATGTTTTAGCTAAAAGAGCAGCATAGCAGGATTTATAAAAGAGTCTCCTGAGTCAGGTTCTAACTTCCACTGCAAATGCAGACAGCTTGGATACCTAAGACAGCAGTGCCTGAAGCAGACTCTGAAGATTTCACTGAACTGTGCCAAATACATTTTAAAAAGGCATTTTCAGGATGCTCAGTTTCCTAAATCCGTAGGACAGACTGGCAGGATATTATTTAACCCTGTCAACAAAGGAACCATGATATATTTAAAAACACTGCCATGAAACAAAAACAAAAAGTTAGCAGTATTTACGAAGGGAAATACAGGACAAAACCATTTAGAAGGGTAAATCTGATGACTCAGGGACAGCCCTTCTATTACTGTTGTGTTGCATTTTAGGAAATCTTAAATTTTGGAAAAATTATCTACATTTCTTTTAAGTCCAGATATTTCCTGCAGTTCCTCTTATCCAAGTAGCTTCCTTCTTTGCTTCCCAAACAGAAAAAAATGCTCTCTTCCATTCAGAACAATGCTACATTCACAGGCCCTCACATACCTCCAGTCAGGTGGTCACAGCTAGCCAGTTGTCCATTATTGTTACAGTTACATTTCTGACAGAAGCCTCCATATTTTTGTGGATTTCCAAAATATCCAGGAGCACAGCTAGATAAAGAGATACAAGTAATTTTGATTAAGTAGTTGAAGCTAATTTTGTGAAATGTACTTTCCCTTGAGATAAAAACTCAGTTTGCCTGAAGAAACTTTCAAGAACTTTTGATTTCATGTCTTGACTTAGACAGAAAAAATATATTTTTGATTTACAGTATCCTCTGCACTATGCTAAAAATATCTTTGCGAGTGCTGGAGGATTTTTTCTAAAAATAAAAGAACTCCCACAGTGCTCTTGCAGGAATAATTCACTTAATCTGACAAGAATTTGACAAGGCTTAACCAAGCAAACCGTACCATTCTGGCCTGTGATCCCACCAGGAAACACATTCTGAGGGGGATCAGACTGCATGCACAGCTGATATTTCAAACAGCAACAGCACTGAATGACATCATCACCCTTCTGCTGTGTGATACCCCCTCTTGCCTCCTACCAGCAAAGCAGTCCATGTGACTGATCTCTAAATATTTTAAAGATAAAATATATTGTTTATATGTATATTGTTTACACTGGATAGGTAACATTCCTAGAAGTCACTCAGTGGTAAGACCTACAAGGGTGATAATGCAGGATCAAAGGGCCATGATGAGCAGCTGAGGTACAGCTATACCTGGAACAGAAAAGACCTACAACCTGCAGATTAGACAGGGTCAAAGGTACCAGTCTTGGAGGACAAGATCATGTCCTACTGCAGGTCCTGTCTTCAGATGTGACATCATGACTTATTAGCTTCAAATTAACAAACCAGACAACACCACTGCATTACACTTCAGTTCTCTCTGGATTTGAAAGTCAGTGAAATTGGTTCCTCTGCCTGCCTGAAACCGTCATGCTGTTCCTCTCTTGCTTTGCCAGACTGCTGCAATGTTCCAGCAAAAGAGACGGCTTCAGCCTGGTCTGTGTAATTGCCAACTGAGAATAATTTGGGATGAAGGGTATGGTGCTAAATGTTACATGGTTTCTGTTGGATAAGACCACTGAGGCACCATTGTATACCCTGGAGGAAAGGGGAAAATGTTTTTAACTTGAAAAGGGGTGAAATAAGAGGGAGTGCAGGATGAGGCGAGGCATAGGGCACTTCAGCAAAGAGGCAGACACCTCTTAGGTAAAAATGGTGCAGTCAGTAGTCTGTGGAGAATTGCTTACATTTCCCCAGGGAGCATTGAGTTTGTGACTGGAATTACACCACGGCACCACTCTTCAGCAGCTGTTCATATAAATAGCTGCTCCTTATGTACATGCATACTGTGCACAGGTGCATGTCCATATGTCCACATGTGTCTGTCCCAATACAGACATCCCTCCTTTTGTTGTGCCTCTCAAAACTCTTAGTTTTGAGAAACAGGTTACTCACCGTTCACAACGAGCTCCAGTGTAGCCTTCCTTGCAGAGACACTGGATTTCTTCACCATTTGCCACACAGCCTGCTGCAAATCTTTGAGAAGAAAAAATTAATGTGAGCACATGATCAAATAGGTTTTACACTCCAGAGGTTCAGTTTAATGACTTTCAGATTAAAAAGTTTTTACACAACCAAATTACTTCTCAGCTAATTTAATTGCCTCTAGACAATTTATTGTGGCTAATTCTTTGAAGTTTCATATTCTTTTGTGCAAGTCATTTCCTTAGAACTCAAAAAATTATAATTTCTTGGCCCTGTGGACTAAGTATAATAGTTCACTACCCAAAGGAATCCCTAAAACAAACCTTAATAGTGATGTCATAAAACAAGTCTGGGTAGCTACTTTATCTTAGTCGGCAAGAACCAATAGCCTGTGCTAGACAGACATTTCCTCATGTTTATGCTTTTTTTTTCCTTTTTAATGGATGAGAACATTAAAGGATATTTCTACATAGCTAATGTTGTTTAGGGTTTTTTTTAACCAAGGCAAAGTAGAGGTGTGCACAGTTTTTGAAATCCCAAGGATCTGGTTAACACAATGAACTTTCTTCTCTGCTCCTTCAAGCAGATTTGCCTAGATTCAAAGTTCAATGTTTGTGAAGGAGAAGGCAGGAGGTGAAGCAGGGCCATGTTTGCTATTTTCATTTTTTAATCTATGAATGGTTGGATAAAGCAAGTCTGTGTATCAAAGACAGAGGTCTGCACTAAGAATTGCTGGAATTGACTGGATGAAAAATTGTTAATTCCAGTAATGCCAGGTGGGGTGCATTTCCTATGTCAAGAACGATATTCACCACCCTAATCTGCAGTTATGAAACTGCACAGGTTTATGGTCTCCCTAGATATTTCAGAACTCTGAAAGCAAATGATGACTAAAAACATGTTCAGTCAGCCTCAGGCAAGCACCTGCAGAAGAGGCTGTCAAAACCAGATCTATCAGAGAGTTCTCTGATAAATGATAAACCTGTCTATTGTCTGATGGTGTAAATCTCCTACTTAAGGTTATGGTGGTGTGTGCTAATGCACCTGGCAAATACCATGTGGTGCCTTTAGCAATTTATAGCTTAGGGTTTGCTGTTTTGGTTTTTTTTTTTAATTTTATTTTATTTACCATGGTTTAGAGGTGACCAATGATGACAATCTGGCTAAATATACCACGCATTTAAAATGTAATTAACTGCTCAGTTTTAAAAGCCTGGCAACCTTATTAGATACAAGCAAGTTTCATTTTTTCACCTTTCATCTCAGTACGTTTGCACTTCAAACAGAACTTTGACAAGATAAAGCGATCACACTCTTTTAGAGTTTTAGATAAGTGCTTAAGACCTTAAATGTTTTTATATTTTTTTTTGTTTGCATCTTAATTATTTTTCTGAATTCCTATAAAAAGAGATGTTTCACTGTTTTCTCTTATTTTCTAGCCAGAGTAATGGTGCTAAACATCTTGCATTCCAGTAAAAAAGGAGGATTCTGGATATGCCCAGTAAGGGAAAAGACCTCATTGTATATTTCTCATTATGAAGGAAGTTCTGGTGGTTTTGAAAAAAAGCCCACTTCTACTCTCTGAGTCTCCCCAAGGCTATGAGCAGTGTGCCTCTGAAGATCAGGATCTGGATGAGAATTTGAATACTCAGTTTATTAAAAAAGGCAATGCTGTGAGACAGACCACCAAGCTCTCAATATGAGAACAGAGGAGAAGATCATTATACTCCTAGGGTAGCAGAGTTTGGGCTTTGGGATTTTCTCTCTCTCTTCCTCTTTTTTTCTTTTTCCGTTTTCTTCCCACCCCCTGCTTGACTCTTCTTACAAGCTTTTACTGTACCTGTTTGTATATGGGCAAGGACATTCCCGGCAGGAACCTTGAGTGGCATCTCCAAAATAACCATCTTTACAGTGCTCACATTTCTCCCCAGCAGTATTGTACTGACAGTCCTTGGAAAGGAAACGAGCAAGACATTTAGCAGGGCTTTATCACTCAATATGGCTTTACTATTATTTAAAAAATACAGCCTATTTACTCAGAGAATATGCTCTTTTTCTTCCATATAAGCAAGATTTACTGCAAAATTGCCTTCACAATTAGGATAGAACAGTTTCAGTCAATTTTCTAACTGTACAAAGCCCAATTTCCTCTCTCTTGTGGAAAAACAACCGATAAGTTGAATTCAACATATTTTTTAAGAAACTCAACCAAATGCATAGTTAGTAAAGGAGCATTCCATTAATCCTCTCTCTCTGTCTTCATATTACAGTTAAAAATCACTATGTTTAAATATATGTACTTATATATAAATAAAACTTTCAATTTTGCATCTTAACACTACTTAGAAGGCAGGTACCATGTAAAAAGCATGCAATCAATTAAGCCCAAGTGCATTACTTTAAAAATCTCATTAAACAAATACAAAAATTGTTTCTCTTAGTAGATTCAGACCAGAACTGAGTTTCATGTAGTTTCTCCAGTGTGTGTGTTAATTATATTTTTCTGTAGTAACTGGAATAAATAATAGAAAGCAAAAGCTAAGAATACAATTAAAACTGATGCAGCTGACCCCCTTTCCCATGATAAAATTGTTAGGAATTATATCTTGATTTAGAAACATTCTTAATTCTAGTGTTGCCTAATTGTCATATGTTCATATTTTATGGGTACAGAATAAGGAAGTTGCCTTTGCATTACCTAAAGTGTTTCTAATTTAAAATAGAAGTTGTTCAAGTACATAAGCAGCATAAAAATACATAAGCAGGCATAAGAAAAATATCAAATGACTAACAGTCGAGAGGCATTCACACTCCCAAGTTCTACAACTGTTTGTCTTCTGTGCAACAGACTGATCAAATGTCCCACAGAGCTGAAGGCTTACTAACACAGCAAAAGAAAATAGAAAGTGGGAAATCAGCTGGAAGCAGTCACTGAGCAAACTGTGCTTCCATTTCAGAGACCTCAGTGGCTCAGGGCTACATTTGAAGACCTACTACCATGACTGGCAGAAGAGGGGTGTTTTTCCCTACAAATGAGAAACAGCTCTCTCTCTCCCATCTCCTCTAAAACTCCATTCTCCTTCACATTTCTTCACACCAGATTGCCTCAACCACATGCCCTTCCTTCAGGTGGTAACCCCTAACTTGTTTTCATTTTGGTTAAAGAACTGTATCTGTGGCTCACTGATAAAAGGTTGTGGTTCTAGGAAAGAAGAGGAGAAGTTCCAGTTCTCATATGAGCCATTTGACATGAAGTTAAATCAAGTATCACAAAGGCACTATGTTTGCGAAAGAAACCATTTCAAAATATGGCCTCTATAAAAGTTGGTATATATGTTCCTGCAAAACCTAATGGAAAATTCAGACTCTTTCTAAAAAATTACTATCAATTTTCATAATCCTGAATAATACATTCAATTGCAGAAAGAGTAAAAAAGATGTATTTAAAATATGTGTGCTGGTTTCATCTTAGAGCAACCTCCTCCCACAAGTTCATCTCCTGGCTTTTTGCTTTGCTCACTCTGTCTATAGAAACTGAAGCAATTCTGTAATTGCAAAGAAGATTTCATCTATTTCACATATAAGCCAGCATAAATGTGCCATGCTGCTCCTCTAGTTACGTGGCATATAAAGGTTGGGGCTCCCTAGGCACAGTGCAATGCAGCCAGAGCAGCAACGCCCTTGTGGGTCTTCCTTCAAGTTTTACAGGGTCAGATATGCCTGGAGTCACAGCACCTCCAAACCATCAGGTATTGCAAACCCTAAAGGACAACTTCCAGCTGACTCTGTATGCCCCCATATGCCACCAGGCAGTGAGAGCAGTGTGTCAGTGCCACAGCAGAGCCACCGAGGTTACGTCAAACACGTGGGGCTCCATGACATGAAGCAACACGCCGTGGGATCAGCAAGTCTCGGCACCATGCTGCTGCTGAGGGAATGTGCCTTCCAGGAGGAAGGGCAGGGACCACAGGGGACACAAAGCCTGATTAATGGCAGAGAAATGCTCTTTCCCTTCACATGAGAACCAAGGTCTTCATTCTTCTCCACCTCCCCCTGCGCCCTCCATTGTCCCCCTCTTCCAGCAGTATGGCAGTGCACTCCTCTCCTTCCAGCAGCATGCAGCAGCAGGAGAGTGACTGTCTGAGCCAGGGAGGGCTGTGCTGCTGCACAGGGGAAGGACCAGCCTGGGCTCAGCCTCCCTCACAAAGCTGCCTCTGGAGCTCTCACTGGAGCAACACTGAGAAATGTAGGTACTCAGGTCTGGGGGTCCAGTGAGGAGCAGGAACCCAAGTGAACAAGCTTTGCACTTTGGATGTGGAACTTGATGGCTCCACAATGGGAAGCCTCCTTGTCTTCTCTGCACCATGTCAGGTTTTTGAACCATGGCTCCTCTACAGAGAGACAAACTTGCTCTTGGTTAGGCAGAAATTCATGATGGAAATAAATGCCCTCAGGGCTTTCATTTTTCACCACATTATTCTGGATGACTTTGCCTGCCCAGGACTAAGGGCTGATTTAGCTCTACCTATCTGAAAGTTAATCCAGCTGTGAGAAGGACAGGATAAAGAAAAACCTAGATCACATACTTCATGAGGTGAAAGTAAAATTTGCCTTCGTAACTCTAATTTGAAGTGAAACTTCTTGATCTTTCTTGCTGTGCCACAGCACTTTCCTGTCACAGCCTGCCCTGCCCCTCCAAAGCAGCAGCCTGTAAGTCATCTCCCAGAATGTGCTGAATTGGTTTATAGTTTCCATTAAAGCAACACGGTTGGTTGAAACAAAGCTGGGGAGAATGACATAACGCGCAGGAATGTGCCGCAGGCTGAATGGATGCACTGCGAATGAGGGAGAAGTAACAGAAAAGACAGACCATGAAAGATGTTGGCAAGGTTCCTGTTTGCACAGTAAATGAAAAATTAGTAAAAGTTTTTTTAAGGGGGAATTTTTCAGGACAAACTATTCAAAGCAGCATTATGGATATACACTGGAGAAGCACAGTCAGCCAAGTGTCACACTTCCATTGCTGGGGGCTGATCCACTCCCATCGGGCTGCTTGGGGTTTAATACAGTGTGCCAGGGTGCAAAACCTGACCCACCACACTTTCTGTAATAGCTGAAATCTCCTAATTAATCTAACTTCTATTACTTTAATTTCATCTTATTCAATACTTTTTAACCCATCAGCTACAGACTATGATTAGTGGAGATGCACTGAAGCTGATTAAAGAAGATTCTGCAAAGCCCTATGCTATACATGAATGTGCTGTTTGTCATCATTATCCAAACATATCCTGGTACATCTGTATAAAGCTCAGGACTGCATATACCAGGATAAGATCCATGTTTATTATAAATAACTACAAATGTTTCCTTATGTACAAGTTTGCTGACTTTTTTGTAACCATGAGCTAGCAAAAAATTACAGGGGAAAGAAAAAAAGAAAGACAAGAACACAAATTATTCCAATCAATCACAGTTACATTAAATTTACATTTAAGTGTACACATCTTATGCTCATTAACAAAATAAAATTAAGAGAATGAGACATACAAGGATTATTCTTAGTTGCTTGGAAATTAACAATACTGTATGGTCCATACTGCAGTAAGAGAAATGTATTTTTCCTCCTTTTCTTCCCACTAATTTACTGGATGTTACTAATTACTTACAATACATTTTCCAGTACCATCTTGACATCTATTTGAATTTCCATTGCAGTTGCAGGGCACACAGCGTCCAGCAAATATTCCTTTATTCTCACGATAAAACCCAATGCTGCACTCCTGGACATCAAGAAGAAAGAAAAAAAAATGGTGAGCATTGATAGGAAGTTTTATATGTTACGGGAAGTGTATTTTGAAAATGTTTTCCATTTCCAAGGAGTAGTGAAGGCATGAATTTCCTTTCAAGCTCTCCTAACTCATACAATTGCTTAAACTTTTTAATGCAGTAAATAGCAATTAATGGAGATAAAGTTTCATCTGAACCCTGTGCTTTAGACAGTTTGGCAGTGATGATTTAATCATTTTGACTCTAACCGTGGAGAAAAAGGCATTTCCTGTGGCTATGTACAAAGCTGTAGAATATGATTTCTAAAGACAGAAAAACATACAAGCACACTGTAGTGTGAATCTAAAGAAGAGCACCTGGAAATCTCACATACTAATTAGTGGTTATATCTTGATAATAATTTCACTACAGTGTATTCTTTGGAAACAATTCTGGATACGTTTTATATACATTCATCACAACTTCCACAGTTTAGTCTACCAGGAGCTAAAGCCACACCTAGACATAGCTAGGTGATGTAACAAAACACAGTGGTCTAGTTTCTAAGTACAGGCTTGCCCTGGAGACTGGGGAAGCACGAGAAGAATGTTCCAACTATCGAGGGCACAGGAGCAGGAGCACAGCCTGTCAGATCACAGTTGGATTTAAACAGGGAGCTGAACCTCAGGGAAACTCTGAATGAAGGAAGAGACATCAAGCTTGTTTGCCTACAGCAGGGAGGCAGTAACCAATGTGTTAAAACCAGGCTCTTGCTTGGCACGGGCAGGGAAATCACAAGGAATTCCTCATGGAAATGAAGTCCTTCTGCATACAGATCAAAAATTCACACCCATCTTCTCCTGGAATACTCTGGGCACACCAACCACAATAAAAATTACAGGGCATCAGTCTGTCCTTCACATTCTGTAGCTCTTTTCCCCTGGGAAGTAAGCTGGTGTGGTGCAAGCAGGATCAGAGGCTTACGGAAGCAGGGAGAAAGCTATGCTCCCCACGAAGCCAGCACCTCCCAGGTTCCTGCCTGCAGCAATGTTCTTGTGAGCTGCACCTATGCCTTGCCTCTGCCTCACGGGCAGGGGCTGGCCCCAGCAACACGCAGAAAACAAGTGACAGCTGAACTCTAAAGCCATAAATCTCTCCTCATAGTAACTGCACCACCAAGACTGATGGAACCAACCTGAAGAGCAAAGGGTCTGCGGGATTGTGTCACAAATCATATTCCAGTGGCTGGAGGCATAAGTATTTATGCAGAAGCAGGATTAACCAGAGAATTTTTCAATGATAGAACTACCACAGGGGAAAAAAAAAAAAGACTCATCTCTTACAAAGCAGATCCCAAAAGAAATATTGAATTACTGCTGTTAAAAACAGCGATCACTACTGGTATCTCTGCCTTTTCTACATGTAGGATAATTGTGGGGAAAAAAAAGAAGTATGCAGAATACTAACACCATCAACAGCTTTGAATACTGACTTCAGTGTGAGCAAGGACTAAATTTAGAATAGACAGTTGAAGTTTTTCAGACACATTTTTTAAAGGATGAATATTTTCCCTGAACAACAGGGAGCTAATATACACAGCTTCAGAAGAAACCAGAGCCTGAAATACATTAAGCAGCATGACTAAGTAAAATACATGCTCTAATCCATATCTATTTTATTTACTTAAAGTCTCTTTTTGGAGAGAAAAATAAATCAGACATTAAAAAAATACATCTAATTGCATTTGGGGGAAAAAAAAAATCTGTACAGACTTTTGTTTTTCTATTTATGCTGTCTTTAAAATGACACATTTGGAGTATGTGGGCACTTTGTTTTTGAAGCAGCATTTGTGATTCCACACAAATGATAAACTGATTCCACATAAAGATAAAGCTCCAGGCACTTTCAAGTGCTTTTCAGGATCATTGTCTTCAGTTAAACAGCAATTTTAAACAAACCTCTTGTACACAATTTTGTTAGTAAAGTACTTTGAAACAAAAGGTTAATTTTCTCATTACTTCTATATTAAGTAATGTAGAAGTTGTTACCAAATCAGTTCACTTAAAAACAAAGTGAAAGAAGGAAGGAAGCGAGGAAGAAAAAATGAGCAAATTACCTCTCTTGGATAAAAGTCCATTTGAACTTGTTGCCACTGACTCCTCTCCTGAAGCTGGGGATAGGAGAGCCTCTGCTGTATATCTTGTGCTAGACAGTGCCCAAGGGACACTAAAGTGACAACCAGCCATCCTGCATTTCTTGGCCTCTGTGCTTGGGCCATCACTTCACTTTGGCTCCCCTGAGAACATTCGCTGCTCTCCTTTCAGTGCTCACTGTTCTTTCCCTTATTATGCCCCCTTCTCCTCCAGCTTCTGACTCAGATTAATGAGGTTCTGGGCCGGGATGGGCCCCACCTTTAAACTTTATCCGTGAGTCAAGTCGCTCAGCACACAGCACCACTCCTGAGGTTAACAAGTAACTCCGCAGTTCCTGTAGCTCAATATATACCTAAGTCAGGGTGTGGCAGGCATCACCTCCTCCCCACCTAAGGCAGCCAGACAGAGCTTGGTGATTAGAGCAGTAAATCACTGCCTGAGTAATGCTGAATAAATATAAAGGGCTTACAAACTTCCCTGTGAGTGCCTTGATCATTTCCTTTGGCTATGTATTTTCACCAGGTTACATTAAAAAACCCCAACGGCTTCATTTAACCAAGGCAGTATGTTGAAAGCAATGGGATGGCAGTAGAATTGTCAGTCAAGGCTCATCGATTTGTGTGTGGCACAGAGCAACCAAAGTGTGAAAAAATCAAAAATATTTCCAAAATTGTTATTCTGCAGATGATGAATTAGCTGTCCTGAGCAGTGGATGCACACATGAAATGTAAGCCAGCCATACATGGTTTTTTCAGTCTCTCTGCAGCTGCTCCAGCCTAGATATTATTCATTCATTCTCAATTCAAAAAGCTTCTGCAAGGTTAGTACAGCAATTGCTACTTTATGGTAATGCTCAACCATTTTCTGAGAGTAATTCCTCACATTTTGTGCACTTTGTACACTGCTTATCTCTCTGGTGCTTTATTCTGCTACATTGGGTGCTTACACACAGCAACAGCCAAGCTCTAAGCTAAGCAAAGTGACAAGCAAAAGAATTGCAGCTACAGGAACTGCATCAGGGACAGGATATACAGCTGTAGCACCAGTCTTTAGCTAATAATATTATTTTGCAAAGCCTACACTATCTTTCATAAACATATCTCCAAATATTTTTTGCAAATGCGTTAATTTCAGATTTCACATGTTTTTCTACACAAATAGTATCCTGAATTGTTTGGATTCAGGCTACTTCCCTTGGACCCTGCTAAAATAAGAAACACCAGGAATCTTTGCTGTGTATGGTCTCATAGACTTTGATTAAGTAAATTCTGACCTTCTCTCCAGTAAAGTAAGATTATTCAGCCTCTTGGAGGGCATCATAGAAGAGTCCCTCATTATAGTGCCTTACATACGCAAAATTACATTTGCAGCTCCATAAAAGCAATCACAAGTAGAACAACCCCACAGTGCTTCTCAGATGGCAAAAGCACTCGAGCAAGTGCACAGGCTTACAGGAAGCACAATTAATTACTTTAACAACCATCCAGCTGCTCTAACTAACCCAGTACGTATAGCTGCAGGCAAAAGACAGAAGGTAACGGCACAGTACGGAGGCGAATGCTTCCCACCTGGCAGGAGTCACCGGCGTACTCCGGCGGGCAGGCGCACGTCTCCACGCTGAGCGCGACGCTGCCGCTGCCCTCGCTGGTGGCCTCCTCCAGCCCGACCTCCCCAAGCGTCAGGCGCTGAGTCTCCGTGAAGTACAGTGCCCGGATGTGCAAGCCATCCAGCCTGGACAGGATGGTCAGCAGCTCTTCCCGGGATACCGGCTCGGCGCTGCTGGCGTGCCTGAAGCTGCCCTGCACATCAAGGGGTACAAAATGAGCACAGCTGCTTGAAAGAGTAGCTTCAAAGAAGACCAGAGGACAGAAAAAGGGACAAAACACCCATGGAACAGACTTGTCTAGTGCCACCATAGTGTCCAGGAGGGTAGACACACAATGGGTGCAAAAAACAAAAATAAGCATAAAGAAACGGATGTAGCTGTGACCATGCAAGGGAAGTATGGCTTCAAGGTATTCAAAAGTGAAGAAGCCTGTAGCTTCTTTAGTCATCCAAATTTCTTTGAGATATCACCCATCAAACCATAAAAAATGGTTTTATTTTTATTTTTAAGAGTAAGTGAAGTTCTAGAAACTGAATCCTTTCTTTTCTGCTTTAATAAACACAGCATTGTTGAAAACGGAATTTGGCTTGAAGAAACATCTTCTTTGCCTGCATATGAAATAAATTATCCAGTTCAACCTTCTGAGCACAGGTTTAAGGTAGGAATAATCCCTGGTGAATTCACCTATCTGAATGTTGGACAGCCCATTCTAAACTAGTACCTAGACACCAAGGAAAACAGATAACAATTCATTCCATCCCTATTAAGTACAGTCTGTGGCTGCAATGAATCACCTTCTATTGAGGACTGATTCAGCATTACTCCGTTGCCCTGGAGGGAATGCTAAGGGCTACATTGTACCAGATGCCCAACCCAGGTGCTAAAACTAGGTGTCATGAACCAGAACCCAGGTTCAATGTGGCAGTAAAGAGAGAAAAAATATTCTTTATATTTAAGGTCTACAGGATTTGAGTTTATATTCCTCACCATTACCAGGTATTTGGTATTTCTGCACATATTCTGCATATATGTGTGTATTTTTATGCGACTCTAGAAGGAAAAGAGAAGGCTATTCCTTTTTCAGTTCTTACCTCTACCAGCTGCACTCGGCCATAATTCTGACGATCAGGCAGTGGGTTGTTAGGATCCATATAAACAACTTCCATTTGTTGGCCCTATGTGAGAATGAGGATATAACATTGCTGTTTCACTACTTGTTATGGGAAAGGGTTCAGATGCAGTAAAATTTGGTGAAGCACATTAATCCTGTCGTTTGAGTAACACTAGGAAAACCATGTCTTTCTCAGGAAAGTGGTTTAGTGAGCACTGTGCTCTGGTGCCAGCAAGGTTTTCTCTGCTTTTGCCTACTAACAACCTTGTTTTCGAGTAAAACATCAAGAGAATCAAATTAATGCTGATCAACTTTCAGAGGAACTAGTTATTGCCTTAGAATAAAAATGGTTTTGCATTTTGAAACACTCTTCTTTGCATCCTGGTGCACCAGCAACTATGGGTATTATGGTAGCAGTTTATGATGTACATTTCCCAATAAGAATCCTAGAGCATTCAATTGGTATTTCTGATGGTGTGAAGAAACAAAACACCCTCTTGAGAATCTCAACAAACAGTTAAAGATTTCAATTTTGGCTCTAAAGTGGTTAAATTAAAAAACTGCCAACTAAATTGTATTTTTGTTTCAGTCCCTTGAAGTCTTATAATTATGCTTAGTTTTATGCTGAAAAAAATCTTACAGAAAATGAGATTAATTACTCATGAAATCCAGAGCATCTTTTGCAGAGATAAGGCCATACTTGTTGACAAGTGTGCAATGGATTGATTTTTTTTTTCCCCACAGGCATATTCTACAGAGAAAATCCTGGTTTATCTTTTGACTTGGTCTGCAAATCAGTTCTGCTTAATAAAATGTTACTTTGGCAACAGAGACATGTGTTGGTGGCTTTGAGCAAAACACAATAAAATCACTTTTATAGAAATAGTTAATGGTTTTAATTATTAAGTTAATGTTTTAATAGTTAAGTACACTATAAGAGTAAAATTTGCCATAGTTGTTAAGTAAGATAAAAATCATGGTATTTGTATAGCTCATAAGAAAACAATAGTATTTCAAAGCTTACTGTTAGTCGTATATCAGGTTTCTTATCCAGAAGAACCATGCCCTCGCTAGGTAAGCCAAAAGATTTCACTTGGTAACTTAGGAAGCCACCATATGAAGAAAGCTGTAACAAAATGCACAAGACATGGTTTTAATTATTAAGTTAATGTTTTAATAGTTAAGTACACTATAAGAGTAAAATTTGCCACAGTTAAGTAAGATAAAAATCATGGTATTTGTATAGCTCATAAGAAAACAATAGTATTTCAAAGCTTACTGTTAGTCGTATATCAGGTTTCTTATCCAGAAGAACCATGCCCTCGCTAGGTAAGCCAAAAGATTTCACTTGGTAACTTAGGAAGCCACCATATGAAGAAAGCTGTAACAAAATGCACAAGACCAGATATACTTTACTGCACTATTGCTTGATTATTAATGTAAATTTTTATTCCAGTTTATCTCATCATCCAGCACTATAAATAACACATTTACTCTTTGTTCTTTAGAAAAAATATGAAAATATTGCCTTGTTTGGAAGAAGTTACTTTATTTTGTTTACTGTGTGTATCTGACATATGAGCAGGTACTGTTTTCTGAAAGTCACCTGCATCATAGTTGGTTTGGTTTTTTTCATACTTGGGTTCACACCATCCATGTCATGGAGAAATCCCATGGTTATGTGAATATTGTTCTTCCCCTGACTGCACAGAGCAGATTTGGTGCATCAAGAACAGACATCAGACTGACAATGAAAGTGGTGGTAAGCCTCTTGAATAGCCATGGATGAAAAGAAGGCAGACCATGCCAAGCATGCTTAAAGCCAGCATTTTCTAAACTTACTGCAAACATGAACCCAATCAGGATTCCTTCGCTCTACTTTCAGGACAGGATTTCTGCTGGAATCAGCTCTGTTGTAAGCAGACTGTGCCTGTAGGCTGATTGAAACCAGCTACAGGTGACCAGAGGTGGCCTCAAACCCAACTCAACACAGGGCTGCTGCCCAGAACAGACACAGAAGTGTGGGTGAAGCACCCAACAAACACAGCACACCCTTGGGTGCTGGGTGAGGGACTCAGTGAAAAACACCCTGGGAGCAAAGGAAGCTCCAGGCACAGCCTAGACAGCTTTTGTTCCAAGATGAGCCTCAAAGGAAGGTTTGTGGGCACCAGATGAAATCAGGCATATTACCATGGAAGTCCTACTTTGGTTTGCACCTTTCTCATTTGCCCTTCTATCTTGTCCTTGATTATGTCATGGAAGAGGTTCTGCTCTTCTAGAGGGAAGCACTAGCCTTTAATTTACCCCTCTATATATGTCTGATTAAACAAAACACTGACATCTCAATACTAAATTTGTTCTGTGGATCACAGGTCCATAATTAATGCTATTCTCCTTACCCAACTGCATTTTCAAAAGCATCATTTGGAACATTGGCTTTGGTCTGCCAACACAATAAAATCATCCTCTACAAATGAATTCTTTAAAAAAATAAGAAAATTCTAATTTGAGTTTATTTCCTATTTAACATGTTTCAGAACTGCACCATTTAAAAGGCTGTTAAATTACTTTTTCAATTGTTTTTTTATAGGACAATATTGATGTTATAAACTAACTTCTGTATTCTGTAGTACAGTATTTATTTTCTAATGTCAAAAGTGGTTTCTTTAACAGAATGTTAACACATGAAAGAAAATGGGGACAACATGATCCAAATTTCTCAATTACTCTTAGTTTCTGCACTGCTACACATCTTATTTGATTCCCTTTTAACTTCATAAACAAAAGACAGAGAGAGAGAGGAAAGAAAATATACTCTGTTAAATATAAATGTTCCAATGGAACCAGTTTAAAGGTTTCAGATAATGAAAAGCAGTATTTATACCCTCGTCATAAAGAAAAATAGCTCAAGTGATCTTGTTCACATTTTTTCCAAAAGAGATGCTATCACTGGAAGCACACCAAGCCCTGACATTTTTGAAACACGATAACATGAATAACTGGTAAATTTATGAACTTGCAAACTCACCACTAGATAGCATTTTGGAGGACTTTCATTACTGCAGTATTGCCTGTGCTAAAATATACACTCATACACAGTGTACAGATTAGAACTATTTTACTTGCAGTGCTGTCATTGTAAATAACAGCATGTACGTAGAGCAAAAACAGAACCCAAATTAGAACTATTTTACTTGCAGTGCTGTCATTGTAAATAACAGCATGTATTGGCAGGCCTAGGACTTAGGTAGATACTGTGACATGCAACATAAGTCAGCACTGATCTTAATAGCTGTGTTTAAAAAGGGTTATTGCCTGCTTTGTACCTTGTTATGGAACAACAAAAGTACTTTTGGTTTAACACTGTAGGTGATAACATATGCTTTAACATGAAATTACTTTCAAAAATAATTTGTGGGCACTGAAACAAGAACCTTTATAACATCAACAAAAAGTACCCTAACTAAACACATGCTGTTTCCCTGAGATATATACACACACATCTTTGACACAGGGGAGCAGGAGGAAAAATAATGCTCTAGTCTTGAAAATGAGGACTAGGAGAAACTTCAAAAATTGAACAATCTTTCATGTCTTGGTGTCTACACCATTTCTTTTCTCTCATGTGTCAGTAGGATTGCTTTCTTTCCAGTTTATAATCTGAAATGTGAACCACTGAGTAATAAAGCCTGTATGTCCTGCAACGGGCTGGTAACTATTGGCACTGCCAGAGCTCCAAAGAGGGGGGCTCTGGGCCTGGATGTCACCATTAGCAAAGTGACATCCAGGGGCCCCTGGCTGGTGTGACCCTCAGGCTGAGAGGCTGAGGGCACTAACCATGAGCAGAAGGCTGCTCCTATGCATGGGTCAACAGAGCAGCAAGCAGCCCCAAGAACACAAAGAAAACCAGTTGATGCTCTTCCCAAGCAATATATCCAAAGCAAAAGGCTGGGGGCTTTTGTGTGCCACTGAGCACATAATCAGCTTTTATTCTTTTGGAAATCTGCCCAGGACATACTCTAGAGAATCTAAAGAATTGACAAGCCCTATGTGTTCTGGGTTTCAGAGCAGCCACACTGGCAAGTTCTACCCGTTTTGGGCTTCAGAAAAGCAGCTGAAGGTGCCAGCTGCTTGAGCCATTGAAGCCATTGAGCTCTTGATCATGCGGTTCACATTAACACCTGTCTGGCACCAAGCAATGTCATTAATTGTGTTATCAGTTAATTTCAAAGCCATACTCAGGAGTAAAATGTTGTGATTCCTGGCATAACAGGTAAGAGAGACAAGTGAAGAGAGAAACTTATCTAAGGAAAACAATGAGACTCATTATCAACGATGCTGGTAAAAAATGATTACATGTTACTAAACCAGAAGAGTTAGGTGGCATTTACCTTCTCTCCCAGGTAGGATGGTGGTGCTTTCCAGTACAAATTATGCACAGAAGCTGGCAATTCTTGAACATCAGCCACCACACTGTTACTGACTGGATTGAAAGTGACTGGAATGTCCATATTTTCATCTACTGCCTCCAGGCGCCAGTTCCTCATATCCACAAACTAATGAAAAACAAAGGAAAGCAAAAGTTTGCCTCAGCCCTTATTAAAACTTTACCAGCACCAAGTAATGAGAAGAAGTTGTTTAGCCTCTGTAATTTCCTAAGCATGAGATCCAACCCCTTCAGAGACAGCCTAAAGTGTTTGAGCAATGGATATTCCATAGACCTCAAAAGAGAATGAAAATGTGAAGATGTGTCAAAGCTATTTGGGATGCAGGCATTTGGTTTGTCACCTGAAAACTAAATTTTGTCTTCAGCCACAGAAAGACATAGCCTTCTGGGGGTGACTAGAAATTGTGCACACAAAGCCAAGAATATAATTTGGAGATGCTTTTTAAAGTTCATTACAAAACCAAATCTTTGTCTCTCAAAGACAGAGTTTGGAACAGGTTAACTGTGAGGGATGGGACATGGCACGACATTTTAGAGAGGTAGGCCATGTAGCCTAATATTCTGCCTCTTTAATGCACATTTTATGGCTGTTGTTTCATGGTTTTTTTATCATTATGCTGGAGGAAAGACAGCATAATATGTATGACATACCAGAACAGTTCTGGGTTCTGGTGGATTGCCCTTGACTAGCCAGAGCAAAAAACCAAAAACATAGACATGTTTTCATAAACAGTTTTTGGTGAGGACAAGTAATGACCCGAGGAAATTTTTTACTGATGTCACTTAGGCCACATTTTCACCTTTTGCTTTTAAACAGTAAAGGGTACAATCTGGATTGCATCTAGTCTATGTCCAAACGTTAACTAAACTCCTCATCCACCATTCTAGCTCTCGTCTCTTTTTTTCTCTTGCCTTTTTTCAAGCAGCTGTTGCCTTTTTTTCCAGTCTTCAGCCATTTTACTGTTCATTTATGCTACTAAAATCTTTATCACACTTGATGTCATGTCTTTCAGGGAGGGAAAAAACACAATTTTCACAATCTCTGTAGATTCTGTCACACAATCCTTAAAAACGCATCTAAAATGTAGCCATGTAAAATGATGTGTGCTTATTAAAGATCCTGAAGGAGATCATTGACTTCAATGGTGACAGTTCAAAGATAAAGCAAGCAAGATAAAGGCCAGCTCAACTTCAGTCCAACTATTGACTTGTAAACAAACAGGTGAAAAGGACCATTTCTGCTGAACAGCACTTTCAGACTACTCCTAATCTTAAGAAGGCTGCACTAAATCCTCACTTGGTGAATTGTTCAGAGAATTCTGGAAGAAATCTGGAATTTCCTTAATGGAACAAGCGCAAGTTCATGATAGAAAAGAAAAAAGATCTTTGGTACACCTTGGTTCTACGACGATCCGTGCTGCGACAGCTGCTGGTTGCCCCAAAACAAAAGCAAGGTGTGCATCCCCTGGGGTTAGAAGGGTTCAGATAAAAGGATCCTGGTCTGCAAGTGTCACATGCTGCACCTTCAACATTCTCCTGTTAAGGCATAGGTTCAAAGAAATTTCAGTGTTTTTTTCTTTGCTGAGAGCCCCAAAATTTCCTGCATAGGAAACAAATCTCCTGAAAGAATATATACTTAAATGTATAGAAACAAATGAATGAAAATACGTGGTTGTCTGGATAGGCTATATTACAAATGCAAATAAAACTGTCTTGGAGGTTCTCATAAGCTTTCTTTCCAGTTTATAATCTGAAATGTGAACCACTGAGTAATAAATATTAGTCAGAGACAGCTGGTAACTTCCTTGCCAAAACCCTCCTGCTGGCTTTTGCAAACCCACAATATAAAAGGTCACTTGCGAAAGTTCACATTTATCACATTTAATTATGCAGATCAGAACAAAAGAAGATTTCCTAGCTATAATGATGTGGTAAAATGTCAACTGACATAATATGGCTAAAAATAGCATGGGACTTGGTTAACATCCAAAAGGCAAGATGCAGATGGATAAAGTGGATCTGTGCAGGGTACAGGCTGCTCCAGTGATTCAATGGGCATCTACTCTGCAGCTCTCTAACATCCAGCAAAAACTAAGACCACCTATACAACTGACAAATATTGAAGCCATTATAAAATGGTATTTAATGTTACCATGATAATCTGTGCACATACTGGGAAGTATGATGGCTTTATACAGCTTCATTTAATTTTTACTGGAAGTTTAATGATAAACTCACTTCATTCACCCCATTATATATGAAATAGTCACTGGCATGCAAATGATGCTTATGAGTGCAGAAGTAATTTGATGTATCTGACCTTGCAAAGACAAATTCCTGTCTGGGGATCACAAACATCTGGCTCTGTTCCATCTCTGTTACAGCTACATGGCACACAGTTAGGGAAACCATAAGTTCCAGGAGCACACTGATCACACCGACGTCCTTTTATTCCTGGTTTGCACCTTTATCAACAAACACAGAGGAGACAGTCAACAAGGGAGGTAGGAATGGAGCAGGGAAGGGAAAATAAAACAACAGGTAGGTGGATATCCAAAGAGATTGCATGGCTATTACACGACTTTGAGTTCCACAGAGAAAAAGCAGCAGGTTAGAATTGTTCTCAAATTTTCAATACTGTGATGTTTTAAATGGCCACAGAACTAAGTAGAAATGGATTTGACTTTAAAGGATAAAAATGCTCACAATAGAATTAGACTTCTGCAGCTAATCAGGGCTCGCAGTGCAGAACTATTCACTCTGTACACCAAAGACTAAAACATAGATGCTGAATATAGGTAAGCAGAGCTGGAAGAAGATTCATAGCTGGAAAATGTGCCTGGGCATTACTCAAGGCACGCACCTAGTAACAGAAAAATGGGGAATTGCAAGTATATGAATAATTATAGGGACCACAATCAAAGTTTGGGTTAGTTTACAACTGTTCACAGTGGATAAAAGCCATTTTAGTCACTGAAGAGTGAATAACTTAAATTTTCCATAACCTCTCCAAACACCTGAAAAGCAAACCATTCATACACTGTTTTTAACACACATAACCCAAACTTACTTGCATTGTCCACTGGTTTTGTCACATTCCGGGCTTGCCACATCAACAATTCCTTTTTCTGAGCAGTTGCAGCTCTTGCAGCCAACAAGGGGATGATAGCTGAAGTAATATTTCTCACACACTTCACATTTTGGCTTCACAGTTCGTGGAGGGCAAATGCATTTACCAGTCACGTCATCACAAAGACGCTGCCCACAGTTGCACACTAGATCAAAGAAATTGTTCTACAAATCAATCGCATCTCATAACAATCAACTCTAACTGAATATGCAACAAATACACACAACTGTTATGTATAGAAAACATGACTTTTCTGTCACTAGTTTAAAGTTCAGGGTCATAGAAACCAACTATGTGACTGTTTCAAAGAGCAGGTTTAGTGCTTGGCTCTTTTCCACAGATTGGTTGCTTCACTTCACCACAGACATTGTACCACTTGCCAAAACTGCCAAGGATTAGTTTTGGTCTCAAGGGCCCCACTTTTATAAAGAAAGGTTTATAAACATCAAGTATAGTATCTATGAAAGCAGCTGAGGACTGTTAGTGTAATCTATAGATCTGTTGCTATTATTAACATCAGAGTATGAGGAATTTGGAATGCTGTGTCTCTGATTATCTATGGAAAAGCTTGAAAGTGTAAAATGGGATTAAACATTAACAGCTTGGAAATGAATCAGCAGTCAGCGCAGAAAAAAATCCATTTCACTGAAATAGTGGCAATATGGATTTTAACCAGGTCAGCTGTAAGCCTACTACACTGATCAGACAACACACGCAAAGGCTCACTTCACCATGAGCTAGGTGTGCTTTAGGGGAATGGGATTTCCTCTGCCTTAAACTGGAAACTACGCTATGGTGAAGCTAAAACAGCCTGACCAGCCTCTCACAGGATCAGGCTCTACACAAAGAAAAGCCAGGCTGTGGTACATCTGCAGTAAATTCAGAGGAGTAAGCAGGTGGTCAGGTCTGGAGTGCAAGCACATACTTACACTTGCAAAACGGGAATCCGTAGTAGCCGGTTTGGCACCGGCTGCACTGGCGGCCGATGACATTGGGTCTGCAAGCACACTGCCCTCCCAGGGGGCTGCACCTGGGGCTAGTGGCACCTGCGCTGTGGCAATCACACGGCAGGGCCCCGTTGTTGTAGAAAGCCACCAGTGACCTCACAGAGTCCTTACAGAAGGCCGATGATTGCTTTGGGCTATTTAAATTGAAATATAAATAATGTAAGTGCTGGCACTCAGGATTGGTATGAGAGTGCTTTGCAGTGGTTCAGAAAATTAGGGTTCTGTCTTTCAAACAGTTTGACATAAGGATGGCATCAGCACACATGCAAGGATATACTTTAATTACATGGGGGTGAATATCTTTGAACATGCAGGCAAGAGGTTTTATCATAGCAAGTGTGTATTAGTTGTATCAGTTCAGACATGCCAAGCAGAATACCAAATACCAAAGATGGAAATACCAAAGACAGGAAGCTGACATAGATTTTCCCTTTTGTACTGTGAGCAATAAAGCTCTACCTTTATATTGCATTTGCAATAGAAAGTCATGGAAAAATGACTCATGGAAATTCAATGGGCTAGCATAAGCCATGAAAAGCATTTTAATGTAGCACAATGATAGGGATTTAAGACAGCTCTTTAACACAGAGTAAAAGTAATATTATTCCCAGTTTGTTGTCAATGGTCAGTTTTTTAGAAAGTGATGCTTACTCAATATAAAAACTGTTTCCTCCACATTGGCTGATAAAATCAAATGACTTGTCCACTGTCTTTTTGTCAAGAATTGTGTAACTGTAGGTGTCTGCTGGAACAACTAAGATATTTTCCTTAAAACAATAAGAAAGCTAAATTGTACATTTCAGAGAAAAACAAAAACATATAAGCTAAGGCATTTACATATTTAAATGTTGCTTCATTTAACATTCTGGATTTTTTCAAAACCTTTAAGATTTTAACCAAAAATAAGAAAATAAGCTTTGCATACTGCCCTCAAAGTTGTGATGCTACTAGCAGTGTACAACAAAAACAGTGCAGAGTATCTTAAAAATTTAAAATAAAACCAAAGGCAGTGCAAAAGTGCACTAAAAAATCTGAAACACAACATTAAGAAATTTATTCTTTTTGGCTTTTATCTTTGCATCTATCTCTAAATGAATGGTGAAACTGAGAATAACATTTTCAAGTACATTTACATAATACACATACCAAAACCAGTGTTTTCCCATTGGGTATCATCACTGTAACAGAGACCATGGCTTCAGAAATGTCAAGTTCAATTTGGTTTGCTGCAACCACCTGAACCCGACAACCAGAAGTATGAGGGCAGAATGAAGCATTGAAAGTACCTGAAAGAAAAAATATATTGGGTTTATGTGAGAAGGTTTTGGTTGCAAGCAGGCTACTGGGGTGGGTTCTATGAAAAGCTGTAAGAAGATTCTTCCACGTCCCACAGAGCCAATCCCAGGTCGGCTCCAAGACAGACCCAACACTGGCCAAGGCTGCATCTGACTATGACAGCGCCTCTGGAATAATCTATTTAAGAAACGGGAAAAACCCCAGCTCAACAGCAGGTGCAGCCAGAGAGAAGAGTGAACATGCAAGAGAAACAACTCTGCAGTCACCAAGGCCAGTGAATTCCAGGTGCTGGACCTCTGTAAGAAGATTCTTCCATGTCCCACAGAGCCAATCCCAGGTGGCTCCAAGACAGACCCAACACCGGCCAAGGCTGCATCTGACTGACAGCGCCTCTGGAATAACCTATTTAAGAAACAGGAAAAACCCCAGCTCAACAGCAGGTGCAGCCAGAGAGAAGAGTGAACATGCAAGAGAAACAACTCTGCAGTCACCAAGGCCAGTGAATTCCAGGTGCTGGACCAGAGATCCACCTGCAGCCCATGGAGGAGACCCCCTCAAGAGCAGGTGGATGCACAAATAGGGTCTGTGAATTTCTGGGAGTTCCACACTGCAGCAGTCTCCTAGCATGCCTTGTGACCCCATGGAAGGCACCCACACTGGAGAAGTTCGTGAAGAATTGTCAGCCCAGGAGAATGACTCATGTTGGAAAAGAGGGTGGAGGATTGTCTCCCATGTGAGGGATCCCACACCAAAGCATGGGAAGAGTGTGAGCAGTCCCTTACTGAGGAGGAAGGAACAGAGGCAACCTGTGATGAACTGAGTACAGCCCACATTCTCTGTACCCGTGTGCCACTCAGTGGGAGGAGCTGGAGAAATTTGGGAGTAAAGCTGAGCCAGGAAAAAGCGAAAATTGGAAGGAAAGTGTTTGAAGATTTGGGCACCTGGTGTCCATCCAGGACACAGCTCCATATCCCAAAATGCTAAGAAAGGAAAGGGGCTAGGTCAAATTCAGATGCCTACCTGACCACATACGTCCTGCATTCACATGGACTTGTACAGAGAACACCGGGTGTGCCGGCTGATAAAAATGTACCACAAATACATATCTGCCCAAGTGGGGCACTCTGCCACTCAAGGTGATCTGGTTCTGGAGAAACAAGAACAGCTCTGGTATTAAATCACAGAATCACAAAAGAGATTTGTTTTGTGGAACATTCTCGGGCCTATCAGCTGTGCTCAGTGCCCCCTACCTGCAGTGAAAGAGAGGGGACTTAGCATCTCTCAGCAAGTTCAATGCTTAAAACTGCAGGCTCTGTTTGCCTGCCAAGCACATTTAACATTCTTCAACAGTCTATGAGACTGTTGTGTAGTTCAGAAAGAAGCTGGTGTTTGGGGCTTTCCCCCTCCCCCCATTCCTAATATTGTCTCTGTGGCTTACTCAGTTTGAAACATTTTCATCATATCACATCAACTAGTTTTGATTATCTTACAGAATTTCATCCATTTAACTTCACTAAGAACATACCTTGTGACTTGCAAAACAAAGTTTTCAAAATATGAGGTACCTGTAATGGTGTGAAGGTGACTCCATGAACTGAACCAGCAGGTAAAGTGGCACTCAATGGATCATAGAGTATATTCTCCTGTACTTCAGAAATTGTCCCATCTTTGAATGCATCCAGAACCAAAGCTCCTGGTGAAGTCTCAAAAACTGAGGGAATGCATGCTGCACTAAACACAGAACCACAGTAATCATCCTTGGGGTCAGGAGAAAGTTTTAATCATAACAGGAAAGGCTGCTTACTTTAAAAAGTCATTGTAGTAGACTGCATTGTAATTGATAATGCAATAATAACTCCTGTACCTATTGGGATTCTTTGTGAATGATCAGAAAGTAAATGAAAACAAGAGGTATGGATTTAACTTCCACAAGAAGGGGAAAGTGTGTACACTTTTAACATATTAATGGATTTTATTCACACAAAATCTCCATAACTAAATTTCAGTGGAAAGAATTTGCTAAGGAAGAGGAAACTTAAGGGAATCAGAAGCACTAAAAATTAAATACATTTTAGTTAATCCAGTTAGTTACATTCACCAGAATCTGTACTAATATTGAATTCTCAGTTCTACAAATATTTATGTAGGTGTATCCTTTAAACATGCAAGTTTTCCCACTGAAGTCAATGGGACTACTTAAGTATTTAGAAGTTAAGTATATACTCAAATATTTGTAGAACTAGAGCCAAAATAAATAACAGTACTCCTTGAAAGCACCCTTATTCATTCACTGCTGTGTTTAACTATTTCTTCTTTGGCATATTTAATCCTGGGATTGAGAAGAATTTTCCAAGACTGCAGGATAAAATATTTTTGGGGGTTTCCTGGTTGTATTTGTTCACTTCTAGTAAGTACTCAACAGACAATGATTAATCTTTGCTCAAGACAGGCCCAGAACTGGAATAGCAAGTATGTTTCAGGGCCAGAACTGAGATGTATTTGCCAGGCCTGTGTGAGAAATCATGCAGCATCCACTTACAATACTGTCAAACTGAGCCAAACCTCCGCATCTTTCAACTTGATGAACTTAAACACTTTCAGGAAAGCAAAAATGCTACCAGATAACAATAAAAGCAAAACAAAAGCCTACAGCAAACAATGCAAATGTAACAAGAGTTTAAAAAAATACCCAACACAAAACCAAATAAAATATGTACGTTTCTACATAGGTTTTATTTTTAATCATATTTTTCACCCATCCTCTTTCCCTTTTTTACTCAAAATATAAATGCCTGTATTTGCAAAGTAACTTTGGTGCAAGGACAAGTATTTTCAGTCTTAGAAAGCTGCTCTCAGTGGTAACACTGAGCAGGAGAATTAAAGCTGTGATTCAATGCTATGCATGCTTGGAAACCAAGCACAGTCACATGTTTTTATCCAATTTACTATCCAGATTTTTCTGCTTTCTGTTTTAATTCAAGCATTCTATTAGAAGCTACCATTTGGAAAACTATTAGAGCAAATCACCAACTCTTTTTGCCTCTTAAGTCCTGCAAATGACATTTACTTTTATTTTGAGAACCTTCCCACTGCTAGATCAGTAGGAAGAAAGCTTTAGGAGTAGGCATCACGAGGCACATCCTGGGGAGTGCAGCAGGCACTGAAATGTGGAGGTCCCTAATTTGGAAGCTGCAGTGACAGTTCCTCTCTGTCCCAAAGAACAAAAGATGGGGAGGGGAAAGCTTCAACAGGACAGAAGAGATGCTCTGCAGAACCCTGACCACTGGGGAAGGCAAGGTTCAGGTTCAGATCATCACAGCAAGACAAGAGCTACCAGCCTGGATAAACCAAGCAGTATGAGTCCCCTAATTACTGGTCCTATAAAGTATGATGGAGAAGAAGGATCAGCTGGCATTACTGTGTGAGGTAAACGATGAGGGCACACGTACCCTAAGGCCCCACAATGCCAGGGAACAGGGAATGGCTTGTTTGGGAAGCAGGGGTTTACATGTTGAGTAATTTGAGTGACGAGGGCACACGTACCCTAAGGGCCCCACAATGCCACAGAACAGGGAATGGCTTGTTTGGGAAGCAGGGGTTTACACGTTGAGTAATTTGAGGCTGCCAAGTTGTGCCTCAAAGGGCAGTCACATCCCACACCTAGTGACAAACTAAAGCCATTTTGGGACAGCTGAAGCAGTAACATGAAGAAGAAAACTCCAATGGAACAGTAAGCATTTCAGGCCACTAAGGTAGGACTGATTTTCCAGCTTGGACACCTGTCATACTGGATGGTGTGTGAAAGATGCATGTTTTCTCACACATCAGCACTAGGAAGTTCAGATGGGCCAGGAAAAGGCTGTTAACAAAATTCTGTGCAAGTACAGTCCAGATTAACACTAACATTTCAGATTCTTTACAAAGACTACTTTACAGAAGTGGCCTACAAATCACCTGTGAGTCACTGAGTAAAGCTTCACTCAAAAAAATCAAAACACCATTTACTCTACCTTTCAAGAATGCCCCCAGATAAGAAGGATAAAACCAAGCAAGTTACCTTCCATCACTCCTGTAAGCAGCTATGCACTGTACTTTAGGATCCACGTACTCTGGAGAAAATTCTTCAGCTGATATAATACAGACCTTGTGCTGAAAGATAAGCACAAGGCACAATTAATATCATAAATAACAAGGCCAGGCCTGAACAGGAAGGATGAAGCCTAATTTTAGCACAGGGAGATATGAGCCCAAAGCCATGTTCTGTCATGGACCTCCCACAAGATTTTGGATCCCTTTACCTCCCTGCACACCTCAGTGCCTCAGGGTTAAATAGCATTTTTCTGTCAAGGGAGTATTGGCTGTTCAGGAGGGAAATAACTAAAAGATAAGCATATATATGTGCTCAGTGCCTCAGGGCTAAATAGCATTTTTCTGTCAAGGGAATATTGGCTGTTCAGGAGGGAAATAACTAAAAGATAAGCACATGTATCTGTGGTAAAGGGAAAGACCAGCTCAAAGGCTGAGAAGCAAGGCAAGGAATGTATATATATGTGGTAAAGGAAAAGACAGAAGACCAGCTCAAAGGCTGAGAAGCAAGGCAAGGAATGTAGAGAGGTAGGAGGGAAAAGCCCTTAGGGACTTTTGGACCTTGGGGGAACTCCCAGACTTTCTCAAATAAAGGCACAAACACTTGCTTGTGCAAAGTCCATGGGAGTGAGTTGCAGTGACACCAGGACTTCTCTGCCAGAATCCAGAACTCATTTCAAAATAAGCAAGCTCTCATATGGGATATTTTTATTTTAACTAAAAGTAGACATGGACAAACAAATCTGTGGTAGTCCTGCTGTACCAATGGTGGCAAGGACATAAGGGAAAGCACTGGAGGTGGCTACCATTTGCCTCTACTCTGCATGAAGGGAACACACAAGTGTCTTTAACCCCAAAACTGCTGCCACTGACTTCATGATCAGTGTCTACATACCAGAAGCACTTCTTTTCCCCTTTCCCATCTTTTGCTAAGTGCAGACTTTACAATTTAAGATTGTGAAGGTCGGATCTTGTTAGCACAGCAGTTGCTGCAGGAAGCTAACAGAAAATGTAAAAGGTATTAGTTTACACTGACTCATGAAGTGAAGAAAGCATGTATCAGCTGTTAGTCCTAATAATTGTTACTAGTTGGGTTGAAGCTCAAGATTTTAAAAACTCTTGTGTTTGTAAAATAGAAAGCAGATAAAATTCACTCTCCAGAAAAGTATATTCCTGATGTGGCCAAAAGAGGTCAGTGAAGGCTTTTTATTTAAAATACCTAAAAGCTATATGATTAATGAATGCATTTATTACCTGAACTTTGTAAGAAATACAGGAAACTCCTACATGGGTTTTGAGGATTTAGAAAAAATGAAAGATTAAAAAAAGACAATAAAAGATCATGTATAAAAGCTACCAGAATATGTTTCCTCTGAAATTTACTCATAGAAGAGAAAGGGGAACTGAAATAAAGCACCAGAAAGCTGGAAAAAACCTTGCCAATAAAGGCAAACTTCTGTTTGTCTTTGAAACTGACAAGTGTGCCTCAGCATTCTGAGGTGTATATGAAGTATATTTAGTCAAGCATCTAACATACATAATTTCACATTACCTTATAGAATGTGAACATGGGGAAACAAATATCTTTGTTTACCCCAACAAGAAACAAGTATTACAAAGGGAAAAGGAAATGACAACTTACCAGAAGAAAATTACTTGCTGATGCCTTCAGACGTATCTTTGTGTCTGCTAGAAGGTCATAGGCTGCGACACGATTCCTGTCATCAACTACAACGCTGCGACAGAGGAAACTGAGACAAAGCAGGATTAAGGATGAGCCTGCTGGCATTGCCACGTTGTGTAGGCTGTCACCTAGCTTCACTGCCTGGCTGTTGGCTAGCCACAGCACCTGGCCCTCCTGCTGGACCATAACTAAGCTGCCCGTGGCCACTGCGGAACATGCACTGTCCTCGCCAGTGAGACAGGATCTACCATGTATAAAACACTGCTTGTCCCGGGTGGGTTAGAGCTGAAGCCTCCAGATCTCAGCTCAGACACCCACTTGAGCTCCTGGCTTAAGTAGGATGTGGACAGACAGCCACACATAGGTGCCACCTACAGACATTTTCACACTGTGTAACGTGTGTAACTAATATTCTCCTGCCTGGGCCGTGCTCCTTGGGGTGTCAGCACACACCAGTTGTCCCTTTCCACCACTGCCATGTGCCTCTGAGGATGTGAATCAGCAACTCTTGCACACACACTGGGCAAGGCCTGACTTCGGAAGCTATTCTGTTCACTGAGATACTCCTCAATGCAAGTGGAAAAAAAAAAAGGTTTGCCTCCTCTACAAACCAAAAAATGTGGAAGTTTTGCTCTTGTTTAAAGCATAGATCAGAAAAAAATGTCCCTAGCTTAGGGCTAGGGACATGTAAAACTAGAGAAATATAGGTGCCTTACTCATGATTTGCTCAAAGCCTATGATGTTTTATTCTCTTACCATGTTTTATTCAGAACACTCAAGCTCACTGAGCTGTAAGAATGTCTGGCACAATATATTACAAATTCTACTAGTTACAGTTATCTACATGTACCTCACTATGCCATTGCTTGATTTATTTTTTATCAGAAGAGACTTGCACCTTCCTGTTTGGGAAAGATGACACAGCACCTCACTCACAATGTGACCTCTCAGTTCATGCAGAATGTCTGCAGAAGGGATTTGCTGCATTGCTACATTAAAGCAGCAAGGGCTTTCTTTGCGTTTCCATGAATACATTTCTAATGTATCCTATAAACAAGTATGTTCAAAATCAGCCCATAAAATGTGGGTGTTTGGGGAAAAAAAACAAAACCCCAGTAAAATGGAAGATTTATAGCAAGAAGTTTGGGGCTCAAAGTGTTATGTAACAGGCTAAAATAAGAGCTTTCCCCAGCAATAACCTGACAAGGTCACTGCTCCACATGGCTGTGCTCTGTATGACAAGCATGCTGATGAAAATGATTTTTTTTTTTACTGAATAATTTCATCCTGAATATCCCTAAGCCTCTATTCTGCCAAACAGTTGGCTCATGGGAGTAAAGGCTGCATGTCTGTAGTCCCCTGGCACTGGGTAGCTCTCCCAAGGGCTCAAAATAAGCTGAGATGCTCAAGTGTTAAAGACAATCTCACTCAGGACAGACAAAATCTCTTGTGCAGAAACATCTGCAGTAACCTCATCAGTCAGCAAAGATAAAGAAGCATTTGGCTGAAGACCTTGCCTGCAGCCTAACAGCCAGAGGATGGCTACAGGCAGAATTTCAGAGACCTTTATGCTTCTGCCTCAGCAAATCCTGTTGGAAATGGTGGGAATACTCTTGTAAAAGTGGCTGCTGCATTTTTTATAGCCAAAGCCCTTGGACACAACTTTAACTGAAGAAAATCAGTGCAGGCATCTGCAGCCAACAGCAATGCTCTTCCACTGGACTTGGAGATTAGTAGTTTATAAGGATTAAAAAACATATATCAAAAAGTAACCCTTTGAATAGGAAAACAATTCATTGGAGCAGTAGCAATATTTAATGAGCTTACTGCATGAAGAGAATTAAAAACCTCTACAAAATCCACAATTCTGCACTTGCTTTTAAATCACCCTAAAACTTGAACAATCTACATGGTAGAATGGATTCAAATACATAAAAAGTATAACTACATTCCAAATGCTTTTAGTGATTATTTCAGAAATTCTTACCTATATTTACAACTGTATATTCTTACTCTGCCTTCAGTGACAGGTCCAGGGCTATGCACTGTTACCTCTGCAGTGTTCATCTGATCCTCCTCATTGGCATATTCAAAAACCAGAACATAGCGACCCACTTGAGGAACATTTATGGTCATCTCTAAATTGACCTGGATCAAAAGAATTGAAAAACAAAAAAGGAGTTAAATCTGTCACTCCCATTTCTTGCAGGAAGCTCCCATTTCCTGCTCTTTTGGCTGCTCAGCATTAGCCCAGAGTCAGTCCTGCAGAGTCTCAACAGAAGACATCCATCAGAATGCAAGCAATGCTTATAAATATCACTTTGTCCTCTAACAAGAGTCAAACAAGTTCAAGAAGCAGCTGCCATTATAACAGCTCTAGGAAAGCTGTAAAATAACCCAGGGAAATTGCTATATTATTATTTCTCTTTAGCAGAAAGGGAAAAACTGTTATGATGCTAAAAAATTGTCACCATCATCTCTAAGCTATCCTTAACAACATACAAGAACTGAGTTTACTTCTACACTGAAAAAATATTTCCAGGAACACAAAATTCCTACTATAGCAATGCTGTATTTTGATTCCCTACTCCCTGAAGAGTGAAAGCATCTTCTCCAGCAAACAATAACACTTTGAAGCATCAAGTTTTTCTTTTAGGTTTCTTACACAAAATAGTTAACACAAAAGTTGATGCAAAATATTTCTAAGTAGTTAAGTGCTGTGGTTATAAAGGTTTTGCTTCAGTTGACTACATAATTATTTTCAAATTTTTCTCAGTATTTCCTTAGGCTACAAACACTTAAACATGTAAATAATTCTGTCAACAGCCCTCTTGACTTCACTGCAATTATTCATACCAGTAAATTTTGCACATGCATCAGTGATGAAGCACCAGAGCCTGTGGCATGTGAGTGTTCTCACTGTACTTGATATTTTTAAAAGAACTATCAAAGCACAGCAATAGAGGCCATAACCACTTTACATTATTATCACCTACTACAATACCTTACTTTTTGCCAAACACACTTCTACTAGATCTTCTCATTTCACAAAACATGTTTTGCTTTCAAAGGACCTACAACAGTGGCATAATTGCTTCTGCTTGTTTTTCAGTAAAGCAAAAATTTTACCTAAGTGTAGCTATTTAAGAAAAAATATTAATTTAGAGTGATGTACATATGCCATTTCTGCTGACAAGTCATTATGTCATTTCTTCTGAACAATCCCAGTATGCCTAAAGGAGAAGGATTTTTATTTAATGAAATGCTTTTAGCAGAGTGGAATGTCCACTCCAGTCACAGTTATAAATCTGCCTACACTGATACTTGCACATAGTTTTGTGTAAAATGCAGAGCTTGGTGCCAAGTCAGTTTTAGGGATGTGTTAAGATCTGAAAATCCTGAGCTGTAAATCTGCAACCATTTTAGTCTGGTAGGTTTATAGTCAGAGGGGCACAGATGGGACTGCAATTAGCAGGCAGGAACCTGACCTCTCTTCCACTGATGTGGGCCATCACAGGCTGACTGGGAGCTGGCTGTCGCACAGGTATTCCTCTGGACTCTCCCCCGTGTCTGAAATGCACTGCCTCCAAACCAAGGACACAGGAAAATCTGCCCAGGGGCAAATGCTGATAGAGCAAGCAGCTTATACAAAAAAAAAAAAGACAAGACACCAAACAAAACACAGGATTATTATTGTTTTCAAGTGCAGCAGGATGATAACAAAATAATCCAAGGCACTGGTTTAGGCTGTATCATATCTACTGACTGTTCTGCTGAAGCAGGCCCGGGATGCGCACAAGGCTCCGTAACGCGGATCTGCAACAGCGATGCCTCGTAGTAATCGCTAGGTAACAGCACCAGATAATCCTAAGAACAAAGAATACAACAAATGCTAAAGCATTCAAACAACGATAAAAAGAACATCTCCAGGCTTTCAGAACGTAACAATGAATGAAAACAATCACATAAACAATTTGTACAGAGGGTATCTGCAAGATGTAGGCTGTCCTTTTTCTGTTACTACTTGGGCCAATAACATCAGAATGTGATTCCCTAACCCTGTAATCTCAGAAAGTTGGCATGAAGGCAGCTGTCTGTGATCAGGGAAACTCTGAAGCTCCTTTTCCCTGATGTGCTGTACAAGGCAGTGCACTGAAGGGAGCTTCCCTGCAGCTCAGTAACACACAGCCAGACCCCCGCAATTTTTCATCCATGAGTGCAATCCACAAACACATCTCAACTCTGGGTAAGTTTTCATTCTGCCTTACTTACTTAAATTAATACATTAGAGTTTAAGTATAACAACTGTTAATGTGAGAACATGATGGACTAAGATTATCAATATATACCTTTTGGAAGGTATTAGTGAAAAAACCCAGCACAATAACACTGTCACTTTCAGCAAGAAATATATTTGCAAGCTCTTTACTAACATTTCATGTGGCATTCCATAAATTTAACACAGCCCCAGGCTTAATGACTAGAGGCACCGCTTTTTAATCCCTGTACAAAATACGTAAGAATTTCAGTATGCTGTCTTTGTGATCATACCTATTTAAGGTTTTTCATAAATGATCATCTCAAACAATTCCTCTTCCTTTAGCAATTTCTTAGAACCGCTACTAGAAAATTTTTCAGTTTTTCAGTGAATGAAAGCAGAGAAAAGACAGGAGGATAAAAGCAGTCAGAAACTGACCTTAATGCAGCCTGTCTTACAATACTCTTATGAAGATTTTTTTTTTGTCAAGAAACTAAGGTCTTGTCTGAGCTAAGCTCTAGACACAAAATCTGATGTTACTAATTTTTATGAGCAGTTATGCTTTGTGCTATATATTAATAATACCTTATCATCTGAAGGTATGCATTCCAGACAGACCTAAAGTCTGTAAGGAGAAGAAAGATTAGAGCAGGAGAAAAAAAAATAAAGAGGCAGAAGAGTAAATTTTTGTAATTGTATTCTGTTCCTTGCACTAGTACTGAATTTCACCTCCTTGCAGGGTTGAAGAACACAACTCCAGAGCAGTAACTTCATGACAACCTTCAAGCCGTTTTTTACCTCAATTGTTTTCTTACCAAGAGGACTTCCTCTGCAATTATATTGACAGTCCACATGCCTGGAGCCAGTGAGAAAGGCTCTGTGGAGCTTTTTCCTGGGATTGTGATAAAAGCTGGCTCCTTGCTGGGTGGGAAGACAAACTCTTTGCTCTGAGCAGCCCCTGCCAGAAAAAAAAAAAAAAATTAAGCAAAAAGCATACGTGACTGTAAAATGTCCCTACTTGCTTAGTGGGCTGGACTGATAATTTGATCCATTAAACTTTGTTTGACGGGAGTTGTTCAATGATTTTCAGTCAACACGCATTAGCAATGCACTTGACCAGACATAGAGCTATGCAGCGGTTGCTGTTTTCATTCTTATTACTCTTGAGCAAATTGGTACAGAAAAACAGAGCTCTTCCCCTGCAATGGCCAATTTTGCAATATCTGAAATGGTCACTTTTTCAGTTTCCCCTTCCATAATTTTCCATTCAACCTCTCTCTGCACTGACTCTCAATATATTCAACTGACATTTCATATTCTCATGTGACTAAGTCAAATACTTCAGGTGTTGGAGGTTCTCAGCACCATCTAAAATGTTTATTACAGACAAATAACTTCTAGGCAGAGATGATGGGCCAGTTGTGGATGCCTCATCCCTGGCAGTGTTGAAGGCCAAGCTGGATGGGGCTCTGAGCAGCCTGGTCTAGTGGAAGGTGTCCCTGCCCATTGTAGGGGGCTGGAACTGGATGATTTTTAAAAGCCCCCTTTTACCCAGGCAATTCTGTGACTCTGTGTACTACAGAAATAAAGCTGTGGTATGCTTTGTCAAATAGAAGTCATGAGGATCGACTGTTATGGATATTAAAGGTCTCCTCTTTGGAGATCCCGGACACAGACAAAATCTGGTTCTCTGCCTCCCAGCCATTAGAAGCCAGTGATGACCATAAATTTCTGCCACTCTGCTGAATGGTGTCTGTGAAGTCTTCAGTTTTGTCTTACTTGAATTTCTAAAAGGATCTATAACTTTATTCCTCTCAATAAGGCAGGAATAGCAAGACATAATTCTGCACATAGGCCTGGTATACCCCTACCATTCAAAGGATATGGAGTAACTACTTTTATCAGGGCCTGAAAGGCATCACATGTCTTTGAGGTCTGTAATCAGAACTAACTTGATAGACTGGATTCATCATTTTAAACAAACCCTAATCATTGAATGAAGGCAAAAGCCACATTTAAAACTTTAATATTAAAGGCAAGTAAAACAAATAGTATTGCTGTTTGTAACAAAGGTGTTGTTATCTCTTCTTTAAAAGCTTCATAAAACCCACAGTTCAGAGCTTCCAAGTACAGGACTGAAAGTACGAAGTGTGGCAAGCATTTGAAGAAACAAATGCTGATTCCTACTGCAAGCAGGAGTTTCATGCAAACACAGCCACATCAATTACACAGCAAAAATGTACGAGGAGAAGCCCAAAAGCACTGACACTGTTAAAAGTGATGCCTTTTAAGCAACATTAAAGACTTGACTTGGGTGCATCTTGGAAAGCCTTCTCTCATCTAGCATTGACCTGAGCTGTTGCACTGCTGAGTTAGACCTACCTGCTCCAGGCTGAGACTGCCAAGCAGATATGCGAGCAGATAATGTTCCCCCTCCAGGGTTAATATACCTCAGGATAATGCGATATAAGTAGAGGTTTGATTTTTCCACATTCAAAGTTATCCTCACTTCACTCTGAAAAATGGAAGTTAATAAACAAAAACAGCCATAAAGTGCTGAATGGAGGAACAGTCAGAAGCCATGCAAGCACCAGACTAAAGTCCTACAGGAAAGAGGCACATGCAGAAAATATAATGGCATGGCAATGCTGGTGTATGACAGAGGAAGACAGGGAAGCCTAGTGAGAAAATTAATTCACTTACAAGTATAATTAGTGCCAATATGTTTTCCCTCAGCAACTGAGATCTTCCCTTTAGAGCTTTTTGAGCCCAGGCTGACATAGTGGAGGACTAGGTGGAAGAGCTTAGGGGAAGCCACAGTGATAGGCATAACCACCTCTGGCTGGGAAAAATAAAAAAGAAAGGGAGAAAGGAGGAATGGAAAGTACATTACTTGTTACTATCACCCACAGAAAGAAAAACCACTTGGCAAAGACAAAAAGGCATGGGCAGCTTACAAAAGAGCATAGAACAAAATCTCCTGTGAAATAAAACTCTGGTTGAATATCAGCTGATCCAGAAGGACACGGAATGGCTCAACTAACATCTGTGTTAGTGTGAAACAACAATAGTATTTTACTGTTATTTTCCCCACTCGTGCCATAAAGGAGGCATATGGCTGTTGATATTCCTGCCTTTCCAAGGAACAGGCCACAATCAGTGATCCTAGTCTGAGATCCCACAGCATGCAGGCACCTCAGACTGCCACTGAAACTGCTGATCCTCTACTGGATCCTACAGTTGCTTAGAGCTGCAATACCAGGAATGCTGTCCTTGTCCTGGGGCTGAACTGACACCTCTCAAACCCACAGAATTCTCTGCATTTGCACAGCCCCATTATTTAGTTTTCAGTAAAACTAAAAGACATGTTAAGAGTCAGTGGTGGATTAGGAAAAAACAGGATTGCACCAATCTCATGGGGTGTTTTTTTTTATTTCCATCCAAAATCCTAAAGCTCCTCTCACTATCCAGTTCCCACCAGTTCACCCATCACAACCCACCTGCTGTCCCTTTCCAAGCTACTTGGGGTACAGTGACCTCCCCACCACTGTGGTCCACTCTGCTTCCCCAAATGCAAATGCTTTTTCTGTTTCCCACATCTGAGAACAGAATGCCCATGGAAAAGAAATGCAAAAAGCAGGTGAATTAGAAAGCAGGCATTAAGAAATCACAGATACCAAAGAGTTGCCTTCATTTACAAATGTGGAATAATACTGAAAATTCAGAAATTATCTAGGATTAAAAACCCCAAGACCAAAACAACAAAAGAAGAAAGACTGCAAAATGAAAAACAAAGGAAATCATTGTGCAATGGTTATGTGCTTTTGTCCCATGCTATAGTGATTCATTAGTCCCTGGACTAATGCTGGACTATACCAAAGACCTACTTTCAAGATGACTGAACAAATCCCATTTACTGCTCAAATTTACTGTTTTAAAATTCTGCTTATTTTGATCAGCAGTTCAATCCAAAATCAGAAGGGCCCACCTCAGAGAAATTATGGTGACTTTCTACCTGTGGTTTACTTATTCCCTCAGCTGTTGTTTAGTTTATTCATAGTCTGTCATGAAACTAAAATAAATGTTGCCAATATGCCCCTGCTCCCAGTTTCTTTACTGAACCACACATTTTCCTGTTTGCTGTATTGTGAAGGTATCATTCATAATAAAAGCTGGCACCTCTCTCTTCTCTACCCAATGTAGAGTTCAAGTGTAAGAGGACTTCAGTGACAGCACTTGGAATTCTCCTGAAAATCTCGTGGATACAGATTGTCATGGACCTGTGCAATTCAAATTATTTAGCCAAGCATTAATCTTCTACTGTTCCCACTGTTCTTGGCATGACATGAGTTTCTGCACTTAGTGTTATATACTTTAAAGCCATAAATTCCCTCTTTACAGCTGTCTCACAAAAAAAAAAAAACAACCTCAAAGAACATTTCTGAAGAAGGTGTATTTGCACAAGCAACAGGCAAATGACCTGACAAAAATACCAACATTCACTAATCCAAACAGCAAGATAGTGCCAAAGGGTTTGGATTAGTCAGACCCTGTTCTTTTTTGTCTTTTTTCCATGGCCTTCCACACACATACTAGTATTACAAAGACATGTGCAATGCACTTTTGTTTTCATTTCCACCCCAAAGTCTTGAGTGAAATACCAGCTTACTTGTATAGAGGACATCTGCACATATCCTCTCCAACTGAAGCTAGGAAATTCCTGAGGATCATAGCCAAACTGAATTTTCTCTCCTTGGACAGTAGTACCATCTTCAATCTCAAACTTCATGTGGTGCAGATCAGGAAAAAAATAGTTTTCTTCAGGCCTTTCAAGAAGGGAAAAAACCCACAACAAATCAGCAAAGAATTGCCAGTCATTTATGACCTACATCTAAGGGCAAAAAGCAGTGGGAGGGAGGTGATCTACTGATGACTGAGGAATTCTGACACCAGCTCATAGATTCAAGACAGCTGGTTAGAGGGATGCAATGAGAATTTTCTTTCCAGAAGCTTTTTCAGCTTTCATACATTTTCCTATACAACTCTTGATAGATAACTGGTATAGGTTAGATAACTGCAAAACTGGTATTGGATATTTAAGGAGACAAGTCAGAAAATCTTATCAAAACATAAGAAGCAAACTTCCCAGGAAAAAATTAATATCAATAACCAGTGCAATTTACCAAGTTAATCATCAACAAACCCAGAATGTCACACAAAAGCCTAACAAGGGGCTGTGCTGAAGCTGTGCCAGGAGCCCAGCTGGACTCACTCCTCACAGGTGGTGCCCACGACGTGTGCCCTGCACTGGCAGCTGCCCCAGGGCTGGGAGCAGGCTGGGCTCAGGGATCCTCCAACATCACACCGGCAGCCTGGCACGCCAAGAGCAGAAGCCAACCAGGAAAAGAGAGATGAAAGTGATCAGCAAACACACCGTGGCTTCACCTAATTAAACAACATTAATGACTGGCTTCCTCCTCCCAGAGCCCTTTAGACTCTTTCAAACACAACTTAATACACGTGCATAAGCAGCAATTACTTTGAGCTTCCCGTGTTTGTGCCTGTTTCCTTTTTAATTTCTCCTTAGAATGTGAAAAAAGCCACTTAAAAAAAAACCACCTCAAATAATACACCCTGCCACATTGCTAAATGCAGGGCTGCAGTTCTGCAGCCCTATTTTCTATTCAAATGTTTTTCTAGCAAGTCAATTTCTGCAGCAATATCACAAAGAATAATTATGTTCAAAAAAAACCACTAACAACAAAATCTAAAACCTAGCTTACAAAAATTACAAGATGTTAATTTTTTGAAGCGTGGTACCCCAATATTTAATCTGACAAAATTGCAATGTATGTGTTCATATAATATACAGATTTCCAACTGACACTGGACAACAATATTGAATGACTTCCTACAGGAGACAGGACTTGTGGCACAAAGTAAAGGACACCTCTAGTAATGAGGTATAAAATGCTGCACTAAGGAACAAGTATATCAAGGCTAAAACTTTCAAGCTGGATTGAAAGGGTAAGTGCTCCTAAACAAGATTTATGCCATAGTCTAAAAGCACCCTGTTTTCTAAGACATGCACAAAATGACTGGGAAGCACAGTGGTAACATCTGCCTTGTTCTTTCTCCTGCTGAAAGTCAAAAGAAGAGTCACAAGCAATGTTACAGCACCAGCACCAGTGTAAAATGCTGTGCATATGAGTAATTGAAACATCCTCTGTCTAAAAGTACAGCCTAGGGAATTCTAAAGACTTCAGTGCTAAGTGCAAATGTTCCACTATAGATGTCCTTTAGTCTTTTTACCTTGGCAGCCAAAATAATTCTTTTTTTCAAGAGCATAATAACCAGCTTCACAAGTGTCACAGGAATCTCCACAGACATTAGATTTGCAGTAGCATTGCCCATTTTCCTGTGAAGAAAATAAATTTCATCAAAGATGTTTCAGAATCTTTCCAGAACTTCAATCTCCCAATAATTTGAATTCCCTCTAATTCTAAAGAGGAAAAAATTTCTAATCTCAAAAAACAAAAAACAAACAAAAACAAAAAAAAATCCAAAAAACCCCCAAAAAAACCAAAAAAAATCAACCAAACAAAACAAAAAACCCCAAACACAAACCCCCAAAACATTATCTGGACATTATCTGTCATTTATTATCTTCATAAATAGACTAGAAAATACATAAACTCAAGAATAAAAAAAAATTTAAACTTTATACATCCCTAGGATGCATAAGATTGATCCTTTGATGTATAAAACTAGGTATTTTATCTTCAAAAGCAATAAAACAGTGCTGGGATTTCTACCTTAGCAAATGGTACAATAACTTAACAATAACCAATTGAATGAATATCTTTTAGTTTCTCTTTACCTGCTGACATTCTGCAACTCCACTTAGTGTTCCACTCACATCACACTGACATGCTGCACAGACGAAAAAAACAAGACACCTGCATTTCATCTTTCCATGATACCTTACAGGGAAAACCCCCACCACCCAGAATCTGCAATTTTGAGTCAATGTGCCACAAGGTGAATTTTCAGAACTGATATGAGGTGAGAAGAAAAAGAGAAGGAGAAAGAATGAGGACTTCTAAGTATGTGTGGTTTACTGCTACGTTTTAAAGTGATTTAACTTGTATTTGACAAAAAACAGGAATGAGTTTGAATTTACAATTGTTTTCTTTCTCAGAAACATTCAAACAATTTATACAAAACAGTGTCTTCCAGCCTGACTGGCACCTTCTATTCTGCAATGCTACTCTGGGACCAAATCAACTTTCCATATGAAATAGAAATGGAGAAAATAGTGCAGGGAGGAATTATGATGAGCCAAAGTTTGGACAAACCCAGGATCAACTCTGTGACTGAAAGCAGAGAATTACATGGACAGTGCAGTACTTAATATTTGAGTTGTTTAGTATTTAGAGATCTAAAGTAAAAAATGTAATGATACTATTATCAGGTCTAAAGCTACTCATCCCAAGTGGCTGTTGTGGTGGAATCTGTTCCAAAGGAAACAGCTGGAGAGAACTTTAAAGATTTTTTTTTATCTTTACCCTTTTTAATCTTCATTAATTATCATCTGCCTTAAAAACACACACTCCCTGTTGGAAAACATTGACAATCACAGTTATTACACAGATATAAACCATAACAGATCTGTCACACCCTGAGGCCACAAAAAGGCTTTACACTCCAAGCTACAAAATAACAAAATAGAAAAGCTCTTTTATTCTCAAAACAATGAGCCAAATTCTGATTTCAGGGTTTACAGGTAAAAATGTCTTGCCCCAGTAGATCTGCCATAGGGCCGTATCAAGTGGGCATCACTGGAACTTCAGATTACACCCTGGTTCAGCACCAGGCAAACACCCATGGAATTATGGCCCGGCTTGTGAAAGTAACTGCTGGTATCATGGGTAATTTGGTGTTACAATTAAGCTGCACGAGAAACATGCTGTTAACAAGAGTTGTGTCACAAAGAGCACCACAGACAATGTCAGAGAGTAGAGATGACTACATTTCATAAGCCAAAGAAATATGCCACAAAGCCATACCTGTACATCCCTCAGGGTTTTCTTTGGCCAGGTTCCAGTACAAGGGTTTGCATTTACTGCAGGTAGGACCTTCAACATGCTGGAGACATTGACAATATCCCTAAGAACAGAAAGGAGCTAATACGGGTTCACCTGCATCTGCCATAGGGCTGTATGAAGTGGGCATCACTGGAACTTCAGATTACACCCTGGTTCAGCACCAGGCAAACACCCATGGAATTATGGCCCGGCTTGTGAAAGTAACTGCTGGTATCATGGGTAATTTGGTGTTACAATTAAGCTGCACGAGAAACATGCTGTTAACAAGAGTTGGAAAAGTCACAAAGAGCACCACAGACAGTCAGAGAATAGAGATGACTACATTTCATAAGCCAAAGAAATATGCCACAAAGCCATACCTGTACATCCCTCAGGGTTTTCTTTGGCCAGGTTCCAGTACAAGGGTTTGCATTTACTGCAGGTAGGACCTTCAACATGCTGGAGACATTGACAATATCCCTAAGAACAGAAAGGAGCTAATATGAGTTCACCTGCTTCATAAAAAACTTACTGATCTTTATTACTAAGAAAAGCCTAGTATTGTTAAGAGCTCATGCAGTTCACTGACTTTTACAGATACATGGACCTCAGGCTGGGTCAGACATCTTTGTTTTTTCTGTCTCATACTATCAGCACAGGATTGTTCCACCCAGCATATTTTTTATGTATCTAATTTATTCTAAGGGTCCTAAAGGATATACTTTCCAATTCTTTTATAGCTTTATTATAACTGTTCTAAAGCATTAACTGGTTTGTACAAAGAATAAAGCCCCATATTTCCTTAAAATAGTAATTCATTTTTATATTTAATATTTTCTTTATTGGTGGAAGACACACAGAGCTCTATACAGAAACCTACATAGGTACCCTTCCACCCATCAGACTCACCCTCTCGGTGGTCTTTGCCACACATTTAACAATGCCTGTGATTTCTGGTAATATGCAATTACTAATGACCATCATTGTATTAACAACAACAATAGTGGAACAGCAACAAAGATGTAATGATTTTTCAAGAATAATTTGATCCTGAAAGGCCTGTTGCAACCCAGATGGTCTTTGAGATGTGCACAGACTTATATCTTCGTGCATATGTTATGTTAGTGTTAAGAGTATACCAAAAAGGCATAAACAGATTGCATATTCTATATACAAAATATAACCCCCCCATCCTTGACAAGGTTTTGCACTGGTATGATCAAAGAGCAAAACACAACGTTTATTTCTACTCCTGCTCTTCAAACAAGCTCCTGCAATTCTTTTAGAGCCTAAGAGCAGGCTTCAGGGCTTGAGCAACAAGCTGGATGTGTTCAGCAAAGACACATGAATGATTAACATGCACTGTTAGCTGCAGTGGCAGAATACTTACAAAGTGAGAACCAACGCTACCGGCGGGGTCACACTCGCTGCTGACACCTTTATAAAACAAACACATTGAAAGATCTTTTGAAAACAGAGGCTGTGGAATGTAGTAGTGCAGAAGCACAATGTAGCCGGTGCGAGCTTGAAAGGGCTTTTTAATACAGCTACCTTGGAGAGACTCAAATACTTTAAACTCCAAGACAGCAGAAACTTTTAATAATGATTTTTTAAATGTGTATTTAGCTTGATTTATAGTATTTGGGTTTGTATGCAAAGCAGTCACTTGGAAAAACAGAGCCCTAACCTATGGAACTGACAGATATTTTCTTAAAGTTCCTGTGCCATCAAAATGTAAATCTTTTAAATGGAAATATATTTGAGAAGATTTATTTTCTTCTGTGTTGCAGAAATAGGAAGGAAAACCCCAGTAAAAGTAGGGGAGGCTTTTACTCACGCAAGCAGTCGGGGTAGCTGTAATATCCTGGAGCACACTGGTCACATCTCAGCCCAGCATAGTTACCACGGCACAGACACTGCCCTCCAGGACCACAGGTATTCCCCAAAGAGCCAACACCATCACAATTGCATGCTGCACAGAGGAAAAAAAAAAGATACACATCTAAATCTAGAATCTGCCAAAAAACTTATATTTTAATGTAAATCATTTATGTTCAGAAAAACCAGACAAAGCATAATTTCACCAGCAAAAATAAATATCCTAAAACAGATGGTTATTTGTGTCCTCAACCACTGATAATCTTGGGTCTTGCAGTTTTGTAACTCACAGCTGAGAGATTTGGTTTGATGCCTTGCAATATACATGTAAGGGACATAAATCCATCTTACATTTGGGAAGAATGTCACATGAGAGAAATACTTTAAAAAATCTTTTAAAAATATATTCAATGCATATTGTCAACTGTAACAGCAAACTTCTCATGGAGTTACCACTATTTTGGGCTAACAGCTAAAGACAAGACCTCCTATTTTCTTGAGTGAATGCTAGAATGTTCCACAGGGTCACACTTCAAAGGTACAGGAATGGGACCCCATCTGAGCATCCCAGCTGTCCCAGGTACTAGATGAAGTGCTACAGTTTGCCACTTGGATGTTATAACTGCCAGAAGTGGCTGACTGACAGAAATACAAAGCAAACATTGTCTTCCTGTTACATGTTCATGTTTCTGGTTCCCCCTTTTGGTTCCTCTTTCTGCTGCAGTCAAAGACATCTGACTTGGCTGTGTTTACTTTAAAGATGCTTGGAAAGACACAGGGCTTGCTAGGAAGCTAGTGTAAGAGAAATACAAACACTGAAGCTTCCAAGGACAATACCTACACTAGAGTCCTCCATCATGTGACTATCATATTGCATTCTCTCCTAATTGTAAGTATTAGTGTTTTGTTTAAAGGCTTTGTTTTGATATCACTTTATTTGAATAAAGCTTCTATTGAGTTCAACAAGTCACAACCAGAAAGATTAATTCTAGTCACAGCAGCCCAAAAGATATAGATTTGTCTCTTTTGAAGATAGCAATTCCTTACAGGAATAGCAGGCTGGGTGGCTCACTTTCCCCCACAGCTTGCAGCATGCTGTGTTAATTTATGTTTAAACCCATGGCAGCTCATTTTAACTGAACAAACTGTGAACTACAGCAGTTCTGAGTAATCCCACTGACTGTGTTTTCAACTATTTTTATCCGTCTTTTACAATTTGTTTTTGCATGCTCTTTTAAGCTTTTATGTCTCTTTTCAGCTTTTGGTGTTCAAAGATCAAACACATGCAATATGGGTTTGATTTGCTTTAAGATCGCTACTTGATTTTGCCCTAGGAAAATAAAAAAGGTTATTTTAAAACCACTGAACAGTGTGTACCAATGCAGAATCCTGATTTTATGTTTTTCATTAAAAATGTTCATCTACTCCAAACCATAAAACCCACAGTCATGTGGTGTTTCTTTATTCCACCCATTGTGTTTGGTAACAACACAACACAGCCCATCTTTGCAAGGTGCCACAGTTTAACTCCAGCTGGCAAATAGGCACAGCCACTCACACCCACCCATGGGATGGGGAGAAAAATTGGGAAAAAAGGTAAAACATAGCACTGTACACAGCACTAGGCGTAAAATTAACTCTATCCCAGCTGAAGCCAGGGCATGAGGACATAAATAATTCTGCTGTCCCTCTATAGGAGATAAACAACTGTGTAAGCCCAAAGGAAGAAGACTGACATAGTCAACAGCCAAAATTACAAGAGAGAAGAAAGCAAATCATAATTTTATACATAAATCTTATTAATCAGCATAGGCAAGCCCATACCAGAACTCTGCAATATTCTATATTCCTTCTCAATGGAAAAATCACTAAGGATTAAGGGCCCCCTCTCTCATTCACTTTAAAGACAGACAAAACCTAGGGCCAAGTAGGACTTGATGGGAGTCCTTATACACACACAAGACCATTATGATACTCAAAAGTTATACTCCATTCATTTCCTTGCCTTGTAAAAAAGCAGGCTAGTCCTTGGTGGGAAACTCCATAGACATTTTTCATATTTCATGCCTACACAGACACAGGTTGGGTTAGCGCCTGTCACATGATCTTAAAATGAGTGAGAAACCACCATGAAGGGCAAAATGAGAGCTTCAGATTTTCAGATTTACAGAACACACCTTTTACAAGGTACTAAACCTTGATGCCAAAACAAGGTCCCAAAGACTCTCTGCAAAAGCAGACCAGGGCTTCACAGTTCCGCTATGCTGGTTCCTCAGCAGTCAAGTGTGCCCTGTTGCTGTGGGCCTCCATGTGAGAGCAGCTCTCAAATGCTTTGATTATTAGTAAGAAGCTGTGCTGACTGAGGGTACACCAAACAGTCTGACTACAAGGGGAAAAAAAAAAGTCTGAAATTGGAAAATTAAAATGTAGGAGGATTTCACTGTAGAGTGCAAGAGGGAGTTGCCCATTTGCTGCTGAGAACGCTGCTCTGGCTGCTGTCCTGGGAAGCACTGCTGTCTGCCTTTCAGGGCCCTGCCCATGCAATCAGCAGCCTTACCTTGACAGGCAGGGAATGAGTGGTGGCCAGGCTGGCAGCTGTCACACTGATGTCCAGTGACCCCTGAGCGACAAAGACACCTCCCAAGAAAATCACAGACTTCGGGCTGGGTACCCATCAAGTTACATTCACACACTGCCGATGAGAAAAGATATTTCAGAGGCAGCCTCTGCACAGGCTCTTTTATATTTCTTGAAATAAAAATACATTTGAAAAAAAACAGCAGTAAAAGCAACTCCCTGCTCCCTGATGCTCAACAGGATGACAATTTTCCCATCAGATTTATATGGATTCATAACAGCTTTTATTGACTGCTCACATGTGTAACAATTCAGGAACAAGGAAAACATTAATGAAAGACCAAGGAAGGGGGCTCAAAGTTCAATTATCAGTGTCAAAGCACTACACACTTAGACTGGCCCCACTGAGAGTCTGATTTATCAATTCCAAGTGCCTGAGCGACAAAGACACCTCCCAAGAAAATCACAGACTTCGGGCTGGGTACCCATCAAGTTACATTCACACACTGCCGATGAGAAAAGATATTTCAGAGGCAGCCTCTGCACAGGCTCTCCTTTTATATTTCTTGAAATAAAAATACATTTGAAAAAAAACAGCAGTAAAAGCAACTCCCTGCTCCCTGATGCTCAACAGGATGACAATTTTCCCATCAGATTTATATGGATTCATAAACAGCTTTTATTGACTGCTCACATCTGTAACAACTCAGGAACAAGGAAAACATTAATGAAAGAGCAAGGAAGGTGGCTCAAAGTTCAATTATCGGTGTCAAAGCACTACACTTGGACTGGCCCCACTGAGAGTCTGATTTATCAATTCCAAGTGATTTGCCAACTATTGAGAGTAATTCCATCACTTCTGGGACTGAAGCAAAACAATTCATGGTTTAGATTTACAATCTTGGGTGGGAGTGGTCAATAAATGGTCTAAAAAGACAGTACAGAGACAGCTATTAAAGTTCTGAACCCAGTCAGTTTTATAGTATTGATTAGATAGGGTAGCTTTGTGCATCAAAGTGAGGTTGCAAACTCATATTAAGTACACACATTTTTTAAAAAAAACCTCCAAGGATAAGTAACAGAAATACTTCCAAATTTATTCTAACTTTAATCAATGTTACTAAATCCAAACACAAACTAGAGTCTAGCAGCTGCATCAACCAGCAGACAGCAACCAAGGAAACAGGGGAATTTTTAGATTAAAATCTCCCCTCATCACATTATTCTTCTTGGACTTTTATGAGTTTTGGAAGAGCCTGTAATGAATACGTCTCCATGGCAAAATAACTTCATCCTTCAATATAAAACATGGTGTTTTGGATCTGCTTGCCAAAAGGGAATGTTTGGCTTACCCTGGCAGAAGGGGTACTGAAAATAGCCAGCTGCACAGGTATCACAGGACAAACCCCCAAATCCAGTCCGACATCTGCACTGCCCAGTACTTCCATCACAGTCACCGCCCAGCACTCCTGCACCGTGGCACTGGCATGCTGAAGAACACATTTGTAAAGAAAACATTTGCAGTATTATGATCTTAAAGTTCTTATTTCCCTTGGAAGCCAAAGGCTGGCATTTATCCTGGAGTACTCCAGGCTCCAAGTGTCAAAGAAACTATGCCACTTACACAGACACTGGGGGCCAAAATACCCTGGTTTGCAGCCTTCTTCTATTTAAAACAGGAAAGGAAAAAAAAAAGTGAGTGCATATAATCCCAGAATTCCTTGTCATTTTCCAGAGAAAAATAAATCAGTACTTAGTAAATATTACTGTTGAACAAAAATACCCTATTTATATGAGTCTTACATGCAAAATCTCATTCAAAACCCCCACAATCTGTAATTGTGCTTAGTCTGACAGCAAAAATTTACAACTTCTACTAAAACTTCCACTTAGAGGCAGCTGCCTTTCCTATGCCTTAAAATTCAGATGCTGCTCATTGAAAGGGTAAAGAGCTCAAGATCTGCTTTCTCCTGTTATATTTATTCACTTCCCTTTGGAGTTTTTTTCTTCCTTTTAAAAATTTGTGAGAGAAGGGGATGTGCAACAGAGAATACCCAGAGGCCTACCAGGGCAATTATTTTGGATGTTGTACCAAGGCAAAGTGCATTATATGTGTGCAAGTGATCTAGTGCTAGCTGTAATGAGGTCTTGTTGTGCAGAATGATAATATAGGCTAAAAAATATAAGCCCACCAAGAGAATCATACTATGGATTTCAGGCAGCTTTGTAGGGCTAACAACAAATATGAAGCTTTCTTAGAAATCAAAGTCCTTCACTGCCACTGTACCAAGGTAAAGTGCATTATATGTGTGCAAGTGATTTAGTGCTAGCTGTGATGATGTCTCTGTTGTGCAGAATGATAATACAGGCTAAAAAATATAAGCCCACCAAGAGAATCATACTATGAATTTCAGGCAGCTTTGTAGGGCTAACAAGAAATATGAACCTTTCTTAGAAATCAAAGTCCTTCACTGCCAAGGGCAACATACAATTTGCCAGGTGAGAGAGGACAGTCCACAGGCAGAAGCCAGTTAGCCTCAAGAAAGAGATTTACACCACAAAACAGTGGTTGTCATGTTAGAAAGTTGTACATTTCAGAAAGTCTTGATGGATGTATTCTTAAGTGCACCAAACAAGGTGGTCAGCTCCTCCCGCAGATGTTTGCCAGAGGCTCACCAAAGTTATTTTGATCCATAACTCCTTCTGGAGCCAACCTGTTTGGTATAAACATGACAGGATGATGAACTTCTGGCAAGAACAAAAGTTCTCTTGATGGATAAATACCAACAGAACCAAAACCGCTGCCTAAACCCCAACCTATTGATTCTATTATTCCACAAAAGAGCAGGCAGCACTGAAACAGTGAAAAATAGCAACATGGGGAAAAACAGTGAAATGGGGAAAAACCACCAAGAACTTGCCTATGATGTCACCAGCCACAGCATCACTTGGAATTGAAGAAGTAGAAGGATATACAGGAGTATCTTTAAAACAAAAGAAACAACAAGGATCATTGGAAACAAACACATTATATTCATTAAAAACCATAACAAACAATGAAGTTATCTACCATCAATACAGAGAGCATGATATTCATACGACTCTAGTAACCAACTTCAGCTTGGTTTTCTTAGAAAAGAGGTAAAAGACATTGCAATTTGATTCCCATTCCAGATAAAAGCTTCCCTTCTCAAAAAAGCAGTATGAAAGGCCAGACTATTTGGAAATGCCACTGAGTTGCTTTCCTGCTCCTTATCCTTTTGTGCAATCTTTGTTACACTAGACAGCGTTGTGAAAATTATCTAAAGATGTTCATATTTATTTCACATTTCCTGCTTCTAGCTGAAGGTCCATCTCCTTCTAGGTGGCATTACCACCTGCTACACAAACTGCCATAACTTACGACATGTACGTCTTAAGAGCTTTTATTTGAGAGTCCTCCAGACTGTCTTTCCCATTCTTAAATTTTCTTGCATTGAGATGGGATCCAAAGTAAATGAGCTACACACATCAGTGGGACTCGGATCAATGTCTACCTGAGCTGAAGTAATTTAAAAATGTCAGATTTCAATCAAGAAGATGTATGAGATGTGATAATCTAGAATGCAGTGTACAGAGAGGGTTCTATCACAGCCATTGAATTCAAACAACAGTCAGTTTTCATAGGGTTTTTTTTTCCCTTTGTTTTGTATTGTTTTCCCTCTCCTTGTGCTTCTCTTTTGGTACTTCTCTTCTAGTCAGACCTCAGAACTATGAGAATATAGCACAATCTCTGTTTTTCAAGTCACTATCACTTTGTTAAATAACCCTACTCTGTTTATGGACTATTTTCTATCTTTCTGCTGTTCTCAACATGCTCATATGACACAAATATTGAGAAGAATATAATTTAAAAGGTTTAAAGCAACACAAATTCATTTGCAGCTCTTCTCCAACATCTTTTGCCCACTCTTTCATTTTTTCCTCCCTAAAAGACGCATCCTATGCCTTGATTACAGCCCAAACCCCTCAAGCCAGCAGGAGAAGACACTCCACAGAGAAGGACTCACGTATGCAACCATCAGGAGCTCTCACTGGAACACCATAAGGACGATAGTAACCTTTTGCACACTTCTCACAGTTAATGCCAGCTGTGTTATGCTGTGCAAAACAAAACAAAAGGATAGTGCAAGATAAAGAGAGGAACTTAGAAGAATTAAGAAACCATAACTTCCTTTATACTGTTTCTACATACAACTACGAACGGGAAGAAATTGAGTATGACTGCAACAAAGAATCAATCATCATGTAGTGTTCTTTAACCACCTGTTCTCTACAGGGCTCTGGATCATGGTATTCTCACATACAGCAGCTGAATTTTTTATTTAAAGCAATATAAATTCCTCCTCCCACTAAAAAAAAACCTTTGAAAAAACATCTCTTTATATCATAAAATATCTCTTTTTAGGCTACTTTCTTATCACCATATATATATTGTTCAAGAAACTGCAACATAAATTTTTTTATCATACTACTATTAATTTTCTGAATATCTTGTGTCAAAGATCAGCAATAGCAGAAGAAATCAAAAACTGAACAGTCCAGCCAGCACAAAATAAATTTTCCCCTAGAAAAGTATATGTCTCTATAAATATATGGTTTAGGCACACCATTAAAAAATCCTAAGTAATTTGAACTAGAGCAGTGATGGCAAGTAGAAGTTGACTAAATCACGGTCACGAGGCACACTGATGAGCTCACAGACATAAAAGCCAGGGAAACAGAGCAGGAAGCTCTGCCCTGGAGCAACCAAAACATTGCCCCCAGCTCCCCTCCCTGTTTAGTTCCTCCTTAGGGGGTGTTGTAATTCAGGGCTGAGCAGGGATACAGCATTTCCTGGATGGACTGGTGAGCAGTTCATGAGCAGGGCACCCAGGACTCTGCATGCTCTTCAGTGGCTACTGGAACTCACTCCAGTGGCATATCAGTGGCCCCACCCCAGAGAGAGCTTTGGGAAGATGCCAGAAGGACAATGCAGCAGGGTGCAAGTAATCCAGAAATTATTTTGAGCATATGAAAGTATGAAAGAAAGACAAACAAGACAGCAGAATTACAGTTCTGGGCTTCTGAAAAGCAGATTCGTCCTTGCTCAGAGAGCTGCTTGACAAGATCCTCTGTGAAAGTGTCCTGGGTGGGAAAGGGGACCAAGAGAGTAGATTCTCATGGACAGCCTCCTTAGAACTAGAACAGTTCTTTCCAACATGCAAGCATGGCAGAAGGTCAGCACAGAGTTCCTGACTGATCTCAAACTCAAAAAGAAAGTGCATGGAAGGTAGAAGCAGGGCAGGCTACTTGGTGGCAATACAAGGACATTGCCCAAATATGTAATAATGGAGTTCAGAAAGCCAAAGCTTAGCAGGGTTAAAACTAGCAAGGAAGGTGAAGTGCAAAAAGAAAGACTCTAAGAGTAGAGGAACAGCAAAAAAAAAACTAATGAGTGTACAGGCCCATTGCTCAGAGGGGGAAGGAGATCCAGTGAAAAAATTTAGAACACACAAAGGACAGGAAGGTGATGTGACATCCAGCATAGTTTACACAGGGCAAAATATTCCCAAATCAACCTCATGGACCTCTGTGATACAACAGGTGCTGTGGGCAGGCCCAGATAGATGGTGAGAGACTGAAGCACATGACATCCAAGAAGATGGCTGGGCTTCTTCAGCATTAAGAAGAGAAGGGTGAATTTATTGCTACCTACTACTACTGGACCAGAGAATACAGAGGGGATGGACCCAGACTGCTATCAGAGGTGTGCAGAAAAAGGATGAGGGGCAACAGGCACAGACTGGAACATGGAAAATTCAATTAGATTTTAGGGACAAAATATGTCATGCAGGCAGTCAAACACTGAAACAGTTTGCCACATGTAGCTGTGGCATTCCAATCTCAAGAGGTCTTCAGAGCTTGGAGGAATGAGTTTCTGAGCAACCTAAGATAATTAGACCTACTCTGAGTAGGATTGTGGGGTTTCCAGAGCTCCTTTGTCATCATACTCTAAAGAAACTGATTCTATCTTTGTATGCAACACTTTTTTTATCACTTCTTCGTTCAGGCATCCATTCCTAAAACTTTTCTTTCCCCTGACACAAACAGAAAAAGTAAACTAAAATTTATGCCCTTTATCAATGAAAACAAAAAAAAAGCTATAATTGGATTTAAACTCATTTAATCCAACTTCCACAAAATTAATGACAAATAATTCATATCAGTCATATAACAAGGATTTGTAGAATTAGACTAATTTTCCTATTTTCTATCTTTGAAGCAGTATTAAAAGAAATGTTCTTTCATGAACAAAGAGCTAATAGAAAAGACCAACATGGTAAATCTTACTAGACTGTATGAACAAAGTTCTGCACAGAAATGTCGATGGGAAGACAAAGAACATTTCTTCTACTCATGTTAGTAAAAATAATTCTAATCTTCTGACTGCCTTTTGGACAACATCTGATTGTATTGTGGCAAGAATATGGAAAACAATCTACACTGGATATTTCCTTTTTTGTTGCTTGAATACAGCTATATTTTAAAATGCACAACACGGTAATACATAAATCATGATGCATGGATTTCACAGGAACATAGAACTGATGATAAATTTCCTGCAATGCAAAATTCTGATCAGCTGCTTGTCATACATCAGATGACTTGACAACAAAAGGAAGACAGACTTCCATGTAAGTCTGGATTTATTTAACCACGAGATCACTGAACCAATGAATGACTCAGGTTGTAAGGGACCTCATGAGGTCAAGTAGTTCAGTCCTGCAGAGACAAGGCCAAGATTAGATCTTGATCAGAGTCTTACTTGATCTTTCCTTATAGTCATTGCCAGAGTAGAACAAAATCAGAATGAAAGAAATTCTTGTTCTTTCCAAGAATGTGTTATCTATTTGTGACAGACACAGTATAAAGTCTCTGATTCCAAATTTACAACTTTTGATTCAATCCAATGGAGCCTCTAAGATAGTTATGGACTCATCCCCTCAGTATTCAGGGGATACTGAGGGAATGACTTTGGCTGGCACAGAGGGGGAAGGTGCCTAATGCAGTTTTCCTCTACACAAAAGACAGAGCCAACTCTTCTCATGTAAGCACAGCACAAGCCCAAAAGCCAACTATCACAAGCTGCAATTGGGGAAATTCCTGCTGAACAGGAGTGTGATTAAGTGCTGTTAAAGATTACCCAGAGTGTGTGTAAAGTACATCCTCAGAAATTTGCAGAATTCAACTGTGTGTTTCTCAGTGCAGCTGGATATAATTTTGCATCCAGCCTTGGTTTGAGCTGAGCACCAGTCCAAAAGGATTCCAGAGGGCTTTTCTAGGATTCTGTGATTTCCCAATATCTATAACTTTCCACCTTGGTATAGTCTAGATCCTCCTTTATTTCTGCTGATGAGAGAGAGTCCTCTGCATTTTGCTGCAGTAAGGAACCAGCTGGCTTGAGCTGGCATTTTATTTGGTTAATTTTACTTCCTTCTGTTAAGGAGGGAAATGACAGACTTTGTAACAACAGGAAAGAGAATTTTTATAGCTGATCAAATTGTTTGCTTTGATTGTGTGTTTTTATTTTGATCACACAGGAATGAGCATAAAATAAATTTTATGTGTCTTTTACACATTACCAAGCAATGCTGAACAAGGTAAATCACTTCCACACACCTTTTTCCACACTTTGATACAAGTAGTAACACCATCAGACAAATGGGCCTATGTGGACTGGTCAGACCCAAAACTACTGGTGTGAACATATTTTTTTAAACTGATCAAAATGACCTTTTTACCTGGCAGTTAATGCAGACTCCTCCACCTTCATAATGCCCATGGATGTTTAAGCTTGCTTGACGCTGATCAACATCAGCATCATAGTAGCAATCAGTGGCATGTCCATGGCAATTGCAGGCTGAAAAAGTAATGTTCCAAGTTAGCTTTCTTTGTAATGTTGGAATGTAGCAATCTCCAGCATTTACCTCCAGCAGAGGTGTAAAAGCATATTAGATTTTTTTTTTAATGTGTACATACACTCAGGACTGCTGGAGTACACTCAAATGTGCATACTTGCCTATAAACAACCGGATTTTCATACCAGAAACACAGTACAATAATAAGGACATGAAGAAACTGTGCAGCTAGTCTTCCCAGAGAAGACAACAGTTGTACCATCTCAAAACTATATTGTAATGCATAAATGCAGAACTAGGAAGCTCTAGAAGAATGGCCACAGCAGTTTTTTTTAATTATCAAAAACATACTCAAATGTTTATTTTGCCATGTCTCAAAAATACATCTGGACTGATGCTATGTGCACTAAACCTTTATTTAAAATTAACAATTATAGGTAAGATACACATTTAAATAAAAAAAGACACCCACCAAAGAACTCTCATATTCAGCTGTAGCTAAAGATACACCAGCAAACTTGCGTCTAATATAATTCTGAGTAGAAACTAACCATAACAACAAACAAATAGAATAAACCAAAGGACCATAAATTCATTCAATGTCCTCTTTTTTTTTTTCTGATTTGATCTTCCTTCTTTGCTGGAGAGGCAAATGGGAATAATTCTGAAAGAATGCAGGTAGCAAATCAGGCTTCCCCAAGCAACTGGGTGCTAGCTGATCTTTTAATTTCAGGAAATTACCTTCCCAGGAAACTCCTGAAGTAATGACCTGATAAAGCTATTACTTCATGTTTAGGGAAACTCTCCCTTCATCTGGACCAGGGGATACAATACTCTGGAAAATGAGTTACAGAAGCTAAGGGCTCCGCCCCTTCTTCAGGATGAGGGAAGCATATGGGAGGCAATCCTTCCAAACTCTATTCCAAGTTCCTGGCACAACTGGGAGCATAGCTCAGGGATTTTCCAGGTCTTGCTACATAATCATACAGACAAGAAAAGTGAAACTGGATCATTCTCTGCATTCTCCCTATGCCTTTTTATCAGAAGAGTTGTGGAGAAGGAAGGCTTTTCCCAGAAATTACCCACCAGACAGCTGAGGAGGTGCCCTGCCATCAGGCTCCCTTATGGTCTGTTGACAAGAACTGGACAAGGTTCAAGATGGGTTCCCTAGCCAGGATGTAACAGCCTATGAAGATCTTTGAGTTTTCTTACCCATCAAAGTCTTCAAGAAAATAAAACACTACACAAATTAGATGCTGGCTCAAGATATTAAGTCAGAAAAGGAAAAAAAGGATAATAATATATAAATATGTATAAATACAATGTAAATAAAACTTCCCTTGCCTCCAGGGTCAAACCACCTGTGAGCTACAGCTCAGCTATGTCTTCTAACAGCAATGGGAAATTATTTGCTCTGATTACAGTAGCAGCACTTTGACTTACAGGGGAATAGAAACCCCTTCTACCTCATCAAACACCTTTTCACCACTTTGGGCCATTTGCTGATCCATACGTACTGCAAAGCTCACAGCAAAATGTTGGGCTGATCCCTACAAGCTCCCACCAACCTCTTTCAATCTGTTTCTCTCAAGGAACCTCAGGCCTCTGGAAAGTTGAATAAGGTTGTTTTAATTCCTTCACTTCTGGCTGGCAGCTGAAGAGGCCTGCACCTGGCAAATGCTCTCAACAAATCACCTCAAACTGCTAGGAGCAATCCACACCAAAAAGGATTTTTTTTCAGAGATAGTTAGAAATGAAGTGGTTTTGGCTCAGAATCTTGTAGGAGATCTTCTAGACACTCATTCTTCAAAAACCATGACATTATTTATGCTCTTTGTCTCTTTTCTGGCAAAAAAGTTTTCCTTTTAAAGAAGGGGACTTGAATGAGGTTTCAAATATTGTTCAAAAACTGTGTCCCAACATGCCTACCTCCTATCAAGCATTTTAATCACACAAAACCTCCTTCCCCCCTCCCAAGTCTTAGTACTGCAGTTTTAATTAAACAAGTCATTTCTTTATTCCTCAGAGTAATTATATAGGTACATCTCTGGCTTTCAAATAAGGTTCTCCTGTTAAAGAGTTTGTACCCACTGGCTATGCTGCTCTCAGGAAAGGCAGATGAGAAAAATAGATCAGGCCAGACACAAAAGAAAATGGTTGTGCACAGAGATTGCAATGCTCTGCACCATCCCACCTGGCTTCTACCCAGGGGATGCAAAACACCTGTGTGTGACAGTACAAACCCATCACCAAAAGAGTGTCCCTGCTGTCACTTCCTTTAAGAATGAAACACAGGGAAAGTGGGGAAAAGGGCAAATGAATGGGCTCCTCCTGCTTGACTACTCAGTCTGTAGGGCTAACATCCTTCAAACACAAGGATGGGAAGAGGTACAATTGTGGAATTATGAGGATCCCCCACCACAAACACCTTTGTGCCACTGGGACACAGCCAGTGAGGGGCAGCTCTCACCCTGAGAAGGGAGGGCAGTTCAAGCACCCATAAGCAGTGGCAGCCTCAAGCAACCTCTCTGCAATCCCAACACCAAGAGGCCAGGTGAGGGAAAGGAACATTTTGGAGCTGTACAAGGTGCCTACAGTCTCTGCTCTGCTTGGAGACTCAGAGTCTGTCAGCAGACAGTTATGACTGGGGAGAAATGTTCACTCAATGCTCAACAAAAAGTCTTGTACTTTTCTCATGTCATATTCTCACACAAATTATTACTTTCACTGTTTAATAAGAAAGAAGAACATAAATAATATTCACTGCATTTTTGATTCTTTATTCCTGTGTGGAAAGCATTTTCTCTATACAAATAAAAAGTGTTAAAGCATGCTGATTGTGTTCCATGAACATGTGTGCTACAGCTAATTCCCCCCCTCTTGTCAGTATCTCTTTTAACCCACCATCTTTTTGGCTACTCACGTTCACATATGTTTGTGCTCCCAGCTGTTGCAGGTTGCCACTGTTTCTGATTATATCCAGGGCAGCAGTGATCACAGGTTTCCCCACAAGTATTATGCTGACATTCACACTGAAACCTACAGAAATAAAAGCCTCTTCATGAAGCTGGGCTTAAAATGTATCTCTTAAGTTTCTAAATAAAAAAATAATTGTTTTTTTCTTTATTTTACTATAGTCCAAGACTTACATATAGGATGAAAAAATGGGACATAAACCTCACATGTAGAGAAGTCAATCAGTAAGACTAGAACGCTTTGGAACTTTCCTAAAATTCTTCAAGATTGATTACTTTAATCATGTGATTAGGAGTTTATTAGAACCCATTACTTATAGAAAATGTTTATAATTGGATTCCATAAGCTCAGTTATGAAACTATTGTAGAATATTAAATCAAGTTGATACACAGTAGTTTAGGATGTATCTTGTTTTAACTTCGTTCCAAGGCTCAACTTGTGGGCCTACAGTAATCAAAATATTTATCACCTTTAAATGCATGCCTAGATAATTCTTCCATTATGCTTTGTTTACAATAATAAATATAATAATAAAGACCTGATAATAATCAGGTCTTTTCATAAACCAAGACCATAACTTGATCTTGCTATTTTTAAGACAGTACACACTATTCACCAACAAAACATAAGAAAGTTTTTTATTTATTTAGCTGTTATTTAATAGTCTATTTAATGGGCAGGGTCTAATTATGAACTAGGTCTTACCATCCTGCATAGTAACTGAATACCAGGAGGAACAAAGGCCTTAGGATTCAAGAGGCCTTTTACAACATTCTTCTCTTATGTATGTAGTCTAATAACACAAGGGCAAAAAAACTTCCCAGTATAACCACCCTATTTGCATAGATTTCTCACTTTCTTTACTTGTTTTTCTATAGCACAGACACATGGATTTCCATTATGCTTTGTTTACAATAATATTACCAGGTCTTTTCATAAACCAAGATCATAACTTGATCTTGCTATTTTTAAGACACTACACACTATTCACCAACAAAATATAAGAAGGTTTTTGATTTATTTAGCTGAATAGTCTATTTAATGGGCAGGGTCTAATTATGAACTAGGTCTTACCATCCTGCATAGTAACTGAATACCAGGAGGAACAAAGGCCTTGGGATTCAAGAGGCCTTTTACAACATTCTTATGTATGTAGTCTAATAACACAAGGGCAAAAAAACTTCCCAGTATAACCACCCTATTTGCATAGATTTCTCACTTTCTTTACTTGTTTTTCTATAGCACAGACACATGGAATGGAAGAACCCATCACCCCTACTTATTCTTCATTAAAACATAACTGAAAATATTGCATCATCCTGATAAAAGCTTGTTTTAATACCATCATGGATAAGAGCAACAGCTGGTTTAAAGCAGGTTTTTAAAATATGTTTGAGACAGGCTGATTATTTATAGCTATTTCCCTGCAGCAGACAAGCCAAGAAGCCTGATCTAACTCCTTGTGAAATCAACACAGAGGTCACAAACTTGACAGGGAAAGGGAATACCCCATTCCGTTTGTTTTCATAGTAATGATCTAAAGCCACTGGATCTTGCACGAGCTCAGTTGTAGTGCCCCAATATCTCCATAAAGCCAACTGATCTTGTGCTGCTATTTTATCATAAAACTTCCATACCTTCTCGGTGAGTTCTCAGGGGCAGCTCCTTGCAGCACTGACTCCTTCCTCTTCACAACACAGCCAACAAATGCCAAACCTCTCACCCACCTGACCCACCCTTTTATAGCACTCATCCTGATTGGACACAGCTGTGGCCAATTAAGGGCAGGCCTGCTCCTAATCTTTGGTAATTAGCACAGCTGCAACTCATCAGGGGTGAGATTGCCTTCTGCTCTATCTCTGTTCTCTTACATTCTATCCCCCCACAATTTTGTTCCTGAGTTAACTTCTAATTCCTGATGTAAAAAGGTGCTATCAATTCATGTCTGATGATATCATCATCAGAAGGTGAGGTTCAACTCAAAGAACTATGGGTTTCTAAGAAATTATTCAATCTGCCAAACTTGTATTTAAATTAAAATGAAAAACCTAACCTAAAAAAAAAACCCCTAAAATTTTCTATTGTCTTTCACATACAATCACTCTTGACATGTTTTCTTGCCAACCATCAGCAGGTTCTATTTTTTTTTTAATAGAAAGAAAAAAATCCCTGTAAAACTATGTGATTCTATAATAAGAAAAGGTCATTTGAAAGCACTCATGTATTGTTTTTCTCAGATAAATGTCAGGCTCCATTTACTTACTGGTATTGGTTTTCAGCACTCTTTGGATTACATACTTCAGCATGGCCATGGCAAACACATCGACCACCAATACTGATGTCCTTTATACTGTAGTAATACTGTGGAACAAACACAAGAAGTATGTAGAGATCTTTCCTTGCTTATATTGTGTCAGAAATATCAACATCAGCATTGCTAGATTTGGAAGGTCTCTACAACAATAATTTGCACTCTCCTTTAGGAATTTAATAAAATTCTTGAGATTTCATTCATCTATCCTACAGCCCATGGCCAGGATAATACCAGAAGTTCCTCACACTAAAGCTGTGCTGCTTGCCAAGTAAACTGCATTCTGCATTCACCTCTGCCTATGAGCAACATCTTAAAATTTACTTAAGGCAGCAAGGGTGCTTGATGGGAGTGCTGTCAAATAACTGGAATTGTTTTATGGTTTTTAGTGCAGGCATTTGTGTGGTGCCTCACCCCAGGGTTTCCTCCAATTGTTACCGAATCTTCATTTTAAATGAAAAGGTTAAAAATAGCAATACAATATGAAGTCTGAAATCTCTGTGAGTATATGAATTTCTGTGTGGTGTTCCCTGTATTTCCTTATACTTACCCACTGAATGGGAGTGGAACTCTGGCCTTCAAGCTCTTGGATAGCCCAAAATTCACTGAAAACACCTAGGCATCTCAAATGATTTGTGGAAAGAGAGCAACTTTCAAGTACAGCCTTTGATTTCTATTCCTTCATAAACTCAGGTACTATTTTCTGAAAACCTTTTGTGAATAAATATCAGAAAGTAGTGCCAAATAAAGTTGAAGAGATTTAGTTCCTCAGTTCTGCATAAGATAGTTTAGAATAATTTCGCTTTGGCTTTTTATAGCTCCCATGATGCACTCAGCTTCCTTCCCTATTGGAAAGCAGGGAATGAAAATGGTCTGTTACAAAATCATTAATCATTACTGCCCCTCCATACGTCCATGATGGCCCAGTTACCTTCTTGTATCAAACAAACCTGGAGAAAAATATGGGGATTTCAAGGTGGATCAATGCAAATCTCATTGTCTGGATGTTGCAAACTTAAAACATTCAGACCATTTTTTGGTCCCTAGCACGCTGTGTATGATGGGTATTTACACCTCAGTGACAACAGTACTTACTCTTCGAGTTACAGTGGGGTCCCGCTGAGCTTTGGATATCAAGTGTCCAAGAAGAGTATTAGTTCTGAGAAAACGCAGGCGGATGTTTGTTGCCTTTGTGAATTCTTGAAGACCAGGGGAATAAGTAAAGTTTTTTGCTCCTGGGCGGCCATTTACCAAAGATACTACAATCTAAAAAAGAAGTAAGCACACTCTTGTTAAAATGTATCAACTCCAAGTGCCAATAGCAGCATAAAGAAAAATTAATAAAAGAATCCAAAAATTTATTATTGTTTCTGAACATATTTGCAGTAACAATTATGCACTTTATACAGAAGTCAGGATATTGGGAAAAATAGTGTTGTTAGCATGAGGGACTCCTGTATTCTTATTATCCATATAATAATAAATCAGAAAAAAATTGCCTCTATCTGTTTTGAAAACAGCAGGTATAGCATGCAAAAAGTACATTTTAATAGGAAAAAACAATAGGAGTAGTTGTAAGTAGTTGTTTGAACAGTTGACAGTGTCAATGGAAGTTTACCCTGATTAAAAACATCAGATTTTGGCTCTTTCCCAAAGCACATTTATTTTTGGGTCAAGGCATAAACATTCCTGGAAAATATTATTGTTAACAGGTCCAGTGCCTGCGAGTATATTAATGGTCTTCTGGAAGAAAGTACACAGTGTTGCTTTAGAAAATCCCCTCACACATGAAAGCAGGTTTCTCTGACTTCCAAAACAAGGGATCCAATACTTTTTTATTTTTTAAAGAAACAGCTGCCAGCAGCTCAGCAATCATGAATCTCTACTGAATGAAAAAGCTGGTCTGTATGTACAGGGCTCAGTAAAAGACTTTAATTTATTTATAACCATCCAGATAACAGATTTCTATTTTCAAATGGCTCCGATATTCTGAAGCACATAACAAGGGTGTGATGATTGTTCCAATTGCAGCACAATTCCTTCAGGAAAAATCATAGAGCATGTAATAGGGAATGGTACCAGCAGTGTTCTTATGTGGAAATTATTCTTTCCAATATCTGATTAGGAAAATTTTACAGATACATTAACAAATAAGTTCTATTTTAATAGGAAACTCTAGATCCATCTGCTCAAAACTCTGAATAACTCTTGAGAAGTTCAGATCTTGATTCTAAGGACATTAGGTATAAGAGCAGAATGCCAGGAGGAGCCATCAGCACATCCAGGAGTTTAACATTCATTCAAGTAATACAAGAATACAAGTCACAGTTCTGCCTAGCAAGAAACAATGGCTAAAATCAAAGCAATGTTTTCCAAATACTTTTACTATATTATAAACATGTAGCTTTGTATCATAAAAATTTATTTTTAAATGTGGTTGGGTTTTTTTGGGTTTTTTTTTTACAAACTACTATTTCTTGAATGGTAAGTATCTGTTTCTACAGCCTTTACTCACATGAGCAATTCTGCTGTACCAAGTTTGGCCATGCACATTGGAAGAACCCAGAAAATGCAGCCAACACCTTCAAACGCACATAGTGAGGTACACAAATTATGATAAATATCAACACAGGTTTCCCAGAGCAGCCCCTAACCCCATAGGGAATGGTGAAAATTAGGAGGAGTCAGGTCATGCTCCCAAAATCTCACTGAGGTTTAGGTTATGGACTTACTAATGGAGATTCAAGTAGCCATAGCTAAAAATTTGCTTCCAACTGAAGCACTACAAGCTTCTGAAACCAAGAATGTTTGCTTCCAGCATCACACATGCTTTCCTGAAAGCACCTACCTCGCCATTTTCAAGAGGCAGAATGCGAGAGTACTCAGTGGTGCACAGGACATCGCTGTCCCTCCTCACGGGAAGATTTGCTTCCTTTCCAAAGCGCTCCAAGCAATCTGCTCTCGAGTCTAATCAAGCAAGAACAAAATTAATTTTATATAAAACATTTGTTGTAATGTTGCCCTATTGTTGTAATTTAAATTAGCAGACAGGAGTTCCCTGTGCTTTCAGGTAAATTCTCCCAATAATAGAGGAATAACAGTGATTGTATCACTCAGCACAGACTAACAGACATTCCTCAAAAAAATAATCTCTCTTCCTAAGCAATTCAGTGGTGCTTGACAAGACATGGCACAGTATTTCTCATATCATCACTAGAAACAAAAAGCTATATAGCTTCTCCAAGATTTTACATTTGTATTTCACTTTGATTTTTGCAAGAAACCCCGGGGTCCCAAGGGATGAAGGGCACTGAAGTTCTGACATTCCCAAAAATCAAGAGAAACAATACAAATCAGAAATTTATAAGAAAGTGAAAGATATTCATGCACTGAGATACACTTGCAAAATACCATACTCATACACTAATTTATTGTGACTAAATAAAAAAAAGATAAACGTATTTAACATTCACTGTCTTCTGTGCAGGGCAGCAAGCCCCATGGTTTGATGCGCTGCTACTGAGGAAATGATTAAAGAAACCTGTCCCCAAAAGACCAGTGACACAAAGATTGCTACTTACAAGCAAAAAATTGCCAGGGAGTGTAAGTTTTTCCAAAGTCCACCGATCTTTCCAAGACCCAGAGATCTGGACGAGGAGAATTCGCAAACTTGATAAGGATATAGGCAACATGGAAGAGCTGGTAACAGAATATACATAGATCTTGTTAGGACCTTTTTTTGAACTCTATAAAAGCACAGCAATAATAAAACTAATGCAAATAAAACTTCTCCTGTAGTGCACAGGGAAAAGGTTATTCTCTGCAGTTTCATTCCCACTAAAATCAGAGGCCAGATTCTCAGCTGGCTACTTCACCTGGCAATGTGCTCAAGAACATCAAGACATCTGCAAAAGGACTATGTTAAATGCCACCTCCCACATTTCAGAACAGGTGACTGACTGCCTGGGTAATGCAAATAAAACTTCTGTAGTGCACAGGGAAAAGGTTATTCTCTGCAGTTTCATTCCCACTAAAATCAGAGGCCAGATTCTCAGCTGGCTACTTCACCTGGCAATGTGCTCAAGAACATCAAGACATCTGCAAAAGGACTATGTTAAATGCCACCTCCCACATTTCAGAACAGGTGACTGACTGCCTGGGTGTGTTAAGGGTACAGCACTCAACCTGGAAAAGTTATATCACTCAACTAAGCTGCTTTTGCAGCACCCTGGTATATTGGTGATGCATTCCAAGCACGTAGCTAAGGTATATAAAAAATAATGGAAAACAAAATGCAAATACCCTTTACACTGAGACTCTTATGGTTGATAATAATCCCAGCCACCCACTCCCTCATGTTAAGATTATTTCCAGATGAATTTGCTACTTGACAGACCTTCCAAGTAATGGAAGCAAGCCACCCCAGAGTTTGTGGGGATCAAATAGCACAGGAGAGATTGTTGTAACTGGTAGCTCATTCAGTGTCTGAAACAGCTCAAAGAGCTCCATCAGCTCAAGGTTCCCTAGGCCAAGAGTTCCACCTGGCTTCTTTAGGTGCTCATTGTGTATCACACAGAGGGTTCCCAAACGCTAGAGAAGAAATGGGTCTTACAAGACAGGAAGTCTTACTGTAAGCATCTTGGGATAGTCCACAGTCTATCTAAAAACCAGAACATCAATAAAAATTACCTTTACACAAAAAGCTAAACACAGATTGATTCTAAAGGCCATTTAAAAATTAAACCATGACATTGACGGAGCTGTCAATAAAAGCAAACCAATACTGAGGTACACTAAATATTAAAGTGGAACTGCACTGGAATTTCCCCCTCAACAACCTCAACTGAGAATCAACTGCTGGCAGGAGATTCTCACTTTGATGGGGGAGACTGCAGTCAGCAGTTTGTCATGTAACTGCTGCCAGAGCCCCCACATCAAATACACCCAAGCAGTTTATCTTTGCTCATACCTCATAAATGTCATAACCCTGAAGCTAATACTTTGCAAAGTTTATTAGACTCCAAACCACAAGTGCATACAAGCTCTCAGCCATGAACTGGAACAGCATCTTCTGGCATGCCTGGCCCATTCAGCTGTCAGCCAGGAGCAATTCAGTGGCTGTCACACCAACTGGGACCACCAAGAGGCAGATGCAAATGGCAAATAATGCAGTGAAACAGATACCTGGAAATACTTGTCCCTAACCAGCTCTGCACATGACAATCCCATGGCTACATGCAGCCTCCATCCTCACACATCTATTTCAGACATCAGCCTCTGAATACCTGTGTACTGTATTCACAGTAGAAAGTAAAATCTCAAGGAGAAATGGGAGGAATTCAGGCACTTCATGGAATATGTTCTCATGATAATAACTCACATTTCAGAAGAAAAAAAATTACTTTTTTTGTTGTGCATTCATTTATGTAGTATGTGCAAGTACTTTCCAGGGCAAACCCCTGTTCTACACAGACACCAGGCATCACTGCAGCAGGTATTGCACCTTGCAACCTATTTCAGAAATTTCTGCTTTGCTGAATGATGCTGACTTAGATCAGTGCAGAGAGAACCAGCAGGAAAATAACCCAACTTTTCTGTTAGTGCTGAAATTTAACCTGCTATTTAGCAAAGTGTGAAAAGCACCAGCTTTATCTCTGGAGATATTAAATTAGCAAACAGACATTATCTCCATGGGAAAAATTACTTATTAGACAACAACAGTGAGCACAGTCAACATTCTGTTGACAGAGCCATGGAAAAACCCAGACCTATGTTCTATGGCTGCACAGGTGGAGTAACGCCCTCAAAATGCTGATGGAAAGTCTGATTTTAGCCATTGTCAGAAACAGGTGAATACTCTAGGGACAGTGGCAAGATTTGCTCTTACTGAGTTTCTGATACTCTTTGTCTGAGTAACTCCTGCTACTTCACAGTCAAGTTTCAGAGTAGAGATATCGGCCATACAGACATTACATGTCATCTGGTATGACCACTCAGTGCAAAGATTAGTATCCTTCTAGGGAAGCACAATAGTTCTGAAACTCCTAAAAAAAAAAGTGCTTCATGTTCTCACTTTTGGTCAGCTGAATCTCCCAAGGGTCATTTACCTGTTCAAACCAGGTTTGCACTGGCAGGCAACATTAATACATTGTCTTTCGTCCTCTATGTCTTAAGATCCCTGGAAGTCCCATCTTGACATGCATGTTAGCAAGTGCTGGTAACACTCCGTTGTTGACTGATACAGATTTAACCAAGACAAGTGGTTTAGAAAGCTCAAGAGGAAATAAAGGAAGCATATAGACAATGTCCTGCCTTTTCCAGGGCTCCACTGCTAGTGGTCACATTGTAGAGCGATTACAACAATGACCTTACACCTACTCTTCAAAATGTGTGTTATATCAGGAACCCTGCGAGTCAGCCAATGCTTAAAGAACTGCCACCCAGCACCACTCCTTGCACATATCCATGCAAATTTAAAAATGGAAGAAAAAAGAGAGGTATGGCAACTTCACAGTGCTGCTGTATATGAAAACCTCGTATTCACATGATGCTCTCCCTACATCTCTCAGCTGGAAACACTGCTCAGGTCTGTACAGGCACATTCAGAAAGGGAAAAGGGACAGGTCTGATAAAAAATAAATTAGTGTCAGTGAATGACAACATAGCACCAAAACATAGTCACCACACCTATCATCTGTCCTGCTTCTGACTTCACATGAGTGTCTGTGATCTGGTTTTGGCCTGGATCAAGGATGTAGAATGGCACTTGAAGATCTAAACTTCCACTAAGCTTAAATACTGACCCAGCTGATGAATAGTCTGTCTCCAGATCTGATGAGAGAACAACAGAAGAAAAATAATCCTTGGCTTGGCAAATAAACCCCATCTGAAGATAAAAGAGTAACCTTGCAGATATAAGACCTAGAAAAGCAACCATTAGAGCCAATTTTAATCACATATTCTAAGCCAGCATTTCAATACTTTAAATCTTGATCCTGACCTAACATCTACCCTGAAAAAAAGGCAAACTAAAAGTTTTCTTTCAGCCATTTAGTTCTGAGAAAAAAAAATAAAGTGCCTTAATTTTTGAAAAAAATGTTTATTTGGTTGCTTTTAAGCCAAATTTACTTCATAAACAACAACAACCTCTCAAAAGGAATGTTAAAACTGTATGTCAATGTTTTGGTATAATTGTATAATAGTAAAAAATTTTCACAAAAATTCCCAGAAATATGACAATCAAAATTCTGACAATTTTCTTATATAAATAAAGAACTGAATTTAAAAGTGGAAACAGCATTTTATTTCCAGTAATGGAAACAATGCACTCTGGAAAGGCATGCTCAAAAGAGGATGTATTACTGTAAGAGTCCAACATATCCTGCTGTAATCCAGCACCATAGGTCAAACCTGATGGATTATCAACAGCTGGAATTTAATCAATTCCACACTGATGTGACCTTTTTCCTGTTCACTCAGGTTTGTTCAGGTTTAAAATGTTCTAGCAGCCAGTGGCCTTAAAGAATCACGACAACCCAGAAAAAGTTTCTTAAAACCATCAAGTAGAATGAACAAAATGCCCTCCTCATCTGAGAATGAAAATTAAAATTCAGTATTATGCATTAACAATATTATATTATAAAGAGAGAGATTTCTATAAAAGCTCTTTCAAGTGAAATTAAGATGATATTAAAAGAGACCATTTAAATTGATTGAGAGCTACATTGTACCATTATTGTTAATGATACAATATTCATGATCTCTAACAGCATGCACACTTCTTATTTTAAACCAACTGAAAGAAAACTTCCTGTTACCCACTGCATTCTCAGGAGAACACTAAAATTCTCAATAATATTAGTTTAAAATGTTTTCTCTATTTTCTCCTTAGAAGTTTAAACAACTCTTTACACAGAGTAATTTCCAAGATTTTTTTGAATTCTAGAAAGCATTAAAAATGGATAAAAGCTAGATATGCATATATAAAGGTATAGCACATTTTCCTCCATTCCTGACACCATAAACTCAAACCAGAATACTAAAACACTGAAATGACTTGTTAGATGAGTGCTGGACATAAACCAGCACAAAAGAAGAAAATACACTATGTTCCAAACAATCATGATGTTGTGTGTGTTGCTTCCGTAGGAAAAGATTGTTCTTCCTTTTTGGCTCATAAAGAATAAAACGTCCTGGAATGTGGCAGTAGCAAGAATCCAACTAAATCCAGGTAGATCATCTATCTCAGGCACTGTGTAGATCTTTAGATGCATTCAAGAAGATACCACAGCAATCTTTCTTCATGTAATCTATTTGAATCTATTTCCAGCAGGGTGAAATTTCCTCAGACTATTATTGGCAGATAGCAGCACCAAAACTTTCCTCAGCTTGGTATGGTTGTCGTTGTAGGTTTCTTTCATTATCTTGAATAATGTGGTGGGTGTTGCAGACAGCTCAGAAGAGACAGAAATCCAATATGACTCAGTACAAAAATTAAACTTTTCAAAGGGAGACTGATGCAGCAGAGGGATTCAAGGGGTGTGAACTGTGCTCAGCAGCTGCTCCAGAGCACACCTTAGTGCCACTGACTGCACAGGGCTGGCGTGTGCATGCCCACTGGTTTCCTGGTGTAATGAAGCCAAAAGGTCTGAGCTTTGTTTCCTCTCACAGACCAAGCCACAAAAGCATCAATCTGTTCA